CATGAGAGACACAGAGAGAGAGAGGCAGAGACACAGGCAGAGGGAGAAGCAGGCTCCATGCGGGGAGCCCCATGTGGGACTTGATCCCAGGTCTCCAGGATCACGCCCTGGGCCAAACGCAGAAGCTCTACCGCTGAGCCACCCAGGCATCCCTTGTTGATTGTTTCCTGTGCTATGCAGAAGCTTTTTATTTCGGTCTAGTTCTAATAGAGTTTTTTTTGCTTTTATTCTTTTGCCTCAGACATATCTAGAAAAATGTTGCTATAGCTGATGTCAGAGAAATTACTGCCTGTGTTCTCTTCTAGGATTTTTATGGTTTTAGGTCTCACATTTAGGTCCTTAATCCATTTTTAGTTTATTTTTGTGTAGGTATAAGAAAGTGGTCCAGTTTCATTATTTTGCATGTAGCCGCCCAGTTTTCCCAACACCATTTGTTAAGGAGACTCTCTCTTTCCCACCGCATATTCTTGCCTCTTTTGCTAAAGATTAATTAACCATATAATCATGGATATGTTTCTGGGCTTTCTGTTATGTTCCATTGATCTTCACATCTATTTTTGTGCCATACCAGACAGTTTTGATTACAGTGGTTTTCTAGTATCTTCAAATCTGGAAGTGTGATACTTTCTGTTTTCTTTTTCTTTTTCAAGATTGTTCTGGCTATTCAGGATCTCTTATGGTTTCATACCAATTTTAGGATTTTTTGTTCTAGTTCTATGAAAAATGTTGTTGGTATTTTGATGGGATTGCATTAAATCTGTAGATTGCTTTGGGTAATATGGATATTTTAACATTATTTGTTCTCCCAAATCTCTCCAATCTGAATCTCTCCAATATTTTTCTTTTTTTCTTTTTTTTTCAAGTGTAAAGAAGCTGACAGTGTGAAAGAACTTTTTTTTTTAAGATTTTATTTATTTATTCATGAGAGAGAGAGAGAGAGAGAGAGGGGCAGAGACACAGGCAGAGGAAGAAGCAGGCTCCATGAGGGGAGCCTGATGTGGGACTCAATCCCAAGACTCCACTCCAGGATCACGCCCTGGGCTGAAGGCAGGCGCCAAACCACTGAGCCACCCAGGGATCCCTGGGATATTTTTCCATTTGTTTGTGACATCTTCAGTTTCTTTAATCAATGTTTTACAGTTTTCAGAGTGCAGGCCTTTCACCTCCTTGGTTAAGTTTATTCCTAAGTATTTTATTATTTTTGGTGCAATTGTAAATGGGATTATTTTTCAAATTTTTCTTTCTGTTGCTTCATTGTTAGTATATAGAAATGCAGTGGATATTCTACATTGATTTTGTATCCTGCAGCCTTACTGAATTCATTTATCAGTTCTAGTAGCTTTTGGTGGAGTTTTAGGCATTTATATATAAGATCGTGTCATCTGCAAATAGTGGAAGTTTTACTTCTTACCAATTTGGCTGCCTTTTCTTCCTTCCTCTTGCCTGACTGCTGTGGCTGGAGCTTCCTGTACTCTATTGAATAGCAGTGGTGAGCATGGACATCTTTGTCTTAATCCTGATCTTTGGGGAAAGCTCTGTTTTCCCCATTGAAGATGATGTTAGCTGTAGTTTTTCATATATGGCTTTTATTATGCTGAGGTATATTCCCTCTAAGCCTACTTTGTTGAGGGCTTTTATCATGAATGTATGTTGTACTTTGTCGAATGCTTTTTCTGCTTCTATTAAGATGATCATATGGTTTTTATCCTTTCTCTTTTTTAAAAATATTTTTATTTATTTATTCATAGAGACACAGAGAGAGAGAGGGAGAGGCAGAGACACAGGCAGAGGGAGAAGCAGGCTCCATGCAGGGAACCCGATGCGGGATTCGATCCTGGGTCTCCAGGATCACACCCCGGGCTGCAGGCGGCACTAAACCGCTGCGCCACCGGGGCTGCTCTATCCTTTCTCTTTTTGATGTGATGTATCATATTGATTGATTTGTGAATATTGAACCATCTTTGCATCCCAGGAATAAATTCACTTAATCATGGTGAATAATTTTTTTTAATGTTGTTAGATTTGGTTTGCTGAAGATTTTTTTGCATCTGTGTTCATCAGAGCTATTGGCTTGTAGTTCTCTTTTTTTTGCATTGTACCTGGTTTTGCTATCAGGGCAATGCTGGTCTCATAGAATGAATTTGGAAGGCTTTCTTCCTTTTCTATGTTTTTGTAGTAGTTTGAGAAGAATAGACGTTTATTTATTTATTTATAGATTTTACTTATTTATTCATGAGAGACAGAGAGAGGCATAGACACAAGCAGAGGGAGAAGCAGGCTCCATGCAGGAAGCCCAATATGGAACTTGATCTTGAGACCCCAGGATCAAGCCCTGAGCCAAAGGTAGATGCTCAACCACTGAGCCACCCAGGCGTCCCATCTTTTTTAAATACTTAGTAGAATTCACCTGTGAAGCTTCTGGTCCTGGACTTGTTTGTTGGGAGTTTTTTGATGACTGATTCAATTTCATTGCTGGTAATTGTCTATTCAAATGTTGTGTTTTTTCCTGATTCAATTTTGGGATGTTGTATGTTGCTAGGAATTTATCCATTTCTTCCAGGTGGTCCAAGTTGTTGGCATATAATTTTAAAAAATATTCTCTCATAATCTATCATATACTTTGGTATTGGTTGTTATTTCTCCTTTTTCTTTCTTTTTTTTAAAGATTTTATTTATTGGGATCCCTGGGTGGCGCAGTGGTTTGGCGCCTGCCTTTGGCTCAGGGCACGATCCTGGAGACCTGGGATCGAATCCCATATCGGGCTCTCGGTGCGTGGAGCCTGCTTCTCCCTCTGCCTGTGTCTCTGCTTCTCTCTCTCTCTCTCTCTCTGTGAATATCATAAATAAATAATTTAAAAAAAAAAGATTTTATTTATTTATTCATGAGAGACAGAGAGAGAGAGAGAGAGAGAGAGAGAGAGAAGCAGAGACACGGAGAGGGAGAAGCAGGCTCCATGCAGGGAGCCTGATGTGGGAGTCGAACCCGGGTCTTCAGGATCACACCCCGGGCTGCAGGTGGCCCTAAACCGCTGAGCCACCCGGGCTGCCCCCCCGCTTTTTTTTGATGAGTCTGGCTAAAGGTTTATCAATTTTGTCCATCATTTCAAAGAACCAGCTCCTGGTTTCATTAATCTGTTCTATTTTGAAAGTTACTATTACATTTGTTTCTGCTCTAATCTTATTTCCTTTGTTCTGTTGTTGGTTTTGGGTTTTATTTGTTCTTTTCCTTGCTCTTTAAGGCATGAGGGTAGGTTGCTCATTTGAGATTTTTCTTGCTTCTTGAGGTAGGCCTGTATTGCCATAAACTTCCCTCCTAGGCCTGCTTTTGCCGCATCTCAAAAATTTTGGACCATTGTGCTTTCATTTTCGCTTGTCTCCATGTATTTTTTTTCCTCTTTGATTTCTTGGTTGACCCATTCATTGTTTAGTAGCATGTATTTGTTCTTCCCAGATTTTTTTCTTGTTGACTTCTAGTTTCATAATGTCAGAAAAGATGCATGGAATGATTTTGATCTTACTGACTTTGTTGAGACTTGTTTTGTGGTCTAACGTGATCTATTCTGGAGAATGTTGCACGTGCACTTGAAAAGAATGTGTATTCTGTTGTTGTAAGATGGAATGTTCTGAATATATCTGTCAGATTAATCTGGTCCGGTGTGTCATTCAAAGCCACTGTTTCCTTGTTGATATTCTGTTTGTATGATCTGCCCATTGATGTAAGTGGGTTAATCACTATTAATTACTTCCCTTATGTTTGTTATTGTGTATTTGGGTGCTCCCATCTTGGGTGATACAGTGTCCTTTATCTCTTTTCACAGTCTTTGTTTAAAAGTCTGTTTTGTTCCACGTGAATATTGCTACCTGGGCTTTCTTTTCACACCATTTGCATGATGAACTCTTCTCTACCCCTTCACTTTCTTTTTTTTTTTTTTTAATTTTTTTTTATTTATTTATAATAGTCACAGAGAGAGAGAGAGGCGCAGAGACATAGGCAGAGGGAGAAGCAGGCTCCATGCACTGGGAGCCCGATGTGGGATTCGATCCTGGGTCTCCAGGATCGCGCCCTGGGCCAAAGGCAGGCGCCAAACCGCTGCGCCACCCAGGGATCCCTACCCCTTCACTTTCAATCTGCATGTGTCTTTAGGTCTGAAATGAGTCTCTTGGAGGCTCAGCATACAGCTTGGTCATGTTTTCTTATCCATCATCCCATCACACCTTGTCTTTTGATTGGAGTGTTTAGTCCATTTACATTTAAGTAATTGTTGATGGGTGTGTATGTATTGCCATTTTGTTACTTGATTTATTATTTTTCTCCATTCCTTCTTTCTCTTGCTCTCTTCTCTCATGATTAATTGGCTTTCTTTAATGAGATACTTGGATTCCTCTTGATTTTTTGCGTATCTATTAGTGGTTTGTGATTTGTGGATACTATTTGGTTTGTATGTGATATCCTCTGCACATAGCAGTGTGTATGAGGTTGACAGTCACTGAAGTTTGAACTCACTCCTTACTCCTCTGCTCCCCACGTTTTAGGTATACGGTGTCATACTTTACATCCTTCTATTTTGTGGGTTAGTTGACCAACTTTTATAGGTATCTATATTTTTACTGGTTTTGTACTTTATTCTGACTTCTTGCTTACATGTATAAAGACCCTGTTTCCAACTAAGGTCACACATGTAGGCGTAGGGAGGAATGGAGACAAATCCTTGAGGAGGATGCAACTCAGGCTGGTACAGAAGGGAAAGATAATGGAACAGAGGACGGGATGCACACCTAAGCAGGGAGGGGAAGTCTGGGAGCAGGACGGGTATTGGGGTGCAGAGTTTGACAATGTTTCAGGGCTGAGGCCTAGCCTAGAGCTGAGAGTGGGAGGGACTGCCTGTGAGGCTTCTCTCCAAGTGAAGCTGTTCTCAGGGCTGAGCCTCTTGGCCATCACACACTTCCCCTGGGGTGTGTCGAGCCTCATAATCTATAACCGTGTTTCCTTTCTTTACCAGGAAACTACTTTGCCTCGCACTTTTTCATGGGAGGCGAGAAATTTGACACTCCCCACCCTGAAGGTTACCTCTTTGGAGAAAACATGGATCTGAATTTCCTGGGCAATCGTCCAGTACAGGTGGGTCCAGGTGGGTCTTGCTGGGGCTAGGGTTGTGGGGTGGCGGCAGTGAGGTGCCTTCCCTCCGCTGTCTATAGCCAGCTTTGAGGACAAGCAGACACTGAGTCCCAGACAGAGCTGCTGGCAGGACATGTGCATGTGTGTACAGGGACATGTCCTGGCACTTCCCCCAGAGAGGTAGGATGGCTGCAGGTGTCACTGGAGACAGGGCTGCTGCTGCAGAACCCAGTGCATCCAGGCTATGGGCTTATGGAAGTTTATGGATTTGATCCCAGGCCTCTTGGGTGACTTTATTTAAAAAGAAAAAACAAAATCCATGTTCTGTAGAACAATGGGCAAGAATTATGACCCAAAGGAGACCTGCAGATGGCTAGTAAAACATTTTAACGTGTTTGCTTTCACTAGTCACGTCAGAGAAGTGCACGCTTACACACTGCTGTCCATTTGTTCAACACACATTTGGCACCTGCTGTGTGCCTAGGACTCTTCCAGGGGCTGAGGGTGGAGGACAGATCCCATCCCATTCTTGCAGGGAGTGCCGACAATGAAGAAGAGAACATTTTGTAAATGGAGGCTAAAGAGCAGGGGTTGAGTGAGGGCCCATGGAGAGGGGGATGCTAAGCAAAGGATTGGGTTTTGTACTTCAAAATGATGGTCTCCAGTGTGGGTGAGGGGCCAGCAGAAGGCCCTGTCTTTCAGGAGACGTGGGACTCTGTTCCCTAAGGCTGCTGAGTCCTGGGGAGTCCATGGGCCTGGCAGGGGGTAGGGTGGACCAGTCTTTAGGCTGTTTTAGCAACAGAGCAACTGGTTGACATGACATCTTGATCCTTTAGTGGGTGGGAAGCAAGGAGCTAGGGCCTGGCGTGCTGCCCTCCCCAGCCTCCCGAGTCCCTGAGAGCAAGAAAGCAACCTCACCTTTCGTCTTTGAGGCCTCAGCTTGCATGCAGGGCCCGGCCCTAACAAACGTTCCATAAATCTGTTATTTTTCAAACTTTTACTTTGAGACCTTCGTAGACTCCCCTGAAGTGGTGAGAAGTGATGCAGAGAGATCCCCTAGGCCCTCCCCTCTGTTTTCCCAGTGATAGCATCTGATAAAGCTCCATTCAGGGCGCTATCACAGGCAGGAACTTTTCAGATGGCTCTAGGCCTGTGGTTTCCTTTGTGAATGAGCACAAGGCCCGGGGAGTACAGAGCTGTGACTGTTGCTCTGATTATCCCCGTTTTCTATCCCTGCCACACCTTAGGGAGTCACCTGGCTTTGCTTTGGGTTTTTCCCTCCTAGTTTCCGTACGTCACCCCCGCCCCGCATGAGCCTGTGAAGACACTTAGGAGCCTGGTGAACATCCGAAAAGACTCCCTGCGGCTTGTAAGGTAAGGCTTTGCCCCAGCCTGCTTAGGGCCCCTGATACCTGGGAGAGGGGGCAGTGGTGAGGGACCCCAGTCTCTAACTTCGGGTGGAGAGCCAGAGGCCACAGGCAGCTCTCAAGTCTCAGAGTTGCTCCTAGTATGGGGTGTAGAGGGAGAAAGGGCCAGCAGGGCTCTGCTTGTAAAACTCCAGTTTTTGTTTTTTGTGGTTTTTTTTTTTTTAAGATTTTATTTATTTAGGGCAGCCTGGGTGGCTCAGAGGTTTAGCACCGCATTCAGCCCAGGGCCTGATACTGGAGACTCGGGATCGAGTCCCACATCGGGCTCCCTGCATGGAGCCTGCTTCTCCCTCTGCCTGTGTCTCTGCCTCTCTCTCTCTCTCTCTCTCTGTCTCTGTCTCTCATGAATAAATAAATAAAATCTTAAAAAAACAGATTTTATTTATTTGTTTGAGAGATGGTGAGAGAGAACATAAGGAGGAGAGGGAGAAGCAGGCTCCCCTCTGAGCAGGGAGCCCCATGCAGGGCTCAACCAAAGGATCCTGGGATCATGACTTGAGCTGAGGGCAGACACTTAACCAACTGAGCCCCCAGGAGCCCCAAAACTCTGTTTTTTAAACCAGGGATTCTCAGCTGGCAACTGTGCCCCCAGGGACACTGGTCCCAGTCTGCAGATGCTTTTAGGTGTCACAGCTAGGGGATTGGGTACTGCTGGCCTGTGGTGGGCAGAGACCAGGGATGCCGCTCAACACCCTTCAGCGCACAGGACGGCCCTGCTGCCAAGAATGATCCAGTCTCGAATGTCAGCAGCCTGAGAAACTGCTCTAACCTGGGAGGCTTGAGATGTCTGGGCTGTCTCTAGACCAGGAGGACTCCTCCCTGTCTGTGGGCGGACAATGAGGGAAGGAGAGCTCTGCCGTGTTGGGCTTTATTGTCTACCAGGCAGTGGGCCTTACATTTCCAGGCAACCACCTCCAAGGGCCCTGGGTGCGGGGATGCGCATGCTGTGCCCGGTGTACACGTACAGGCATGGCCAGTGACCTACTGCCTGTCCCTCCGCCTCCCTGATAGGTACAAAGATGGTGCCGACAGCCCCTCCGAGGACAGCGAGAAGCCCCGCGTCCTCTACAGCCTGGAGTTCACCTTTGATGCCGACGCCCGGGTGGCCATCACCATATACTGCCAGGCGGCGGAGGAGTTCCTAAACGGGACGGCCGTGTGAGTCTCTGGGGCTGGGGGGCTGGGGCTGGCCCTGGCAGCCGTGCTTCTGCGCTTCTGTTGTCTGTGTTGTGCGTTTGAGCTTCCGGATGTTTGATTTGCGACAAGCATCCTGCTGACCTCAAAAGTTTGAAATCCACAACCTCAGGACCACCAGAGACTCAGGCCAGCAGCAATGCGCCCACTCGGGTCCTGTTGGGGAGAGAGCCACCTGAGGGCCAAATTGGATCTGGGGTCCAAGCTCAGGCTTCGGGTGCTGGCCCTGGCCTGGTTGTACCTTAATTTCCTGAGCTGGGGTTGGGGGACTAAAGCGGCCCCCTAGGGATTCCTTTGAGGACTTTGCTGCTGCTACTGGAGGAGACTCAGAGGTGGGGCTTTGTGGGGAGCACTCCCTGCAGGAGGGAACACTTTGGTCTCCATGGGGCTCCCTGGGCTGGAGGCCTGGGCCCCTTAGGGGCTGCCCTTACCATCCCCCCACTACTCGCACCCTTCCCAGCAGCACTCAGAGGACAAAGTTCCTTTTCCTACACTTTCTTCTGTGAGGCTCCACACTAGCCCAAACGTTGGATTACTTTTGTTTTTTCAATGATGCAAGCCATTTACAAATGTGTCCTTACCATAAGCCAAGAGTTAGAAGATCCAGGAGTATCCAGGGGCCTGCCTCCCAGAGGTGAGGCGATACCCTGCTGGTGCTGTCACTGGTGTGGGTGCCCAGGTCCCTCCCCAACCCTCCCAGTGCCCTTTGGCTCTTTCCTTGTGACCCTGCCCTTTGTCCTCGGCCATGCTCACTTGCTCTGGCCCCTGACCAGGAGGTGGGAGGACACATGTGGCAAGGCCACAGTGCCACAGCAGTTGGGGTAAAGTTTCTGTGGCCTCTGCCTCTAGTTTGGCTGCCGCAGGGGAGGGGTCCTGGCTTGTGGGGAAGGCCTGGGGCTGCCGCAGAGAGGGGCACGGGACAGGCAGGCAGGCAGGCAGGTGCGGGCGAGCAGCCTACCCACCCCACACTCCCCCAGCTTTTGTCTCTGTCACACTTGGGCTTGTAAGAGGTGCCCTATGCTTGAGAGGACACATGAGCAAAGGACATGGCTGTCCCTGAAGACTTTGTCTTGGATCCTTGGGGCGGGCGGTGGGAAGATGCTGCTCTGTCCCCTTCCTGAGACCTGGCAGGAGTGGCTGGGAGCCTGCTTCCTTTCTGAGTTTGCTGGAATTGGGTGGTTTGAGCACAGAAGTCACCAGAACAGAGAGAAGCAGGAAGGCTCTGGGTCCCAGAAGCCTGTGCCCAGGCCCGTTTGCCTTAGCCTGGAAATTCTGTTTGTGCTTGAGCTGCAGGGGAGGTGACCCTTCTGCCCCTTCCCTGATCCCCTCCCTACTACCTGACAAGTGAAAAAGGGGGCAGATCTGAGGTCCCAGAGAAAAAGCCCAGGTCTGCAGGGCAGCAGAGGCCTAGCCTTTGCCTTTACTGCAGGCTGAGGCCTGGATTCTCATGGGGAAGGAAGGGCCTCTGGCCTCTGGCAGGTGGAGGGGCCCTCTCTCTTTGTGCCTACAAGAGCATCCCCACCCCCATCCCCCCAGTCTCTCATCAGGCTCTCCAGAGTCTTTTGTCTAAGAGAAGCCCCGGGAATGGTGGGTGTGGGGTGGGTGGGGGGAGCTTTGTCAGGGTCGTGTCCAATGGTCTCTCCAATGGTGAGAAGCCAGAGTTGCTCAGAATTGAAAATTCTCAAAGAGTGAGCACTCTTTGACCCAGCTGTTCCTTTTCTGGGAATTTATCTTGGGAATGTGCTTGTATATGTGGCAAAGATGTATGTAGAACAGAGTCCTGGGAGCAGTATTTGGAATAGCAAGATGCTGGAGACTGGTGTTCACCAGTGGGGGGCCTGATGGAATCAGTTAGTGTAGCCCCACAGTGAAGCCCCTACATGCACCTCTGCATGTGGCAGTTGGGACGACTTGCCCGTCAGCAGTGAGGGAGCAGGCGTGGGTGGCCTGCCGCTCAAATATTGGAGAGCAGACTCCCGTGCTTTCAGGCGTGGGTTGTGGCTGGTGCAGAGAAGCAGGCGGCAGGGAGCAGACTTGAGGGTGAGTTTTGGGGGACACTGCACTTTGCGTACAGGTTTATTACACCGTGTTTGTTCAGAGGGGGAGATGTAGCCAGATCTGGAAAGGCGTTATGGGGCAGGGGTGGGCTCCAGAGGACTTGTAACCAGGCATGCCCGGGCAGGGCAGGTAGCGAGCAGAATGAGGCCCCCGAGGCCAGGGGTGGGCTCAGGGCCCTGCCCTGCCACGGGGCACCTCAGTCTTGCGGGAAGAGATGGGAAGTGTGGGTCCCGCATGTCCAATTTCTGCTCGGTCCCCAAGGGCCAGTGCTGGCAGCCCCTGTGTCAGAGGCCCCTGTGCTCGGGGTCGCCCCGAGGCCCGGGCGCGGTGGCTGTTTGCTCCCGCAGAGTGTCAGCGCCTTTCTCCCTGCTGCCCCTCCAGGTACAGCCCCAGGAGCCCCGCCCTGCAGTCCGAGACCGTCCACTACAAGAGAGGGGTGAGCCAGCAGTTCTCTCTGCCCTCCTTCAAGATTGACTTCTCCGAGTGGAAAGATGACGAGGTAACCTTCTGCCAGGAACCCCTTTCCCGAATTCCCTTCCGCTTGTGGCCTGTCTGCTTGGACGAGCATCGGGGGTGGCTCGGTGGAGCCTGGACCGGAGAGCGGGGTCTGGGTCCCGTGGTAGCAGCAGTTACAGGCTCCTGTACCCGGCCTCGGGGCCCTGGGAGGGCCACAAGACTGCAGTGGGGCAGGATCCCTTCCAGCCTGTGGTTCTGTCACTGGGGACGGTAGTTATGTCACATGAAGGATGGTGATCGAAGCTTTGTCTGTAGTAGCAAAAGAAATGGAAACAACCTGTATGTCACGATGAGGGGATTGCTTATTCCCTTGTGTTAGGGAACCACATACATGTGTATATAAAGTGAGGCACCGTGGCTCATTTCTTTTTTTTTTTTTAATCTTTTTTATTTTTTATTTATTTATGATAGTCACACAGAGAGAGAGAGAGAGAGAAGCAGAGACATAGGCAGAGGGAGAAGCAGGCTGCATGCACCGGGAGCCCAATGTGGGATTTGATTCCGGGTCTCCAGGATCACGCCCTGGGCCAAAGGCAGGCGCTAAACCGCTGCGCCACCCAGGGATCCCCCCGTGGCTCATTTCTATGACGGGATGCCACGCAGCCTTGGAGCAGGTGAAAGCCATCTGTGTATACTGTGCAGACTGACGTGGAAAGCCCCCTCTGCGCTTGGAAGAGTTGTTGCAGACAGATACTGTATTTCACATATGCGACAAGAAAGATCGTGGACTGTGTTGGGAGGTGAAGTCCACGCCATGGTGTTTGCTCTTGGCCGTGTGTGTGCTTGCTTGTCAGGGTGCTTCGATGGCAAGCAGCAGAAGCTGCCTCTGTGTCACGTCAGAAAGCCTTCTGAAAGAAGGATGGGGCCGTTAGAGTCACAGGAAAAGCCGAGCAGCCAGTCCCTGGGGACCCCTCGCCCCCAGTCCATTCCATGAGATGGTTCCATCCCTGTGTGTACACGCTCCCGGTTGGGATACCCAGCATGTGCATGTGGTCCTGCCCCCATCCTGGAATGGGGGAAAGGTGCTCTCCAAAGGAGGGGGCTGGGTGGGCAGAAGGGGGTTGAGCAGACAAATGGGTGCCCCCATCCTGTGGTCACTTGTGGGGAGGGTTGGGCTGAGGCTGCACTTCCGTTTGGTGACCTCTGTTCATAGTATAGTCCCTTGGCTGGCATTTTGCAAATTTGCAGATGTGCTGAATCAGGCCTGCAGTTTGGGTTCCCAACTCCCAGTGAGGTCAGTTGTCCTGGGGGCACACTTGGCTCCTCTGCCAGTCTGAAGTACCACATGGGGCATACCCTGTCCTCCCTTAGAGCATCAGGAGCCTACATTCCAGCTTGTCAGCGTGTGGCACAGTGGGCATGGCAGGAGTGGTGGCAGGCGCAGAGGGTGTGGTAGGTGGCCACTCGGGCCTGTCTGGTATGGACTTATCCTGGGACTCCTTCCTTGTCTTTGCCTTCTCTGATTATCACCTCAGCTTGTGTGTTCTCAAAATCAGCTCACTTCGTCTTTTATGTTTCTTTTTTTTTTTTTAATGCAATAGAATACACGTAAAATTTAGCATTATGACATTTAGCATTGTCCTGAAAGCCTATCTCTGTAGTTCCAGAACATTTTTGTCACTCATAGCAGGAAATTCTGCACCCATTAAGAGATCACTCCCATTTTCCCTTCTGTTACATGTTTTTTTTTTTTTTTAAATTAAAAAAAATCTTTTAGGACACCTCGATGGTTCAGTGGTTGAGCATCTGCCTTTGGCTCTGGGCGTGATCCCAGGGTCCTGGGATCGAGTCCCACACTGGGCTATGCACAGGGAGCCTGCTTCTCCTTCTGCCTGTGTCTCTGTGTCTCTCATGAATAAATTTTTTAAATCTTAAACATTTTTTTTTTTTTTTTTTTTTTAGAGAAGGAGAGAGAGTGCGAGTAGGAGAGGGGCAGAAGGAGAGGGAGAGAGAATCCCAAGCAGAAACCCTGCTCAGTTTTCAGCATGGAGCCTGACTCCGTGCTCCATCCCACGACCCTGAGATCATGACCTGAGCTGAAATCAGGAGTGGGTCACTCACCTGACTGTACTACCCAGGCACCCCTATTACGTGTATGTTTGTTTATTTGCTTGTTTCTTTCCTTTCTTTTTTTTTTTTAAAAGTAGGCTCTAGTCGGGGCTTAACTCACGACCCTGAGATCAGGAATCACGTACTCTACCAATACAGATAGCCAGACACCCTGTTACATGTATTTTTAAATGGAAATTTTATCAGTTATACTGTAGTTGGGAAACTGCTAAGCCTTGCCATAGATACAAGGTCCCGGAAGTTAAGCTTTCTGGAGAACGAGGTGTCATTCCATCCTCTCACGGTGTTGCTGCCTGCTAGAGGTGCTAAAGCGGACGTTGGCAGGTGTTAGAGGCCTGACAGACGTCAGGCACCAAACCCAGATTTTTCCTCAACCAGGGCTTCTCAGGCTCAGTGCTGTCGACCCTTGGTGCCCGGGCCATCTCCGTGGTGAGGGCCATCCCATGCACTGTGGGATGTCGAGGACCCCTGGCCTCTACCTGCCAGGTGTCAGGAGCTCCCCCTCCCCCGTGTGAGAACCAGGGACATCTCCAGACACAACTAGGTGTCCCCAGGCCAGCCACCCTTTAGCCATTTCCCCTGGACTTGCCTATTTACACTTGATCTTAGCCAAAAGGCCGAGAAGTGATGGACTTGCCTATTTAAAGATGCACAGTGGTAATGCCTGCTTGTGGTAAATGTGCAAACTATACAGAATTTGTGAGGCAGAACACCCCCCAGTTGAATCTCCTTCTCCAGAGGTACCGCTTCTGACAATTTAGAGTATATATTCCAGACTTTTTCCCCACATGCATTTGTTTGTTGTAAAGATGTGGTCGTGCTGTACAAATATTATCCTGTAGTTATTTTAAGCATCTCACCAAGATAGAATTCCCGTACTGCAAAATTTACCCTTTATTTATTTTTATTTTTATTTATTTATTTGTTTGTTTGTTTGTTTTTGCAATTTACCCTTTAAACTGCACAGTTTGGGGTTATTTACCAGATAGATGATCCCTGACTTAAGATGGTTCGACTTATGTGATTTTTCAACTTCACGATGGTATAAAAGTGACAGGCACTCAGTAGAAACTGTACTTCGAATTTTGAAGCTGCCTCCTCTGCTGGGCTGGCGGTGCATGGCTTGGTTGGCCCCGCGGTCACGAGCATCGGCGACTGGCAGACTGACCAGGGCCGTCTCTCCTGCCATTCTGTTTTTCCCTCTCAGTACGGTGTCCAGTACATTCCATGAGTTGCTCAGCGCTCTTTTACGGAATAGGCTTTGTGTGAGGTGATTTTGCCCAGCCGCAGGCTGCTGTAAGTGTTCTGAGCATGTGCCTTAAATGCATTTTCTACATCTGATGTTTTTAACTTACAAGGGGTTTCTCAAGATGTAACCTTATTGTAAGTTGAAGAAGATCTGTATTCAGACTTGTGCAGCCATCACCATCACTGAACTCCAGGACATTTTTATCACCCCCAGAAGAACCGCCGTGCCCATCAGCAGGCACTCCCCAGCCCTCCCTGGATCCAGCCCCTGGCCGCTGCTCATCTCCTTTATCGCCCACTTTGGATTTGCCTGTTCTGGATGTTTCATAGCAACAGGGTTGTACAATATGTGGCCTTTTGTGGTTGGCTTCTGTCACTGAGCACCGTGTCTTCATCTGTGTTGTAGCAGGTGCTGGTACTTTGTTCCATTTTGTGTCTCATAATAGTTCACTGTGTGGTTGGACCACATTTTGTGTATGTCTGTCAGTGGGATGGGCATTCAGGTTGTCTCCAGCTTTGGGTGGTTACAAATAGCGCTGTACAAATTTTTGTCTACAAATTCTTGCGTGGATGTATGTTTTCATTTCTTTTGGCTGTGATTTGCTTTTTAATTTAATTAACTTATGTTTTTTTAAGATTTTATTTATTTATTCATGATAGAGAGAGAGAGAGGGAGGCAGAGACACAGGCAGAGGGAGGCAGGCTCCATGCAGGGAGCCCGACGTGGGACTCGATCCAGGGACTCCAGGATCACGCCCTGGGTGCTTAAACCGCTGAGCTACCCAGCCTGCTCTAATTAACTTATTTTTTAAAATTATTTATTTTAGAGTGGGGCAGGAGCAGACTAGGAGGGAGAAGGAGAAAAGCAGACTCCCTGCTGAGCCCTCAGGACCCTGAGATCACAACCTGAGCTGAAATCATGCGTCAGCTACTTAACTGAGTGGCCAACTGAGCTACCCACCCCCCCACACTTTAATTTTTTTTTTTAAGATTTTATTTATTCACGAGAGAGAGAGAGAGAGAGAAAGAGAGAGAGAGAGGCAGAGACACAAGCAGAGGGAGAAACAGGCTCCATGCAGGAAGCCCGATGCGGGACTAGATTCCTCGATCCCGGGTCTCCAGGATTATGTCCTCGGCCGAAGGCCGGCGCTAAATAGCTGAGCCACCCGGGCTGCCCCCCCCCCCCACTTTAATTTTATTTTTTAAAGACTTTTTAATAGTAGTTTCGGGTTTGCAGCACAATTGAGATGAAAGCAGAGATTTCCCATATACCACCTGTCCCCACAGGTGCATAACTTATTTACTAAATCATGCTGTGGACATCTTAGAGATGTCCTAGTGGCTGGAGTGGCTTCTTTGCTGGTTTTCCCTACCAAACCCATCACAAGCTTACATTTATTTTAGTGAGAACCACATCCCCCTCCTCTTCTGTCCTTTGCCTTTTCCCTATTTCCTGGTGTCCATCTGGCCTATGGCTTGCAAAGATCCTCGTCTGGAAGCTCCTTGTAGCGGGAGAGCCCGAGGGTCCCGTGACACGAGGCTCCCACTCGTGCTCGTGTCGGGGCAGAGTGAGGTCTGAGCTGGAAAGCCTGGGTGTGGCTGTTGCCAGTCTTTCTCCTGACCTGGGCAGCCACTTTTCCCTAAGAAAAGCCTATCTAAAGGCTCCTGGATGGCCCAGTCGGTTAAATGTCTGCCTTCAGCTCAGGTCATGATCCCAGGTCCTGGGATCGAGTCCTACATCAGGTCCCCTGCTCAGCTTGGAGTCTGCTGCTCCCTCTCCTGCTGCAGCTCCCCCTGCTTGTGTGCACGCCCTCTCACTCTTTCTTTCTGTCAAACAGATAAATCTGTAAAAAAGAAAAAAAAAGAAAAGCCTCTCTTCCCGTATTAAAAATGAATGCCTCCCTCAGACTGTGGGGTAGGCGAAGTCTCTGTCCTCCCCCAGTGTACTTAGCTCAACGAGTGACCTGGGTGCTGAGCTCTGGGGAGCAGGAATCTTAGGGGAGATGCTCCTTGCTCCCTGAGTCCCCACACTCCCTGCTTCTTCCTGTGGGATGCAGCTGTGGCACCAGCTGCGGGTGCACGGGCAGGGTCACCGGGTGGCAGGTGAGGGGTGACAGCTCCTTGGGTGGAGGCTTGGCGTGCCTGGACATTCCAGGGCAGTGCAGAGCCTGGGCCCTGGTGCCCAGGGAGGTTGGGGTCATTTACCCTTCTTGTCTGTCATGGTCTTCTGGCCTCAAACTGGGCCAGCCAGGGCTGATCTTCTCTCAGGCTTTGCTGAGTCAGTTGAAGGAATACGGAAGGTAGGACGCTGCCCTGGGCTCCCTGGACATGGTCACTGAGCTGTTAGAGGGAGGTGCGAGTGAGCCTGCTGCCGCAGAGCCTTCAAATGGCATCTGTGTCAGGACTTTTGGTTGAGTGACAGAAAAAAACACACCTCAGTATGACTTAGAAAGGAAAACCAGGAATTTATTGGCATAGATTCTGAAAAGGCCGGATGGATGCCTTGGGCTTTCCTCCTGAGGCCCAAGTTGTCAGGACAGAGTCGCTCCATCACTGCTGGCCTCAGGCTGGCGCTCTGCAGACCTCGGGGTGCGAGGTAGTCTTGGCCTGGGTCCCCTGGGTCTGTCCTAGGCTGCGTACTCTCCTCTCTCGCTCTGGCTCCCAGTTGAGGCAGGTGCACTCTGTCCTCTGGCCAGACCACACGGATCCAGGTAGGACTGAGGTCGCTCCCAAATTTTTCCCCAAGGAAAGTTGGGGTGCTGCCACCTGAAGAGGGTTCCTGGATGCTAGACATTAGCCATCTGCACCTTTGCTCAGACTTGGTTAAGAGCAGTCTCGAGGGGGATCCCTGGGTGGCGCAGCGGTTTGGCGCCTGCCTTTGGCCCAGGGCGCGATCCTGGAGACCCGGGATCGAGTCCCACGTCGGGCTCCCGGTGCATGGAGCCTGCTTCTCCCTCTGCCTGTGTCTCTGCCTCTCTCTCTCTCTGTGTGTGTGTATGTGACTATCATAAATAAATAAAAATTAAAAAAAAAAAAGAGCAGTCTCGAGATTAGAAGCACCAAGAGTGTCTGGGGCAATAGCATGGCCTTTCCCAGGAGCGGGGAGCACATAGGCGGGCAAGGCCTGGAGGTGACCCTGGCCCGTTGCTCTGTCTCCATGAAGCATTGGGCAAGTTGTGCCACCTCTGTGGGCCTTGGTTTCCCATCTGCCCACTGGAGGTAGAAACAGTCCCTCTCTGTAGGGTGGCTGCAGGTGCATGAGGTCAGGTGTGCAGAGTGCTCACTGAACACGGTCTGTCTTTTGTGAGCCCCGTGTGCCAGCAGGACAGAAGAGGAGGGCTGGGGTCACTGCCTGCTGGTGGAGCCACCGCGCATGCCTCCTCAGACCGGTGTCTATTATCCAAGCACCAGCAAAACACCAACCGGCAGCTGGTGCTGAGGCTGCACTCAGGGTGCAAGGGAGGAAGAAAATGCAAGTCACTTGTGGCTTCTCAGGGCACTCCGTTGTGCCCTCCACCCCCCAGCAGCACTGGGGATTGTGGTCCAGCAACTGGCCAGAAGTGCAGGCGTGGGGTGGGCTCTGTGCACACAGCTCTGCTCCCCGTCAGGCTCTTACCTGAACCCTCCCTTTCCTGGGCTGAATTACAGCCCTCATAAGGGCAGTGCCTGCACGTCCCCCAGCGTTGACATTATCAGGATAACTTTAGGGCAGTAGTGGCAAGATGCCCCCCCGTGCCCCGAATTAGGGTGGGGAGGGCAGAAACAGGCTCACAGAGGGGCCCCTGTCCCCTGGGTAGCTGTGGATGACCGTATCTCCTGTTTCAGGTGGTCACTTCTCCCACGCCCCACGGGTCACCCCAGAACAAGGCAGGAGTGCAGTGAGGGACCCCTCCCTCTTCAGAGTTTGGATTTCTGTACTATAGCCCTCTACCCTGAGGCTGCAGCAAGCATGAGGCCTGGCAGGGGCCTGGAGGGCCTAAACACATCGTCCGCCTCCCTGCATGCAGAGTCCTGCGTTCCTGGGAATCCATGCCTTGTGCGTCTCTGTGAGGCCCTCCCAGACCACCTTCCTCCTCAGCTCTGCCGCCTGAAAGTGCGGAGCTTTGCGTGGCTGGTGCTCACTGTGTGTCTTCCCAGCTACCACGTGCACAACGTACCGCTTTTACCCCATCTCACAGACAGAGAAACTGAGGCTTGGGTGGTGGAGTCAGATTCCATCCCAGTACCTGGCCCCTCCTGGTCCCTCCTCCCACTGACAATCTGGGACCCAGAGGCAGTTTCTGGGCCTCCTCTTGCAGCCCTGCCTGGGGTGTCCTCAGCTGGTCTCCTCTGCCCTGTGGGTCCTGTCCTGGCTTGTGACCCCTGCTGGGAGGCGGATGTGGAGATTGTGCCCAGGTAGACAGATGTGGGGAGGAGAGCGGCCTTTGGCCGGGGAGCAGCCTGGAGCCACAGAGTAGGAAAAGTGCGAGCAGGTTTCTTCTTGTGCTCACCTGCGCGCCACATTGTGGCCACTTGCCTTCTGCTCTTGGTGGGGACAAGCCAGGCATGTTTCTTCGCAAGGCTGAACACCGGGTCGCCCGGAGCTCAGATGCCGTCCATTGGTGTGCGTGGAAACCTGAAGCGGGGCAGCCCAGGCATCCCTTGGCAGGCAGGTTGGAGAGTGGGGTCTGGATGGGCAGCAGAGGGGTGCAGCGAGGGCAGCCTTGGAAACATGGTACATGATGAAGGAAGCCAGACAGGAAAGGTAGGTGCTGGGAGGTCCTGCTCCTGTGAAATGTGCAGACCAGGTGAATCCGTGGACACAAAGTAGAGTGGGGCTGACCCCGTGGGGAGGGCTGGGGTGATGGGGTTGGGGTTCCCATGGGCATGAGGAGAGTGCTCTGGATGGTGGTGATGGTTAACCTGGCCTTACAGATGTACTTGATGCCGCTCAGTTACACAAATTGCCATTTTAATCACTTTTACCTATTTTGCCAAAAGAGAAAAAAAAAAGGTGCAGCTGGCTATCCTCCCTCGCCGTTTCGTCTGTCTTCGTGAGCTCTGCCGTGATGCCATCCTCACGGCACCTCCTCCCTCCAGCTCAGTCTGACTGTTCTCGCCTCCTTTTCTCCTCAGTTGAACTTTGACCTGGACCGAGGTGTGTTTCCAGTGGTCATCCAGGCCGTGGTGGATGAAGGAGACGGTGAGCGGCCTTTCCTCGTCCATCTCCCTTCTGGGTGTGGACCCTTCTCACCTCATTCAGCAGGGAGGACTTTATTCCCAAAGTGATGAAAGACGTTGACTCAGCCCACTTAGCGCATTTGGGGCCATGGGTTCAAGCCCGGAGCCGGCCGGCTGCTGGGTTCTGGCGTCCACCCCCCGTGGGATGATGGAAGACAGCAGAGAAGGGCACAGAGCAGGGCGGGCCGGGAGCTGTGGCTGTCAGCACGTCAGGCCACGCTGATGGGCTGGCTCAAGGCCTTTTCTCCTGCCAGGCTTGCTGGGTCTCTCTGTTGCTGCTACTGTAGGCTGCGGGCCCCCCGGCCTAGGGCATAGGACCCCTCCCAGCCGAGTCCTGGCTTCTCAACTGTGTCTGAATGTCCCCCCAGGCAGAGGAAGGCAAGCTGAGGACGATCCCCCCATGGGTTTTGGGCTCTCCAGCTGAGAGTATTGGGAAGTAGCAGCTAAGAAAGAGAGAAGCTCAGGGTAGGGGGCAGAAGAGGGGTTGAGGCCAGTTCTGACCGCTCCCTCCTCTCTCTTCCGGTAGTTGTGGAAGTGACTGGCCACGCCCACGTGCTCTTGGCCGCCTTTGAAAAGGTAAGTGCCGTCCTGCCCCTTACTGTGCCTGTGACCAGGGAGCATGGGCAGAGGGGTGGTGTTTTGAGACTAGAAGTCTGAACTTGGGGTCCAGGCTGGGCCAGGTGGGCTTAGTGCCAGGGGCTCAGGGCACGTGGCGGGCTCTCCAGTTACTCTGGGTTCCAAGGGGCTGTGCCTTGAGGAAGGCTTTTCAAAGGGTATCTGGTGTGCCCAGAGGGGCAGAGAGAAAAGACCTCCAGGCCCTCCTGGAGTCCCTGAGTTGGGGGTGCCTCACATACTAGAAGGTCGTTTACATGCAAGAATTCACATTACCTTCAGCCTGATGCGTATTTGAACTTGGGTGTTTGCCCTTTCTTCCACGCAGACCCGAGTCCCCAGTCTCCCCAGCTGTTCTTGCTCGTGGCCATGTTACATGGGGTGCAATGAGAATGGTCATCCCCACCGTTGTCTCTGCGTTAGGATGTCGTGGGGCCTGGGGACGGTCCCATTTGCCAGTCACTGCTGTTCATGGGGCCAGGCAGTTGTGTGTTCATGCAGCAAGCGAGTGCCTGGCTGTGTTGGGAACAGATCCCCTGCTCACCGAGCCCCTTGCTGGAGGTGGTGGGGTACATCCCCTGCTTGAGAATGTCATGACTGACAGCCCCACTCCCCAAGGCCCTTTGACCTTGGCCTGCACTCTGCAGATTGTAAAGTGTTTCCAGCACCAGCGTGTGGCCTGGCTGGACGAGGATCAGGGACCCCAGGAGGAAACCAGGCTCAGGCTGCTTCTTCTGGACTTAGCACCACACGTGGGCATCCTGCTGACCCCTCGTTTCCTCAGCCCGGTGTGTCCACGCGCAGCCTGGAGCGTGTTGAGGGCAGTGCCCAGCTCCTGCCTGTGATCTGGATCTTTCCAGACTTCCCAGGGAGTGAGGACAGCTGGGCCCAAGGCCCCTTTGGCACATGTGTCCCGTGCTCCCCTGGCCCCTGGGCTGTGGTGGTGCTGAGTGCCCAGGGTAGAGGTTGGGCGTCTCCCTCGCCAGCTGCGCTCCCCAAGCCCGGCCTTGTCGGAAGAGGTGGTAACTGTACTGTGTGCTTCTGTGGTGAGCGGGGCGGGCGGGTGATGGCAAACTCCGTCTGCACTTCCAGTTTAGAGCCCAGTGAGAAACTGCTTTCGGACGGTGTGTCTCCCCAGATGCCACCCAGCACATTCACCGTTTACCTTCTTTAGTTCTCAGACTTTTTAGGACTTTGGGCTTTCATTATACATATGCGTGTGCACAGTCTTCTCAGTGAAGCCAAGCCGTTTGGGGTTAGAAGTGGGCTGTGTCACTTCTTGCTGTCCAGGTACTGCTGCTTGCTGTTGGGGGGCTCTGGTCCCTGTCAGAACTTGCCCAGTGGTCATAAACCTGACTGAGCTTGAGAACTGCCCGAAGAGTTGGGTTACCTGGGTCAGGTGGTGCTCCCGGTAGTTTCAAGGCCCAGTCAGAGGGCCACGTTTGGAGAGACCTGGCCGGGCCCCGTCCTTCCGCTGTGGATGTGGAATGCCTGAGGAAGGGCCTTCAGCCTGCCAGGCAGGGCTGCTAAGTGGTACCAGCTTATAACTCTGTGTCTTTCTCCCTGGTAGCACGTCGATGGCAGCTTCTCTGTGAAACCTTTAAAGCAGAAGCAAATTGTAAGTCTGGTAGGAGAAACATTGTGACCCCTTTTGATATTAAAGACCCTCAAACACACTTACTGTCCAGAGTCGTCATCTGGGCTCTGGAAAGTCCGGATCTGCCCCTCTGTGCATGCGTGCGCCCGCCACGTCCCAGTATTGACTCGTAGCCCCAAGTTTCGCCCAGCTCAGTGAGGAGGGTTCGACCTCCTTAGGGCTAGGTGGGAAATGCAGCTCAGACCACTTTTGAGCACGGTGATGTGTGGTCACTGGTCACTCTCGTGCAGCTGTGATGGGTGGTTCAAAGTGACTTTTCCCTGGGGAGGGGGAGGGTAGGTGGAGAGGGTGTGCTTGCCTGGCCCGAGTGGAGGTTGGCTCCATGCCCCTCGGTGAGCAGAACCTTGGGCCCCCAGCCCCTGCCCTTCTGCCTGTGTCACTTGCTGGGCTGGGCTGGCCCGGGTACGCACCTCCTGGCCCCGGGCCCACTCGCTGAGGTGCAGGTGGGCAGAATTTCAAACCACACCTGCTCTGGGACCCAGGCCTGGCCCCTGGGAAATGGTGTTGGGCCAGGGGGGTGCAGCGGGGCTCCCAAGTGGGGCCGGCCAGTGCCCGGATACCTCTGTGTTCTCCAGGTGGACCGGGTCAGCTACCTGCTGCAGGAGATCTACGGCATCGAGAACAAGAACAACCAGGAGACCAAGGTTTGCGCTGGTGGTGACCTCGGCTGGGACTGTGGGTGGACCTCACTCTCATCTTCCCTTCCACCTGCCCGGGAGCCGACTCCTGGAGGGGCTTGCCTGAAACCCCCAGCCCTGGCCCTGGCCCCGTGGGCTAGTCCCCTGTGTGCCCTCCCCAGGGGACCCCAGGACCCCAGACTCCAGGTTTCTTTAACTTTTCAAAGGCTTTCACAGAGAAGGGCAACCTGGGTGGCTGGGTCGGTGAGTGTGCGGCCCTTGATCTTGGGATTGTAGGTTTGAGCCCCACGTTGGCTGTAGAGATTACTTAAAGATCATAATAATAGTAATAAATGAATAAATAGAAGAGTTAACAGAGCCTATGGGGCCTTTTATTCTTTTTCCAACAAATTCCCTGGCTTGTTAGCATCATTGGGTTGCCAGCCATTGCGTGGGCAGGGACAGCCTGGTGTGTGGGGCCCCTTCCCACCCCCTCAGGGTGAGCTCTAGTGGCCCCCGCCAGCGGCCCGCCCCCCAGCCCCCCAGCCCCGAGCCCTCTGCACACCTGTGGCCAAAGCGCGTGGCTGACGGAGCTGTGGTCTGGCGAGCATCGGCCTGTGCCTTTGTCATCATTTGAAAGGCACGAGTGACACTGCCATCTCTTAAAAGTTTCTGGAAGTCTTACACGCAAGCCTCTGTGACAGCTGGGACCGGCTGAAAGCCGGAAGTCAGGGCACTTTGGTCAGGCCCTTAGTCTCGGCGTGTTCTCTGTGTGCTTCATGTGTCAGCACCCCCTTCCACAAACAGCCTGGTGGTATGTGTTGTCACCTTCAGTGGCCGTGTGGCGTCTGTCATGCCTGTTCAGTGCCCTGATTTTACAGATTGCACACAAGCAGCGTTGCCGTTTGGAAACCAAGGGGCAAGGCTGGGTTCCGGTAAAACTTGATTTACAGAAACAGCTGGTGGGGCTGTAGTTTGCTCTTTTACAGGGTTGTCGTCTCTTGATCCAGACACTCATTTTGATTAGACAAGGTGGACTTGTCTGATTTTTTTTTCAGTTTCAACCCAGTATGTGGGCGCCCTCTGTAAGACATGCCTGTACTGTGGGCCTTTCCATGCTGCTCTATGGTTCTGGGGAATAGGAGGAAACGTGGGTTTTCTTGGTTTGGTGTGTGTGTTGGGGGCAGGCACAAGCCGGGTCTGAGCTCTGTGCCGTGTCCCCTGAAGATGGGAATACCTCCCTGCCCCGGCCTCTGCCTGTGGCCCTGGGGAGCCCGCTGACACTTGGACCCTCCGTGTCCCCACAGCCCTCGGACGAGGAGAATAGCGACAACAGCAACGAGTGTGTGGTGTGCCTGTCGGACCTGCGGGACACGCTGATCCTGCCCTGCCGGCACCTCTGCCTGTGTAACTCGTGTGCGGACACGCTGCGCTACCAGGCCAGCAACTGCCCCATCTGCCGGCTGCGTGAGTGGGGCCAGGGCTAGGTAGGGGGCTGCGGGCTGTCGCCTCCCGCCCCGGGCATAGCAAGTGGGACGTGTACTTGGCGCAGGTGGTCGGTACCCCTGGCAACCGCGCTGGCACGTGTGCGGCTCACATCCCCGAACATTAGACTTCGGGAGTTAACGGCGGGAACGGTGCCAGGGCAGGTGCTTGCCATGAACTTGGAACGGGACAGAAAGTGGCCTGTGAATCACACCTTTAAGTGTTACATGGACAATATTTTGATGTAAAAAACCAGTCCTGGTGAGGTGGACAGCCGACAGGAGTTCGTTTCCAGGAGCACTCCAGATGTTTTCTCAAAGTTAATTCTGAATCAGGTGTTCGTCCTCCAGTGGAAGGAATCCAGACATTCTCGGGGCAGAAGATCCCGCTGGATCGAAATTAGCGTCCAGCCAGTGGGCAGGTCTCAGTGGGAAGGGCCGGGCTGTGGGGGGGAGAGCCCGCCCTGGACTCCAGGGGTTTTCAGTTGTCGGATGCTGACGGCTTTTTGGAGAAAGTCTTCATGCTGTTTCACACCTTGGTGTGCCTGTCAGCCTCCGGGGGCGGCCTGGGGGTACCCGTGCCTCAGCCCGCGCTCCTGTACCAGCATCCGGCTGTGTGGCCGGATGGCTTGTCTCGTCAGTATCTTGGGGCTCAGAGGGAGCCTGTCCAGGGTCACAGCTGGTAAGGGGCAGGGTTGGGTCTAAACTAGTGGTGAGCTGTGTGCAGGGGTTGCAGGGTAGGCCGAGCGTGTGGAAGTGGAGGGGGAGGCCGTGGGGTTTGGGCGGTCCAGAGTCCAGCCCTGATGAGACCTCAGGGCTTGCAGGGGAGGCCGCAGAGGGCCTGTGTGCTGGCCCTGGAGGGACAGGCAGCAGGCCGGGTAGCCTCTCCTGGGTGAGGAACAGGCTGGGAGCAGGAGCTGAATGCCAGCCTTCCCCAGGGGCTCTGTGTCTGGTGTTCTCGGGTGCGGCATGGTGTGACGGCCCAGGGGCCCAGATGGGCTAGGGCATGGGCCCCTGGCAGGTGTGGGGGGCACTTGGGCTGGGTGAGCTGGGCCAGGGCCCTTGTCTCTGAGGCCTGCAGCCTGGGGCAGCCACCATCAGCGCTAGAGATGTGGGTGTCACTAGCAGGTGCTGGGACAGTGTGCAGCTGTTTACCGTGTGTGACCTTGTGCTTTTCATAAACGTTACGCTGTTTTGTTTTGTCTTTAATATTTTATTTATTTATTCATGAGATACACAGAGAGAGAGAGGCAGAGACACAGGCAGAGGGAGAAGCAGGCTCCCTGCAAGGAGCCTGATGTGGGACTCGATCCCAGTACCCTGGGATCATGCAGTGAGCCAAAGGCAGATGCTCAACCGCTGAGCCCCCCAGGTACCCTAGCATTACACTCTTATTAGGGACACTGATCAGGGTGACCAGTAGCTTGGTCCTAATTTATTTTCCCAATTCTTGCTGCTTCTGGTTTTGTGGTGTAGAGATTGTGCCGTCAGGGACATTCGCATACGTATGTTTACCTGTCCTTGGTGTAACTTCTGGGAGGAAATACCCGGTCGCCAGGAGTGATGCCGCCACCACAGTCAAGGGTGTAGTCCCGGGTTTGGCATGTGCGAGGCTGGTGGCACCCTCCCTGCTGCCCTGGAAGCTCCACCTGAACTGGGTAGTGCACTCCTGGGCTCCCCTGTCTCCCCTCTGGGGCAGTTTGGTGATCACTCTGTTTTGCCTCTGATTTGGAAATGTGGCTTGTTCTAGGACCACTGTGGGTGGGTGGGTGGCCGGCCTCCGTGGTTCCGGAACTGGCTGCCCCTTGCCTGATGGGAGCCCTTCCCTCTGCCACAGCTTTCCGGGCCCTTCTGCAGATCCGGGCAGTGAGGAAGAAGCCGGGAGCCCTGTCCCCCGTCTCCTTCAGCCCTGTCCTGGCCCAGAGCATGGACCACGATGAGCATTCAGTAAGTGCCTCTTTCTTCTGTGCTGTGGGGTGGAGGCCAGAGAACGGGGGGTTTCTGCAGGAAGCCCCTGCCCATTTTCAGTCTCTCAGTCCGGACGCCCTCAGGCTTTACCCTTGGTGTTAGGACAGCTTCGGCTTCCCAGTGGGGCTGCATTGGTCAGAGGCCCTGGGCCTGTGGCCAGAAGGAAGGGCATGCCCAGGCTGTCTGCTTCTCACTGCCTGCCGGCTCTCTGGGCCTCCGTCCTCATCTGGCCGAATGGGGTGACCCAGGCTGGGCCCAGGGAGCCCCGGGTCCTAAGAGTATTGTTGTTTTTCCCGAGAGCAAAGGCCATCTGACGGCACGCAACCCTCCATTGAGTTTGAATGTCTGTCACCATCATTCTACCAGGCCAGATAGCCAGGGCCACCGTATGGGTCCTAGGAGGTGAGGTCTCACCCAGTGGGTGACTATGACCTGTCCTCTCTGTCCACTGAGGGGGGCTGCCCAGCCTGGACACAGGAGAGCGCCTTGGTAGCCACCCACCTCACTTGCTTCCTGGGAAACCGCGAGGTGAGCTTGTTGCAGGCAAAGGAGGGGAGACAGACTCAGGCTTCAGGGAGAGAGACGGCTGTCTGGGTCAAGACATTGGCAGAAGATGGAGAGAGATGTAGAGACACAGAAAGAGAAGCAAAGACAGACATGTAGAGAGATGAGCAGAGACATAGTCACAGAGACATGGGGAGAGACACATGCAGAGAGGCACTAGGAGAGACACAGAGGAGACACAGACGGGGATGGGACTAGAAAAGTAGGTGCTGAGACACGGCAGAGAGGCACAGCAGAGACAGGAGGGGCTGGCCCAGGTCTTGAGCTCCCAGCCCCCCCCCCCCCCCACCGGCCACAGCCATTGTCTGCCGGTGAGTCCGATGTTGGGATTCAGTGATTCTCAGAAGGAAAGGACCCAAACCCTGTGGTTCGCACACCCGCAAGATGGGCTTCTGCGCTGAGCCGGTGAGTGTCCCGTGTTGGGCCTGTGCAGTGTGTGTGAATATTGGGCCAGTGTTAAAAGGCTGGAAATTTTCCATAAGACTCAGATTTCTGGCTTCTCTTTCAAAATCTGAAGGTCTGGTCTTGCAGCTCAAGCTGATGCAAGGCTGCCTCGGAGGTGGGGTCCCCATCACCCCACTTTTCCAGGCCAGCCACACTGTGTATTTTGCCTGCTGGGCCCCTGTTGGCCTCAGGGCTTACTACTCCCGAAACGGCCCTCCAGTGTATTTAATGTTGGGCTTGACTGAGGAACACGGAACATTTTCTCCAGCCATGCAGTTTTAGTAGAGAGAGAAGTTAGCAGTGAGATGTGATTTGTTCCTGGGAGAGGAGGGGTGCTCAGGGGTGGACGGTGGGTTTTCTTGTTGCCTGTGTGTGCCCTTCCCAGGCTCTGCCCTGGAGTCTGAGCGTCTGGCCTGACCTTCCCATGTCTGTCCCTCTTATCCAGAGAGTGCCAAGATGGCTCTCACACTACAGGGCGGCCCTGGGTTTGGGTTGTGAGCTTCCCATGCTCCAGAGGGCCGGCGCCTTCCCCTCCAGAGGGTTAAGATAGCCAAATAACGGGCTCTGGTTCTCCACCATGTTTCCTGAATGAGCAATTTGCACCTAGTGGCGTGGACAACCCAAATTTTCTTCAGTGAGACCTTTACGGTCATTGAGGAATGGGGGTGATTTAGGGCTGATTTTTCTCCCCAGCTTCCTTTAGGAGTTGGACATTGGTGATGAGTTTATGAGACAGTGGCAGACCTCATAGAAGTACGGGGTGGGGTGTCCCTTTCTCGTGCCCAGCGGGGCCCACTTGTGAGGAGCACCTGGCTAGCCTCCTGCCTGTGCTGGCCAGGACCTCCTTCTCGGGGTAACCCAGACGATGGTGGCCAGTGGGACAGGGATGGGCTCTACGAGCGGCATCACTTCTGGGAGTTGCAAAGATGCCCAGGTCCAGGCCCTACAGAATGTGCACTTGGCCAGGTCCCCAGACCTCATGTGCAGGTTCAGTTTGCCAGGCACAGGCTCACGGCATACCCAGAGGCCAGCAAGCCCGAGACACTCCCCAGCCAGCCAGCTCCAGTGCGGTTTGGGGGATGGCAGTTGTAAAACATATGATTTTTATCTTGACAGTGTCCCTTTAAAAAATCAAAGGCGCACCCCGCCTCACTGGCCAGCAAGAAACCTAAAAGGGAAACAGTAAGTGTGTTTGGCCCTGTGGCCACATCTTTGTCCTGCACCCTGATGATTAAACCAATGACAAGTATGGGAAATCATTTTCACCCCAGGCTAACGTGTTTGGTTAATTTAATCTGTCAAATCCACTCTCCCCAGTCCCGGCGTCCCTGCCCAGGAAGGGAGTTTTGTGGAACAAGCAAAGCTCAAGGTCTGTCGGCAAAAAGCCAGTGTCTTGGATCCCCGCTGCCAGGCGGCAACAGCGCCGGCCTCGGGCCGCCCCTTCTCGCCAGCTCTGCTTCTGCCCGTGGTCCCCAATGGCCTCGTTTCCCTTTTTTTTCTTGCTGGCAGTGGAATGATGTTGGAGGTGGAACTCACTCACCTTGCTGCTAGTTTTTGCAAACAGTCTTCCTCGCGCTTGCTTGTCATCCTGCATCCCCTGCTCTGTCCACCTTGGATGTTAGCTCTTTGGGCCAAGGACTTGGTTTCCTTGCATTTTCCCTGCATCTCAGGGAGCAGGCGGGGGACTCTGCCTGGAGCCTCTACTGATCCCCATGGCCCCTCAGCAGAACTTAGAGAGGTGGAGGTCACGGGAGGGCTAACCCAGAGAGAGGCTTTTTTCCTCTTTGGAGGATGAGGAGGTTCAAAGAAATTACTGACCTTTCAGTGGAAGGCAGGCTGGGAGCGGATGCAGGGCAGCACGGGCCAGGTGGCCAGGGCACTCGGGGAAGCTCTGCCTGGCTCTTCTGCCTTTCCTGGTCCGCAAGGCTGTTCCGTCGTACCTGAAAGGCAGCTCTCCCCTCCTCCCAGCAGAGCGGGCAGGCGGGCGGGGGTTCACAGTGGGAGCGCTGCCGGGCATTGGTCCCTTGCCTTGTCTAGTGAGAGCGAGGCGGGGGGGGGGGGGCTGTCCCGCCTGCGCAGTGGCCTGGGGGCCTCACGTCTTCAGCACCCGGGCGTCTCCCCACCTTAACTTTAAAGCAGGACTCAGTCTGTTGATTTGCTCCACTCCCAGCAAGGGGAAGACTGGGTCTGAACCAGAGGTGCCCATTAGAAGCGCCTGAAACACACGTCACCTCCAGTGGACACTTGTTTCAGGCACACACAGGGTCTCAAGTTGGGCCAGATGCCTGTGCTGGGCAAAGCTCCCCGCGGGGCCAAGCCCTCCCTGGTCTAGAACACACGCTGCTCCACTGGCCTCTCCCGCCTTCGGCATGGCTTTGCTCTCCACCTGCTCCTGAGCCTCCTCTCTCTCTCTGACCCCTCACTCTCCACCTGTGCCAGGCAGGAACAGAAAGCCAGGTAGGGGCTGGCTGAGACCAGGGGTGGGGACGGCTCCCAGGTGCCCTCTTGCCTTCATCTGGGGCACAGAGTGGGCATCCAAGGCTGCGTGCTGCGGCTGATGGCCGAGGGAACCCGGGGAGGGTGTCTGATGCTGCTGCGGTGTTCTTGGCGCCCCTCTGAGGGACGGGGATTTAGATCCCTGGAAGGTGGAGTGGACAGGAGATGGTCAGAAGGCAGGTTCTGGGGAGTAGAACGTCCCTGGGGCACAAGCCCAGCGTCTGGGGCTTTGTGGCCCAGGGCAGCGGGCAGGGAGTGTGGCCGGCCTGTCCCTCACCCACCCTTGTCCCCGCAGAGTTCTGACAGCGTCCCACCTGGCTACGAGCCCATCTCCCTGCTGGAGGCGCTCAACGGCCTTCGGGCCATCTCCCCAGCCATCCCGTCAGCCCCCCTCTATGAGGAGATCACCTACTCAGGCGTCTCGGATGGCCTGTCCCAGGCCAGTTGTCCACTTGCTGGGATCGATCGAATCCTGGAAAGCAGCCACCAGAAGGGCAAGCCGAGGAGCAGATCCCCTGACAGGTGAGGCTGATGCCAGGATTCCCTCTGAGGGTGGTACGTGGGAACCACCCACCCGCTCTGTGGCGGGGCTTGGGGAAGTGTGTGGTGTCACGGAGGCAGGGCAAAGCCGGGGGGCGCTGGGGTGGCTCAGTTTGTCGTCTGACTTCGGTTCAGGTCATGGTCTCTGAGTCCTAGGATTGGGCTCTGGGCTCAGTGGGGAGTTGGTTTGAGATTCTCTCCCTCTTCCTCTGTCCCCCCTCTGCCCCTCCCCATCCCTCTCTATTTGCATGCATTCATGCGATCTCCCCCCCCCCATAGATTGATTGATTGATTTTTTGAAAAAGTGCAAAGCAGGTGTATGTGTGGGTTTAGTTTTAGAACTTTTTTTGGGTGATTTCACTAGAATGACTCACAGAATTAGTAGCAGGTTAGGTTATGGATAAAAGTTATAGCAAAGTAGAGAGAGCAAAGCAGCTGGAAAGATGCGCTGGTGGAGCCCAGAGGTGCCCAGAGTCCCACCCCGTCCCAGGCCACACTGGACATGGCGGGAGCCCCTGGAGTCTCAGGGTCCCAGGATTTTCTGGGGGCTGGTCACGTGGGCACATCCTGCTGTGAGCACCAGTGGCAGTCAAACCTGGGCCGCCACGAAACCAGGTGCATGATGTTGCCCTAGTTATGCCTGAGAAGCAGAGGGTCCAGTCACGATCCCCCTGGACAGTGCGAGACAGGTGACCAGCCTTCTGTGTTAAGCCTCTTTTCACATGTGCTGTTTATTTTTTTTTTTAAATTTAAATCTAAGTTAGTTAACCTATAGTGTGTTATTAGGTTCAGGGTAGAGGTCGATGACTCACCCATTGCCTGTAACACCCAGTGCACGTTCCGTCACGTGCCTTTAATGCCCGTCACCCAGTTACCCTGTCCCCCCACTCCCTTCCCTCCAGCAACCTGCAGCTGGTTTCCTAGGGTTTAGAGTTTCTTTTCCTCTCTGATTTTATCTTATTTTTCCTCTCCCTTCTTCTACATTCATCTGTTTTGTTTCTTAAATTGCACACATAAAGGAAATCATAGGATAATTGTCTTTCTCTGACTTATTTTGTTTAGGTTAATATTCTCTAGTTCTCTCTTGTGTGCTCTGGTTTTAAGAAAAGTAAAGGCGGACGTTCTGTAAAACAGGCCTGGCCCCTGTGATTACACATGTGGCAGGGCCGCTCCAGATAGAGAAAGAAGTGTGGGGTGTCTCCTGCTGCCCCCCACCCCAGGGGTACCATCGTGATGCTCTCCTCTGGAAACACGGAGCAGTGTGCAGGCCCGTGCAAGCACGCACCGGGGACGGCCTCCAGGTCCAGCCCGCCGCTGTGCCTGCTGGCGTCCTGCTGTGCACCCGCCTCCCCACAGGTGGCACTGGCTTTGGTGGGTTGGCGTTTATCATCCACATGCCCTCCACCCCGTCTTGTTTGTCCCCAGCACCCTGCGGTCTCCGTCGTCCCCCATCCATGAAGAGGATGAAGAGAAGCTGTCCCAGGACTCGGATGCCCCTCCCCCGCTGAGTGGGGCGGGCCTGGCGCTCAGCAGCTCCCCCGAGGTGAGGCCCACCGTCACCCTGGCCCCGCCGCCTGTCTGTGGGCCCCCAGACCTGTGGCCAGGTGTGCCCCGGGCCCCCCTCCACCGCTCGCTCGCATGGCAGCAACCTTGGCTGGTTTCCTCATCTGTGGGATGGGTCCTGTTTCGGGGGCTGCTGGGGCTCCTGCTGTGAGGGAAGTCCTGGGCCAGCAGCACCAGAGCTGCAGCCACACATTGTCCTTGTTTCCCAGAGCTTCGTAACGGAGGAGGCGGACGAGGCAGCGGCATTAAAGCAAGGTAAGCCCTCTCCTCAGGAGCAGAGCCTCAGGCGGCTCTGCCAGAGGCTTCTGGAGGGTAGCTCTTCAGAGCGCACTGGCTCCCCTCCTGGGGGTCATGAGTTCCTTACTGCAGGACCTCCCAGAGGACAGCCCCCGGCCTTCCTGGTTTTCCTTCCACACCCAGCCAGCACGTAGTAGTGGCGGTTAGCTGCTCATGCACGTCCCCTACGGGCTGCCCAGCTGGCACCTGGAGAGACCCAGGGTTCCTCCTAAGGCCAGAGGCTAGACAGTGGGGTGCAGGTGCCTAGCTCAGTCAGGCCCCTCCTCCGTGTGTCCCTGTGTCCCGTGGAGGGGGCCGTGCACCTCTCCGTGGAGAGTGGAGAGTTTAGCACAGAGTAGCCTGCTGGGGCCTGAGTCCAGCTACCATTGGTGGGCACTGGGCTGTGTGGGGCGTGACCCCCACCTGACCTCACAGTGGTTGTGGGATATGATGAGGTGCTCCGTCTCCCGGCTGGGGAGGTGTCATCCCACCACCGACCCAGTCATTCCTCCAGGTTGGGGTGGCAGGAGGCCCAAAGCCATTTAATTGGGAGGTGACAGAGGCAGGAAGTAGCCCTGGCTGGCTGGCTGGCTGGCTCCCAGGCCTGCAGCATGGTAAGGACCCCAAAGTAACCTGCAGCCACTCCCTTGCCAGGAGGTTCCCCAGTCAGCATTGTACCGAGGTGACCTGCGTCCACCCTGGGAGTGGCTCCCTGCCCCCAGCATGTGGGGCCTGCCTGCAGGTTGCTGGGCCTTGGGGCCTTGGGTCTGGGTGTGAGTGTTGGTGCCCAGGGCAGGGTGCCTGGTCTGGGTATCCTCACATCCTGCCTCTTAGGCCTGAGCTCCCCCACCTCAGCCTGGGCCTGAGCCTCTCCCGACACTCCTGCCTGCCTCCCTGTGCAGAGCACGTGCCCAGACTGCGTGGCTCCCCACTGTGCCTGTCACGGGGCATAGGCCCCGCTTCTGCGGAGGGGACCTCCCCCTGAGGATACCCTGGGCAGCCCTGGGCACAGCTGTGTGAGAGTGAGGTGGCCACGCTAGCTGCCCCCTGCAGGGTGTGTGGCCCAGCTGGAAGGATAAGGATAAACAGGAGATATTAAACTTATTACCATTTCTCGGGTATATAATGTGTTTATAATGAAAAACAGAAGCCCCGAGCTGGAGTTGGGAGAGAAGGGTAGTAAAGAAGAGCAAACCTTTGCCTCTCAGGCCTAGAGGGCGGAGGAGGGTGTCAGGGTAGGGTCTGGCCCCCAGTGGCTGCAGAGCCCTTAGGCAGGAAAGACAGGCTCCTGGGGGTCCTGACCAGAGGGTCAGTGGCCACCTTTTGCCTCTGGGCCTCTGACCTGCCCTCTCCTCTGCAGGGAGCCGAGTGCCGTCCATCGAGAATGTCCTACAGGACGGCAGCCCTGAGCCCTGCAGCCATGGCCAGCCCCGCCTGCCAGCTGATATCTACCTGCCAGGTAACAGCATTCGGCAGCTGAACTGGGTGGAGCGTGGTGTACTGTCACCATCCGCATGGACCTTGGGGCCCACTGGGCCAGGGGGCAGTGCGGTGACTGTCCCCGTGGAGCTAGGGGTCTGCTCTGACTGCTTAGGGAGGGGCTGGCCTGTCGGGAGCCCAGGTGTCTCCCTGGCTTTGCCCATATTCCTTCTGTCAACCCCAAAGCACAGCCAGGCCCTGGCTCTACAGCCCCCCCACCCTCCGCTGAGGCTCTTTGGTGAAGAGCCTGCGTCTGAGGCCCCTTTGCACCCCGGAGCCAGGTCTGTGTTGGGAAGGCAGGAGAGGCTGGTCCTTCTCTCCATCTCCTGCTTGGGCCCGGTGGGCAGACCTAGTCCCACTGGAATCTCCCACTCTTCCTTCGTCCGTGGGTACAGCAGGCCCTGTTTGGGTGCCCCAGCAGCAGGGCCTCTGCCCAGGGAGCTACAGACAGAAAGCTGCACTCCAGGGCCTGACGCTGGCCCCCAGCCCTCTACCACCTGCCTGGGGGGCCGATGAGCACTCACAGGGTGCAGGTGAAGCCACGCATCCCAGGCCGGTGCTGTGAGGACGGGTGGGGCCAGGCGCCTGCAAGGCCCAAGGGCAATGGGGAGAGGTCTTATTGCTCTGCCCCCTTTCCCTTTTTTTTTTCTTTTTGTTTTTAAAGATGTATTTGTCTATTCATGAGAGACACAGAGGAAGAGGGAGAGACACAGGCAGAGGGAGAAGCAGGCTCCCTGCGGGGAACCCGATGCGGGACTCGATCCCAGGACCCTGGGATCACACCCTGGGCTGAAGGCAGATGCTCAACCACTGAGCCACCCAGTTGTCCCTCTGGCCCAATTTCCAGAGGCCTCTGTCCCCCGCCCCCAGCTCCTCGCTCTGCTCCTCAGGGTCAAGATCCTCAGCTTGAAGTACTAGGCTCCAGAGATGGGGGACAGGACTTGGGGCTCTGAGACTTGTGCCTGCTGCCTGTTAAGATACCGTCTAAGGTCCGATATCAAGATAAATAGCCACGGTGCCCTCAGAAAGTCAGGCTCCTGCCTCGTGGCTAGGAAGACTTTTGCCCCCCGCCTGCCCCAGGACTCACTGCTGCTCAGTTCCCGGTGACCTGACCTGGGCCTCGGGCCTGGCTGTGATGTGCTTTGGTGTGAAGGTGTCTCTTGTCCCACCCGCCCCAGCTGGACAAGCAGTGGCCTGTGCAGACAGGGTCCCTATAGCCCAGAGGGTGGCCCGTCACCAGGTGTAGGAAGGCGGGGTCATATGTTCATCCGCACTCGGGGGCCTACTCAGAGAGACCCATGGGTGAAAGCCATGCCTAGGACCAGTATTCCATAGAGTAACACAATTCCAGTAAGTTCTTTCAAGGAACTTCAAGGATTTCCTTATAATTACAAGCTTGGGGGGATGGGGAGAGCCCATAGGACGGACTTCCTAGAACCACGAGTGGGAGTTGTGGTTCTATGGTTGAGGAGGCACCTTGGACCCCCCCGCCCCCCGGCAGTGCTACCCCCACGCTGCCGGCGTGTCTGCAGGTCAGGACAGGCCGCAGCCGCTGGACTCTGCCCACAGGTGACACCAGGCTCTCTGGCTCTGTCACCCCTACCCTAGGCCAGTGACGTGGCCACCTTCAGCTCCACGGAGGGGGCGGGAAGCACGTTGGCTGTGCAGGTGATAAAAGAGAGGCGGAAATCCGTGTTCGGGGGCAGCAGAAGGCAGTGTCCAGCCACGGGGCATAAGGAGGCAGCTCCGGGGCCTGCGACTCACCTGGTTGTGCCCCCTGCACGGGTGCCCCGTGGGTTAGCATCCAGAGCCTGGTCCTCACGAGCGCTGCCGACTTTACCTGGCGGGGCAGGGGGAGGCCGGGGTCCTCACAGATGTGCACACCTTTACAAGCATATGTGTACCTGTCTTCCTTTATTCCCGTGCCAGAACCTTTTCTCCTGCTACTGGCTCTTGCTCAGCAGAGATCCTAAACGTCTTTCCCACATGCATGTGTTCAAGAGCGGGAACGAGCACACGGGTGTGTTCATTCTTGGTAACAGTTGCACGGCTGTCCCTGGTGGATGGGCACAGTTGAGCGAACATTAGGTCCGTCCTTACTGTGGATGGGGGGATAAGGAGGTCTGGCGAGGGAACCTGGATGCTGGAAGCGGCGAGCCTGGGGGGCGGGGGCCCCTCCCTGGGTCCACCCTCCGCCAGGTGAGCCCCGCCCACCCCAGGCCCTACCCTGTGAGTGCTTCTTGGGGCTGAGCGCCTCTGCATTGCACCGTGGCCCAGTTCTCCTTTGTTTCGGCACATTGGTCTGTGTGGGCATTGTGTCTCACGTGTCCCCCCGGGGCATCTCGTCCTGAAGCAGTGCATTTGCTGCGGGATGTGCTGTCTGTGTGAGTGCTTTGCTAACTGAGCTTCTCTCCTCCTCCGCACAGCCCTGGGGCCTGACTCCTGCTCTGTTGGTATAGAGGAGTAAGCTGGTACGTGATCGCCTTCATACGTGTTGTGGGTGGCTCTGAGGGGCGTCCCTGACCATGCTGGAGCAGGACCAGCTGCCTCTCCCTCTCCTACTCCCTTCCTGGGGGTTCCTGCCCCTTTTCTGGGTTTCTTCCACATCCATGTCTTCCCTGGGGTCCTGGATTCTGAATCCAGAGCTCTCCAAACGTGCTACACCTTCACCCCGAAGAGGTGGTCCTGGGGGATCTGACATCGGTGGACTTTTTCTGTCTGGATTCAGTGGCCCAGCCACACTTTTCTATTCTAGCCTTTAGAGTCCCAGGAATGGTGACTTAGCCCTTGCCGAGACCCCCCCCCCCCCCGTTGCTGATTAGCCTGTTCCCCAGCCTGCTTGTGGAACCTTCCAGAACACCAGCACATGCTGAAATCAGTCTGTTAGGAGGCCATGTGAGGTTGACCCTTGGCCTGAGCAGGAGATGCCCTCCACCTGGGTGACCTTGGCAGGTGGTTCCAAGAGCACCAGCAAAACCGGCCAGTGTGTTTAAGACCCTCTTCCCTTCTTCGTATGACGGTAGCGGCTCTAGGAAGTCTGGCCATGGAGGACCTGGTGCCTTCGGTGGCCCGTGCTTTCCCAGACGCGTGTGGGCTGGGCCGCTGCAGCCGGACTCCGGCCGTCCTGGCAGCCCTGCTGGGAGACGCGCCCCAGGCTGCTGTGTGGCCCTCCTGTAGGCCAGCCGTCCTGAGCTTCGGTGTCTGTCCACTCATGACAGCTGTTCTTGTGTCCCCGCACAAACCTCTCCTGTCCTCCTTGAATGTTTCATCTGACGAATCTTCCCCTCTGTTCAAATACGGCCCAATGCTTTTATAAAGTCGGCCTGACCTCCATGTGAGTGGATGTTGAGTGTTGTGATCTAGGTGAAACTTCCAGAGGTAGACAGTACACAGAGGTCAGGCTGAGCTGCAGAGAGCGGTTTTGCCTGCGGGCTGCATAGCACAGCTGACGCCCTGCACGAAGCCACAGACCCTAAGAAAACAGTTCGTCCCCCTCAGGGTCTGTGTCACAGGTGACAGGTGGCAGAGGGCTCCGCTCCTTGGCTTGCTATGTGACGGAGCCCGTGTCCAGGGGCGGGCGGCCGGCAGCCGTCCCTCTGCAGCCCTGACAGTTGTGCTGGTTGCTCGCCGCTGCAGGCCTGTGTCACAGCCGCACCCACGCCCTGGGGTGCACGCTGGGTCCAGGGACAGAGCGCCCCGAGGCATCGGCAGCAGTGCGATCGTGGCGGAAGGGGCCTCTGAAGAAGGCGGGAGGGGCTCCGGGGGCCCTCTGAGCATGACGCGCACGCAGGGCCTGCGTCCCGGCCTCAGTGGTGACCACAGCGCTGGTCGCGTCCCCAGAAGCCCGGACCAGGCAAGGGGGAGACCCAGGGACAGGACGTGCGGCACCCTGTTACATTCTGCTCTGGGGCATTGGCTGGTGCCAGTGCCCTGGATGTGCTCCCAGAGAGACAGGCCGCCCTTACTCCGCTGGGGCTGCGCTTCCGGGGCTCTGGGTGGCCCTGCCCCCGGGAAGAGGGGGCACAGTCGGCAGACACTGAGCGGGACGGATGAGGTGGGCGACTTGGCCCAGCGTGACCGCTTCTCCCTTTGCTCCTGCCTGCAGGATGGTCCACCTCCATGGAGCTGCCCCACAGCCTCCGTACCACTGGCCCACCCCGGCCTGTGCTTGGTGGCCCCAGTCCTGACCCTGGGGCCACTGAGCTGACCCCACTCTGAGAGCCTGGCCAGGCTGGCGGCGTGGAGCGCCTAGCTCCCCAGACTCTGCTGAGGGGCCACCAGATTCCAACGTGACCCCTGGCCTCTCCAGTCTTGCACGCTCTGCGTGGCCACTGGCTCCAAGGGGCCATCCGACCCTTGATTGAAGAGCACCTTGGACGGTCTCCTCTGACAAATTCCTTTTTCTACAGTCGATGTATTTGTAAATGGTACAAGATGAAGGACAGCAGCTTTCTGTTCTGGGGTCTCCCCTGCCCGCCCCGTTGGCTGAGTGGCCGGGCCTGGGGGCTGACCACCCACCTGCAGCCTGGATCAGCTTCTCCGAGCACCCCAGCTGTTGGGGCCCTGACATCCCAAGAACTCAACCCAAATTCTCAGAAGAAAAGTGTATTGGTGGGTGAGGAGTTATCCTCCCGGGAGATGTCACAGGGGCCTTGTTGCTGGAAGACGGAAGGAAGTGGGGGCTGAGTCACACTCAGTGAAGGAAACAGTGCCTGTCCCCAACCCCCTGCGCGCGCCTGTGTCCTTGGCAGCCTGTCTGTGCCCTCTGCTGCTGCTTCCCCTTCCCAGGCCAGTCGGGGGCGGGGCTGCCCCCCAAACTCCCCCACCCCCCGACCCAGGGGCACAGGCGCTGAACACAGGCCGTCTGCCGCCGTCGGTGGCAGAGCGCCCGACCCTCTCTTTCCCGCACCTTCTCTGAAGCGGCAGTGCCCACGTGGCAGGTCCCTCTGCTGGGCTAGTGCCCCAGGGAGGGATCTGAGCAGTCCCCGCTCCCTCTTTACCCCTGGAACGTTACTTGGTTTCTCTTTGACCTAGCCTGTCTGGGGTCCCCTTGGTGGACCTGCCTGGGGGAGGCACATGGCACATCCCATCTGAGGTGACCTCGCTTTTGTTTTTAAAGCAAAACTTCTTGGGCAACAGACAGGTGAAGGGGGCAGCCAGCCTGGCGCAGCGGGTGAGCAGCTGCCCCGCAGGGACCTTGGCCGGGTGGTTGGGGCTGCACAGCTCCCTGGGGCGGGGATGCAGAGGGCCACTTCCTCAGGAGCCTCCCTGGGAAGGACAGGTTTGGGGCAGCCAGCAGTCCGCGGGGTCCTGTGCCCCGCCCCAGCACCCTCCCTGTGGCTCGTCCGGCTGGGTGCCAGGGAGAAACCAGCAGGAGAGGACTCGTCTTCTCTCCAGGGGAGCCTGGGAGCAGAGCGCTGCCTACCCGCAGCTCTCCGGGCTCAGGCCAGCTCTTCCCCACCACTCGTACCCCACCTCCCCGCCTGCGTATATGCTGGGGGCACACGCCCGAGTGCACGCCCCAAGTGCAGGCCCATGCGTGGGCTGACCGTGCCCGCGCCCCCCCCCCCCAGCTCCTCCCCCGCCAACCCCGGCCTCTCGCCCTTGGTATTGGTGCCGGTAATCTGTTTGAAGGCCGGGATGCAGACTGGCCCGTCTTGGACTACATGTGCTATCATTTGACGTACTCTGATTGGCTAGTTTTTGTTCGTTTTTACTGTATATTTATAGTAATAAAATCCTGCAGCAATATCTTGTCCGCTCTTTCCTCTGCGCATTGCACCAAGGGACGTCTGCAGTTCCTTGGTCTGGAGGCGGGACAGCGAGTGGCTCACGGCAGCTCTGACGTGTGGCCGCGGCCCCCACTTCTGGGTGTGAGGTCAGTGACACGTGACTTGAAGAGGGCGAGCGTGCATGACATGGTATGTGAGGCACGCGAGCTGCTGCTTATCACAGCTGTGGTGGTCATTGTGCCGACTCTGGGTCGGGGCGAAGCGCACTCTGGGGACGCGGCCCGCCCTCTGAGCAACGGGCTCCTCGTCTTGGTCGCTGATCCCTCCCGCAGATCCTTACTGGGCACCCGCTGTGCTGGGGCACGGGAGGGCCCACCCAGGCAAGGTGCAGGCCACTGCGAGTCTGTGTCCTAGGCAGTGACACTGAGCAGGTAATCCGAGCCGCCCCAGGCTTGGTGACTGGGGAAGTCAGCTGGTGACATGCTGGAGCTACATGGGGTGCTTCCCAGGTGGTGGAGGAGGGCTTCTCCAAGGAGGCGTTTCAGCTGGGCACTGAAGGGTGCCTGGGCAGCCGGCACAGCCAGTGCACAAAGAGGCCCTGGGGCCAGAGTGAGCCTGTGTGACCGCTGAGCCCTGGTGGCTCTGGTCGCTGGAGTGTCAGAATAGAGGGGTGGGGGTGCAGGTGCCGCAGGGCCTCGTGGGGACGGAGTTTTATTCTGGGTACAGTCAGCGGTTTTTGTCCGGCTCTCTCCGGCTGTCGTGCGGAATGGATTAGAGGCCCCGGCCCAGTGAGCGGCCCCCAGGAGGGAAAGTAGCTGGTGCCCGAGGCCTGGGCCGCACTGTCTCCCCGACTCAGGGCCTCAGTGGGGACACCGCTGTCCTCTGCTAGCTGGTCCATAATGCCCCGAAGCAGGCTGCCATCCTCTGCCCTGCATCGCAGCGGCTCCCTCGGCACTTCTTTCCCTAAGATTGTATATATTATTCAGGAAAGACACAGGAAGAGACACAGGCGGAGGGGGAAGGCCGCTCCTGCAAGGAGCCTGATGCGGGACTTGATCCTGGACCCGGGACCAGGACCGGACCCCAGGACTGAGCCGGGAGCCCAAGAGCCCAAGGCAGGTGCTCAGCCCTCTGCGCTCCCGCCAACGGGCCAGAGCTGCGTGGGGCTGGGGCGTGCGGAGCCTCCCCTCTGCCTCCTGCCCCCGCCAGCCGCAGCCGCCCGTGGGAGGCCTGACCACGGGGCCCGTGGGTCCCCGCAGCGCTCGCCCGGCCCCTGCCCGGCCTTGGGCGCCGGAAGCAGAGGTCTGGGCCGGCCCTGAGCGGGCCCCCTCGGGGACGCTGCCCCCCCCCCACATGGGCGGCGCCCGCGGGGCTTCCTGCTGTGCACGCCGGGACGGGGCTGCAGGCTGGCGCCCCGGCCCCGCCCCGGTCCTGCCGCGGCGCGGGGCGCCCTGACACCTGCACCGCACTTGGTCCGACTGGGAGGATGCGCGGGCCCCGCTGGCCTGGGCGGAGCTCGGGCGCCGCGGTCCCCGGGCCGGGGGCGAGCGCGGCCCCGCCCTTTGCACACGCCCCTTCGGCGCCGCAACGACGCGCCGGCGCGGCGGGGGGCGGGGGCGGGGCCGGGGCGCGGCGGCCCGCGGATTGGCCGGGCGCGGCGGGGGCGGGGCCGCGCATGCACTTAAGCGGCGGCGCTCCGGCCGCGGCGGGGTCGTGTCAAGATGTCGGCGGCGGTGCCGGAGCTGAAGCAGATCAGCCGGGTGGAGGCCATGCGCCTGGGGCCGGGCTGGAGCCACTCGTGCCACGCCATGCTGTACGCCGCCAACCCCGGGCAGCTGTTCGGCCGCATCCCCATGCGCTTCTCGGTGCTGGTGAGGACGCGGGCGGGCGGCGGGCGGGCGGCGGGGACGGGGCGCCGCTCCCCCCGCGCCCGTGACCCCGCGCTCCTTGCAGATGCAGATGCGCTTCGACGGGCTGCTGGGCTTCCCCGGGGGCTTCGTGGACCGGCGCTTCTGGTCTCTGGAGGACGGTTTGAACCGGGTGCTGGGCCTGGGCCTGGGCTGCCTGCGCCTCACCGAGGCCGACTACCTGAGCTCCCACCTGACCGAGGGCCCGCACCGCGTCGTGGCGCACCTGTACGCACGGCAGCTGACGCTGGAGCAGCTGCACGCCGTGGAGATCAGCGCGGTGCACTCGCGCGACCACGGCCTGGAGGTGGGGCCGCCGCCCGGGCCCCGCCCCCCGCCCCGGGGTTTGGCTCTGGCCCCGCGGAAGGCACCGATGGGTAACACGTCCCCCGGAGGGTCCCCTGGCCGGGCTGGGCGGGGTGTCGCTGTGCAGCCTCAGGGCGGGCAGAGGGCCGGGGGGCCGGGGCGGGGGACCGGGGCTGGGGTTCCCTCGGGGCTGTGTTCCATCTGCCTTGCTGCCTGCCATTGCCAATCCTGGGAGTGGGGAGTGGGATCGGTGGGGGGATGGGCCGGGTGGTGCCTGCGGGGGGCGGGGGGACGGGCCGGGTTCCTGGGCCGGGATCTCATGGTTGTTATGGTTCGGGGGGGGGGGGGGGCGGGAGGCACCTGTGAAGGGGGGAGCATGGGGGTGAGCCGGGGGCCTCCTGCCAGCGGCTGCCAGCGGACGGGGGCTGGGACTGGAGTGCAGCAGAGGGCGGAAGGTGCATGGGGTCGGCTCTGACACTCGCCTGGGGCAGAGGGGCCGCACCGCTCCCAGGGCCCCGCTGGCTGCCGCCTCACCAGACCCTGCAGGGCCTCTCATTACAGCCTCTGCAACCTGGCTGCCCCTCTGCTAGGGCCGAACCATGGGTGGGGGTCCCGGTCCCACTCCGGTCTCCTCTCCGTGCAGGTGCTGGGGCTTGTGCGAGTCCCCCTTTACACCCAGAAGGACCGAGTCGGTGGCTTTCCCAACTTCCTGAGCAACGCCTTTACCAGCACCGCCAAGTACCAGCTGCTCTTCGCTCTCAAGGTGCTCAACATGATGCCCGAGGAGAAGCTGGCTGAGGCCTTGGCTGCTGCCACCGAGAAGCAGAAGAAAGCCCTGGAGAAGCTCCTCCCGTCTTCCTCCTGAGGTTGAGTCTATGTGGCGTGTCTCTTGCCCTAAACTCCTGGGAGAGTGTCTCCCGTGCATGCGCTCACACCATATCCTGGCTGCGCCGGGCAAGGGGGCATCTCATCCTCCACTGCCCGGAGCAGCCACAGGGTGGCAGCCAGATTACCGGGAAGCCACCCTGGTCAGTTGTGGCTCAGGACATCCTCTCCTATCCTAAGGCTCAAACTCTCCTCCACAGGAGTCGGGTTGGTGGAGGTATCACCCATTTATCGGGGTGGGTAGATGGACACAGACCCCTGAGAAGTCGGTTTATTCTTGTGGAGCTGCCCGGAGTCCTGTCACCAGCCAGCCTCGCGGCCGAGAAGCTGGCTCAGCTCAGGATGTCCTACTGTTAATATTGGTGCTTGTTAGCCTTACTTGGTTAATTTTTTCTATGGTGTGTGACCTGAGTGTGAGGTTTCAAGGCCCCTTCACCTCACTGGGGCTTGGTCCCCAGGGTTAGTTGGGGCCATAAGGCCCAGCTGTATGTAGCTGGAGTTGTTGAAAGAGGACAGGAAAGGCCCTTCTTGGCTGCTCTGTGTGATCTCTGGTCCTGGTCACAGGCCTGGGGCTGGGTGTATGGGGGCAGGAGGTCCTCTTCTCCCCCCCACCCCCACCCCGGGGCCTTAAGGGTGGGAGCCAGGCCCAAGAGCTCCTTTTGGCATGGAGCGGACACAGGCCTCCCAGCCCAGGTGGACGTGCCGTCACTTCCCTGGGGTGGCTGTGGTGCCGCCAGCACAGGCCTCTGGGGCTTCTGGCTGCACCTGCGCTGAGCCCAGCTAGTCACTGCTTTCCTCGGCTTTGAAAGCCTCCCTTTCTCCATTCCCAGCACAGTCTGCAGGCAGCTCCAGGACATGGGGAAGCACTGGCCGAGTGTGGAGAATGACGTCAGCAGAGCCGCCACGGACAGGAAGGTCAGCACTGGCAGTCTCTCTCCTGTGGCCCTATATGTCTGGAAAGCTAACAGAGTTTCCACAATACCTGCTTGGCCTGGTAAGGAAAGCTGTGCTCCGGCCCTGCCTGAGCGTCTGTTCCACCTTAGAGCCTCGATGAAGTGGCCAGCACGTGCGGGCAAAGGCGCTTCATTCTGTAAATAAAATAGCTGTACCTTGTTCCTCTCTTCCTTCCTTGGGGCTGCGGTGTGTGCCACTCTTCAGTTGCTTTTGTAGAATCGGAGCACAGGCAGCCCTAGCTGCGGGGCCAGACCGGGCAGGAGGGGGTCACCCTGTCGGCCCTGCTCTGAGCATGGTGGTCTCCTGACGGAGGGGCCTAGGTTCCAGGTTCCTGAAGTGGGGGTCGCGGCATGGCTTGCCCCTTGGTCTGTCAGCCAGTATCTGTGTCATGGGACCAGAACGGAGCCCCTCACCAGCAAATCTCACATTTTATTTTCCAGCAAATGACAATATGCTGCCCAGGCGCCCAGTCCTTTCCGTGGGGCACCTGCGGTGTATGGGGATCCTCTCTCTCCACAGGGCCCTGCCCGCTCTGGGACTCACCCCCAGATTCTGGGCTGGAGGCCCTCGTCCTGCCTCCGTGTGGGCCTTGCTGCCCCGGCCCCAGCCCTGTCCTGCTTCTGCCGGCTGCTCCTGGGGCCTGATCCTCTGGCCCAGTGGGGCCCGGCCTACGGCAGCGCCCACACTCTGCCCTCCTGTCTTCCAGGCACAGCTTCAGGGTGGATCAGTCACCCAACGTCGGAGTCTGAGAAGGGAAAGAGAAGCCTGAAGGGGGCGCTCACCGCTGCCCAGGGTGCCCTGCTCTCCCGGCCTGGGGCCCGGGGGACACTCACCGTCCCTCCCAGCTAAGGCTCCCGCCAGTTCTCCTTCCCGTTCAGCACCTGCAGCTTCTCCAAGCTCTGGGTCACTGAGCATAGCACTCGCCCTGAGGATGGGAACAGTTAGTTCCTGCTTTGCCAGCGTGAGAAGGGAAGGTCCTAGGGATGCCTGGCGGTGAGGGGAAGCGGGCTACACAGCAAGAGCCCCCCCAGGGTCGGAGCTGACCAGGCAGGGCTCCCCCTGTTCCCCCGCTTGTGGCCCCCAGTGGGCGTGAGGCCTCTGGCTGCCCTCCTGGACACTCACCCATTTCCTGAACTCGATCCTCCAGTGTTCCTGACAGCTCAGGGAGGCTCAGAGCCTGCAGGGAGGCCTGCCAGCCTTTGGAGTCTGTGGGACAGAAAGCCAGGTGGGCCTGGAGTACATGTGGTCACCATAGGTCCTGCCCCTCTGTCCTGAGCTGCCGCGACCAGGGGACCCACCCAGCTGTTGCTTCCTGCGTGACTCACTACACCAAAGTGTGTCCTCCCAGCTGTTTTTCCAAAGCACTGGCTGCCAGTCAGGGTCCAGCCCCGGGAGTGGAAGTGGGGGGGGGCCCTGGCCTACAGGGAGGCTTTGTCCTGGGGCGGCCCCAACTATAGGCTGCAGAAATCACTTGAGATTGTGGACAGCAGCGTCAGCCAGGGCTCAAGGGCTTTTGCCCCCCACCACGGGGAGGACATGGGCGAGAGAGGGCACCCTCGCTCTGGGATCTGCGATTGTGTGGAGGAAGGAGCTGGAACTGGAGGCCTAGGACAGCACCTACGTGATCCAGGGCAAGAACACGGTTCTTACCAGCTGTGGGGAGGGCAGCGGCCAGGGGGAGCCCTCGGGTGGACACCTCCTGCTTCACTCTGGCTGACAGCTCGGCTTGACAGGCTCTGCCAGACACAAGGCCAAGCGCTGGTGAGGGGAGAGGCTGGACAATAGTGCCTCCCACAGCCCCAGCGGGACACAGATACCCCATCTCCCTGACTGTCAGGGGGCCCTGCCTTCAGGGCAAGCACACCAGGCGCCTTTGGAGACCAGTGTGCAGATGTGCGGGGCCCTATCTGCTGCCTGGGTCTGCCCTGCAGAAAGGAAAAGCCAGAATGAAACAGAGGATGGCAGCGAGTGGCCCCAGAAGGCCCTAAAACCAACCCTTGGCTGAAGCATCTGGATGCAGCAGTGGCTCAGGGTCAGGCCCGGGGCAGCTCAGGTGCCCACTCACCGCAGCTGGTCCAAGATGAGAGCAGCGTCCTGGGCCAGGGCCCACGTCTCCTGCAGCTGGGCACGCACGTCCTCACGGGCACCGTCCTGCTCCAGGAGGCAGGTCTCCACCACCGCCCGCAGCTCCTGCTCCTGCGACACCTGGCCTCGCATGGCCTCCACCTCCTCACAGCGCTGAGAGGAGATGGGGCGGATGAGTGAGCCAGGGGGATTCAAGGCCAGGGCCACCTCGGTTGGGTCCTGCCAGCCCCAGTCGGCTCTGCCATCCCCACTGGCTCTCAACTCCCGCTCTCCTGGGCCGGAGGAAGGGGATGCGTGTCTCCAGACGGAGCCGCCTCTGCTTTGGGCCCCTTCCCTCAAGCCCTGTAGCATCCATGCCTGCTGCTTGTTCTCTGCCCTCTCCCTTGATCTTCTGTGTCCATCTAAGCTCCTGCCCCGAGTCCCCATCCCTTCCTGAGCCTTCTTCGCAGGCAGATGCCCGTGTGTCTCCCCTCCTGCACAGCAGTAATGCTCTCTGCCGTTAACTGTCCTGGCTGCTTCTCCCTGCTCACCCCCTATGCTGTCCTTTACTGCAGGCGTCTCCACACCCCTCTCTTGCACGCCCCCTCATACTTTGTGCAGCTGGATGGCAAGCTCCTGCATCTCAGCTTCGAGCCGGTCAGCATAGGCCAACTCCAGGGCATCGCTGGGGGGACGGGCACTGCTGTGCCAGCGGGCAATGGCAGAGGTCATCTTCCTCTTAGGCCCAAATAACCTGCGAGGAGGATAGAGAGAAGTATATACGTCTGCTGTGTGCGTAGAGATGCCACGGACTGTCCTTATACCAAGACGGTCCCTTAAGAAAGGGCCCAGCTTGGAAGGGGGAGAGTGGCCCCCAGGATCCTAGGGCAGAAGACAAACAGTTCTAAGAAGTGACCCCAGCTAGGGTTGGCCTCCCCTGCCCAGCTGCTGTTCTCACTGAACAGGGGGCTCAGGCCAGCCTGGGGAAGCCACAGGACCCAGCCCTCCAGCACCTAAGCCAGGGGCAGCTGGAGGGCTGGAGCGGACGCTGCTATAGGAAGCAAGCGGAACCTCAGACAAGACAGGGCAGCTAGTTCCACCCACACAAGGGGAAGCTGCGGGCTCAGCTTCACGCCAGAGATGGGGGTGCGGCCACGAAGGGCCCCTCTGCACTCACGTGATGCCAATCTCCTTCAGGTCGCTCTCAGTGAGGGTCAGGAAGATGCGGAGGTCCACATCCTGTTCCTCAAACAGCTGCAGGTACTTCAGACACCCAATCTGCTCCAGCAGCGTGGCGAGGTCCTGGAGGGTACAGGGGCGGGGACAGGTCAGAGGACGGGCGGCCCCGTCCGGGTGAACCCGGCCAGCCCCCAAGCTCCGCAGTGGGACAGTGCTGGTGGCCCCCAGAGCCCCGGCCACCCCCTCTCTGTGCCCTCAGGCGGCATGGGTAGCCCGGAGGCTCTCTGAGCCTGTGTCTTCACTTCAGCTTGGACAGCGTCAGTTTCTTGGAGGGCGAGTCCGGTGGCCACAAACTCTCTTGGCTTTGTTAGCCTGCGACAGTGCGACATCTTAGTTTCTCCTTTACTTCTGAAGGATAGTTCTTACTTGGATACAGCATTCTGTATCTCATTTTTTCTCATTCCTTTGACTAGGTCATCAGATGTCCTCTAGGTCCCGTTTTTTTTTTTTTTTTTTCCTTTAAAGATTTTATTTATTCATGGGGGTGGGGGGCACAGACACAGGCCGAGGGAGAAGCAGGATCCCTGCAGGGAGCCCAATGCAGGACTCGATCCCCAGTCTCCAGGATCAGGCCCTGGGCTGAAGGCGGCGCTAAACCACTGAGCCATCTGGGCTGCCTGGTCCCGTGGTTTCTAATGGGGAATTAGCTGTCAATCTTACTGGGTTCCTGGTGTGTAAAGACTCCTTTCTTCTCACCCGTTCAAGGTTCTCCTTTTGTTTCTGGACAGTTTGATTTCTTTAGGTCTAGGTGTGGATCTGCATTTAGCCTACTTAGGGTTCATACAGCTGCTGCAGATTCATGTTTTTGATCAAATCTGGGAAGGTCTATTTCTGAAACATTTTTTTGCCCTTCTCTACACCTCTCCCTCTGGACAACATTATGCATATGCTGGCTGCTTGATGGTGTCTCACGGGTTTCTGTTCATTCTTCTTCTCAGATGGGATAATCTCAACTGACTGACATCAAGTTTGTGGGTCCTTCTGCATCCTCCAGCTGCTTTTGGGCCCTCTCGTGCCACGATCGTTTCAGTCATTGTACTTTTCATCTATAGAATCTGTTTGGTTTGTTTTTATTTCTATCACTTTATTGATATTCTCTATCCAGACAGGGTTTCCTTGGGCTCACTGAACATATTTGAAAAAGCCGGTCTAGTCTGTGTCCAGGAAGTCCCACAGCTGGTCTTCCTCGGGCACTGCTTCTGTTATTTGACTTTTTACAGTCGACAGCCATACCTCCTTGTTTCTTTGTACATCTTGTCATTTCGTTGAAAATTGGACATTTTAAAGATTTTTAAGTAATCTCTACATCTAAAAGGGGGCTTGAACTTACAAGCTCAAGTTCAAGAGTCACATGTTCCACCAATTGAGCCAGCCAGGCACCCCCAAAGCAATTCTCCTCCTCCACAGTCTGTCGTTGCTGCTTGTTAAAGAAGTTATTTATTTAGTGCCTTTTCTATAAGTCTGTGTTCTCCCTCACGTGTGGCCACAGAAGTCTCTCCTTGGCTAGCTTAGTGGTCAGCTAAGGACTGGACAGATTTCCTTAAACACCTGAGACTAGTCAGTCTCCCTTCTCTGCCGAGTAACTCTGTAGGCTTCAGGGGGCACATCTTTAACACTCAGCCAGATAGATGACAGTCCTTCCCTTAGCCTTTACTTGCTAGAGTCTCAGGGTTCACACAGGTGTATTTTCAACTCTTTCTTGACTATACACAGAACACAGCCTTGAGCAAGCGTGTGGCCTCCCAGGTTCCTAGGATTATGTCAGAGCTTTACAAAGCTCCTATGGACATCTCACTCCCTACTTCTTCCTTTTAAGCTTTGTGGTTAATCTTATTTGCCCCAACTATGATCCAACACCTCAGGCAGCTGCAAAGTTAAAACACGTGCCTATAATTATTTTCAACACACAGATTCCAAGGAGAGGGCTTTTGTTATACTGGGTAGACAGGCTCTCAGTCAAATCAAATAGTTTTGTAAGCATGGTCTCCTAGGAAAACCTCAGATGCATCCAATAATGCCAATTCTATGAGAATGAAACAGTAAAAGAACCCAGTTCCATTCTGCTCCTCCAGCGGCTATCACAGCTTCCCTGGCACTGGAGTGAGGATGGGACTAAGGCAAGTTAACTACAAGGTTTACAGTTCTTACTGATTCAGCCACTTCTCTTAAATAAACATTTCCAGCTTGCTCCAAGCCTTTGGTTGATTCAGAGTTTTCAAAAAATTATTCTGACCATTTCTGCCAGGTTTTTTATTGCCTTTAATAAAGGGCAAATTTTCAAAGGTTCTGACTCTGCCATTTTCCTTAACCTACTTTCTGAAACAGCCTTAAGATACCACCACCACCACCCACTCTCCCATCAACATGTGTTTAAGGAAATGAAAGGTGTAGCTGTTCACTGAGCCGGGAACATAGGCAGTGGACAGAGCTCCCTGGAGGGGCCACAAGGAGAAGCCAAGAAGCCAGCAAAAGTGGAGGGGCTTAGTGAACAGCAGAGCTGTGACTTTAACAAATAAATGGTAAAAAATTACTTCTTTCATCTTTGTACCACTTATGCCCACAGAGGGCAGGAGAACTCAATAAACAGTTGAGCTACCGTGCCGTGCCTGCAATCCCTGAGAAGCTGGTTAGCCAGAGTGACCCAAAATGAAGAAGGCAGACATGGCAATTTCCATTACATGCCACTTTATCTCTGCTTCAGGTGCATCTTGTCACTGACTTCTGAAAGCAGCTCTGTAAGGCTGGTTCTGTTTTTCTCCTCCCCAGGCTCAGGGACGCTGAGTCAAGTATGGAAACCAAGGGGAGAGATAGGTCCCTCCTATGGAAAGCGACGGAACAGAAAGCCTGCAACTGGCACTTCTAGCCTTTAGGAATCCTCTCAGCCCAAGTAGCTTCCATAGATCATTGGGGAAAAACCATGACCACAGCTTTCTCTGAATCGTAAAGGCCTCGTGAAGCATGAAGAGTGTCATCTTTCTCACTGGGTAACTGCCAGTTTCACAGACGGCCTTACCTGAGGTCCTGAATAGGGGGCCCTCTCTGTCTGAGGAATGCATCCTGGGGAACAGGCTGCCCCAGAAGTCCCGGTGCTGGTAGGCCACTGGTTGTCACTGTTGCTGTAACGATTCTTGGTCTTCATATAACTTTTAGTTTGCTTGCGAACTGAACTTTTACAGGCATGATCCGAATCCTGTGGTGAGAAAGATGTCTGAAGTTAATACTAAGGGGCCCAGAGCTAAAGTAACTGCATCCACTCTATTCTCTGCCACAAAACTGTTGCTGTGAAACTGCCCCACCAGCCACACAGAGGCTTCCCTGGTGATTTGCACTGTGGTCTGTGTGGCCCCGATCCAAGCACTGCTCACGGAGGGTGGCCAAGGACTGTGTGTGACATGCACGAGGTACCTGTCACCAAACTTGCCCTCTTGAAGAGGGGCACAACACCCAGAAAGGGGAGGGAGGTGGGAGATCAAGAAAAGAGAAGCTTCACCTCGTTGCTCTCCAGAGAGGCCTCACTGCTGACTCCTGGGGCTCTCATCAAGCCCTCACTGCTGCTGCTGCGCCTCACGGCTCCCAGGTTGGCACAGAAGGCATGCTCTTCTGCCAAGGGGAAGACAAGTGCACCTGACCCCAGGTCTCAGTGGCGAGGACTCCCCAGAGTCTGCACCTACTGCATTCGTCAATATTCAACAGCTCACTGCGCTCTCCCGTTGCGGGCCCTCCTGCCCCAACACGGGGACGGGAGTTCTGCCTGTTTTCTTCACTGATCTACAGCAGTGCCTGGCACACTGGGCACTCAGTAAACAGCTAGTGAATAAATGATACATGTAACACAACAGACATTTCCCTGAGGGCTTACCGGTCCAGGAGCCAACCTTGTTTGGAACGACTCCCCCCACATCCTGCACCCAGGCGCCGTGGGCCAGAGGCTGCACCTCAGCAGTCTCCAATCCAGTTCCCTCTGGAGCCTGCCCCCCGCCCCTGTTCTCCAGCGGGGGGGGGGGGGGGGTGGGGCTCCCACGGCCTGGGCTCCCGCTGTGGGGGTAGAGGGCTGGGGCATAGGCGGGCAGGACACACATACCCCGGCTGCTGCTGCTGCTGCTGTCCCCATCCCGGTCGTTGATAGGGGACGTGACATCCCTGTAGCAGAGGCCCCCCACATCCAGTGGGTTCTCATCGCTGCTGTGGAAGGTGACATAGCCCTGTGGAGGCACCTGCTCTGTGGACAGAGTGGGGGACATAAACCCACATGAGCACAAGAGGGGCAGCCAATTCCTCCTTCCAAATTCAACTGCCCCAAAGGAATTTCAGCAGGAGGGAAGGCTGGGACTTAGGCATCGGATCTAACTGGCTGTCACCCCATCTGCTCGCACGGCAACCTGGGCACACACACGCGGTCTGCAGGTGAGGAAAAGGACTCTGAGGGGCATGGAGACCAGTCTGTGTCCCACAGCAAGGGCCCAGGGGTCAGGACTAGCACCCAGTCTGACCTGGCGCCCCCACATCACACCATGCTGTTGCTTTTCCAAGTGGACAAAGCAGGAAACGGTTAGCTGGATTGGCAGATTCCTGAGCCCAAGGAAAACCAGACCACTAAGTGTTCCTTGTAGCTGGCAACATCTCACACACCAGCCCCCGTGCTCCCTGTGACTTCTCACAGAGACTTCGAGGGGCGCTGCTCCTCGGGTCAGTCAACCCCAGCCAGAGACCTGGCTGGGCAGGGAGGTGGGTGGCCCTGGGCTAAAATGAACAGCAGTAACACCAAGTGACATAACCTCCGAACGCATCTGCCTGCAAGAGAAAGGGAGAAAAGACACACCGGGGGGTTTAATTCCAGCTTTGTCCCTGCCTCCCCCACAGAAAGTACATTTATTTGCATAAAAGAGACTGGCTTGTGGCCTCACGTGGAACTTATTTTCTTCTTTATACCTTTCTGAAGTTATCAAGATTTACGATCAGCATATGCTATTTATCATTCAAAAATTTTTTTCACTGCTGGCAAAGAGAACATATGCGTATATAGAGAATTTAAATATCACAAGGTATAAGAGGAAAACCAAAAATATGAAACGGCGCAACTAAGGAACAATTAGCATGATTCTTTGGTGAACGTTTTTTCTGCCGCTGTGGGGACATAAAAAGACTTGTGTATAAATGGGCTTTGACCAGATTATTTTGGTAACTTGAATGAACTCCATTTTTTTAAAATTTTTTTTAATTTTTATTTATTTATGATAGTCACAGAGACAGAGAGAGAGAGAGAGGCAGAGACATAGGCAGAGGGAGAAGCAGGTTCCATGCACCGGGAGCCCGATGTGGGATTCGATCCCCGGTCTCCAGGATCGTGCCCTGGGCCAAAGGCAAGCGCCAAACCGCTGCACCGCCCAGGGATCCCATGAACTCCATTTTTAAAAGCAGCTGTTGTACAGCAACGCAAGTGAATGACCCCCCTCACCCTGGGTAGACCTGTCCTTCCTTCGCCCCCCCCCCTATGCCTCAGGTGGGACAAGCAGCACAGACTCCTCACAAGAGACAGACTCTGCCACTCAAAATAGAGCCATCCGGCCGAGTGCCCCAGAGCTACGTGCTTACAACCATGCTCTCACCCTGCAGCAGCCTGCCCACAGCTGCTTCCCCAGTGGCCCAGGGAGCCCACCCCTCTGTGGCTGATGGGAAAAGGTAGGCCTGGAGCTCCCAACCCAGCTAAGATTCCTTCCAAGGGTCATGGGAAGGAATCAAGTTACTTGTATACTCTTGAATAAAGCACGGTCTCCTCTAACTGGGAAAGTTGGTTTCTTTTGCTTTTCTTTTCTTTTTTTAGGTTTTACTTAATTATGACAGCAAGAAAGCGCACCAGCAGGTGGAGGGGCAGAGGGAGGAGAAGACTCTGCTGAGTAGGGAGCCCAAGATGGGGCTTGATTCTAGGACCCCAAGGATCATGACCTGAGCCAAAGGTAAACACTCAACTGACTGAGCCACCAAGAGGACCCTGGGAAAGTCAGTTTCTAAGCCCAGGGGTACTTGCTCACGAGATGGGCCCATCCACCCGGCTTGCTAGACGGCAGGATTGACCCAGCCACTAATGGGTGACAGATGTCAAAGACAATGTAACACACCTAACACTGATCATTTGGTCAGGCCAGGGTAAGAGTGTTGGCACCCCCTGTACTCCCCAAGCGCACTGCACTCAATGTGAAGTGCTGACAATAAGAGAACAAACTGACTTCTAGCCCACCACCAAGTGTACCATCCGACAATTCTCAAGTCCAGCACGTTGAGAAAAGAGAGCAACAACCTGCCCGAGACACATCCAACTCCAGCTGGAGATGGGGACAGAGACCAGACCTCAACATTTTCCCTGCACTAGCTGACCTACCACATGATGAATGAAATTGCAGCTTTGATATATTTCCACTGCTAGAGGAAAAGTTCTATTTGCAACATGACCCGTGGAAAGGAAAACCAAAGGATGAACCAGAAGCTAGCCAGTGATTGTCTTTCAGTCTCTGTAATCAATTCTTTTTTTTAAGATTTATTTATTTATTCATGAGACACACACACACACACACAGAGGCAGAGACACAGGCAGAAGGAGAAGCAGGCTCCCTGTGGGAAACTTGAAGTGGAACTTGATCCCAGGACCCTGGATCACGACCTGAGCCAAAGGCAGATGCCCAACCACTGAGCCACCCAGGTGCCCCCCCACCCCATAATCAATTCTTAATCCGTGAGCTGCAGCCCCCACCCAGTAGCCCACATTTCAGAAATCGAGGACTGTTCAGTCCCCATCAAGGCCACATCTCAGGGAGCACTACCGAAGAGCCAGCAGGACGTGGGAGCACTCACCACAGCAAGGCTGCTGGATCTTGCCTCCAAGTCCGATAGCTGTGATCCTGGCCAAGGCTCGGGGCCCCTCATGGATGCTGAGGCCCTTTTTCCGATAGAGCTTCTGTCTCTGGGGAACAGGGCAGGATTCATCTGAAGAGCTTAGATCTTCAAATTTTTCTGCAGGCCAAACACCAGAATTAAGATATTTTGTTCAGTGATGGACTAATTTACTAATCCTCATAGTACATGGGAATGAAATCATCATAATTGTCTTTCTCATATTAAGAAGAAAAAAAATGTGTTTCCCAGGACCTCACTAGAAAGAAATGCCATAAGGAGCCAATCCACTGCTCAGATGGGCCACGGGGAGATCTAGGGAGAAAGCAAGCTTACTAAGCATGAGTCTCAATTGAAAAAGGTTGTCATGAGTGGAGAGTCTTAATTCTTATTCTTCTCTTTGCCTGGCTTCCAGAACTTTTCATAACTAGTATGTATATTTAAAAAAAGAAATAAATTTTGTTCTAAGTTGAGATGGTAAGTAAGATCTGTCTCCTCATAGACATATGGCAACATCAGTCACAGCTTCTTAACAACTGTGTGTTCTCCACCTACACTTCCTGGGAAACAAGGGGCATATACCAACTGTGGGCCAGGCCTGGGGAAGCACTTTACATCACCACCTGTCATAGCCTAAGAGCTTAGTGCGCTCACAGCTGTTACCATCTTATAGCTTTTCACAGTTTTCCTTATTTCATCATACCTGGAAGGCAAAATTTGTGAATATATTTGTATAAGGCTCCCATCTAATGAGACTTTGTTCTCCTGCTGGTACACTGTGGCTCAGACTCTGAAGGTGCCTCTCCTCCCACTGCCCCCTTGTGAGCTGAGTCCATAACAAACGATCCCGAGGCCAGGAAGGAGTCAGGCTATGGAGGGGGAGCAGCTCACTGGCAGGAACCGACAGTTCAGGTCAGTGACTGCCTGCGAGCAAGGGAGTGACTGACCCAGGGTCCAAACGCCACCAGTGACCCTGGGCCACCTATCCTCTCTATTCCCTACTCAGCTTGCTCCCATGTGCTCGGGGATCTACTGGGAGGAGACTGTGGTCCTGCCCAGGCAGAAGATGGAGGAGTTGTCAAGAATAAAAGGACAAGTGGGGCGGGGGGGAGGGGCAGGTAACCAAGGCAAAGGCAACTCCACAAATCAGAACCTCCCAGCACATCCTCTCACACCTGATGAGTCAGCAATAGCCATACGGAAACACTAAGTAAAATACTGGCAAATAGAATCCAACACCACACTAAGAAAACAATACACCACGTGGGATTTATATCAGGAACGTAAAGTTGCATTACTAGAAAATTCACTAATGTACTCTGTTGATAGAGCTAAGGAGAAAATTAACAACCGTCTCCATAGATGCAGATAAAGCCTTTGACAAAATTCTACACGTATTCCTGTAAAAAACACTCTGGAATACAGAAAATGCCAGATACCTTCTTAATGGCGGAACACATGCACACCTCACCCTTAGCGCCGGCGTCCCAGCTAAGACAGCATCTCCGCCAGGGTCACGTGAATGCCCCGTCCCCAACATGCTCGGCACCTTAGGAGAAGTATTAGCCAGTGCAACTAAAGGAAAGAAATCAGAGGTAGGAAAAGAAAGAAGCAGTAAATCTATGTCTACGGGCAGACTGTATGGTAGCCTATCTGGAAAACCCTGGAGAATCAGTAAATGCCATGAAAGAATGCAGTAGAGCAGAATACAAAAGTGGCAAGCAGACGCCAGTAGCCTTCACATCACAGACAACAGGCAGGCAGAGGATGTGAAGGCAGTGGAACCGCATTTACAACAGCCACAAAGAAAGTCAGATGCTTAGGAAGAAAAAACAAGTTATAGGCACAACGTCTAGAGGAAAATTTTTAAACCCTCCAGCAGACACAAAAGTACACTTGAACAAAAGACATCCCTTGTGGCCACAGAGGACGAGTCCAGGATGAGTCCACAGCATAAAGGGGTAGCTGATTTATAAATCTGCCAGTCTCCAGAACACAGTTTCTAAGCAGCTAGACCGGGTGATGTCGACGTTCACCAGCAGTACTAGCTAACACCGAAAAGGGACAGATGCAGGGGGACTGGCCTCACCAGACAGTCCAACGTGCCACAGAAAGGCTCTGCAAACTGAGCACAGAGTGGGTCCGGTGAGTGGACCGGGGAAGAAAGACCTGGGGAAGAGAAGAGCAAGGCCAGAAACGGACCTGGGCACAGAGGGAAATTCAGACTACATGACAAAGACAGCCTTCTCAGATCACTAGGTCAAAGATGGACTGGTAAATAATTTAATGAAGCCAGGACAATAGAGAAGCCATCTGAAAACACCACCCCTCACACCACACGTGAAACTAAAGTACAAAGGGATCAGAGATCTAAATGTAAAAAAATGAAACCATGGAAGCACCAGAAGAAAATGGGCAAATTCTTGTATAACTAGGGCATGGGGAAAGATCAGTGACCCCAAATCTAAAGGCAATAAAAGACTGATGAATTTGACTATAAAAAATTAAAATATTTTGTATGGCAATAAGTACTGCAAGCAAAGTCAAGAAACCACCACCCTGAGCAATCCCCTTTGGGAGGTAGCCATCCCACCTCCCCGTGGGTGCCACCTGTGCACACCTTCAGCCTGGAAGGCACACTCTACGTCCTAACGTGTCTCTCTCCTAGGGGACCGTGAGCCTCAACCCTGACTGTGCAGTGAAGTCACGGGGGAGGCAGAGGTCTGCTGGCAAGGCTGCGGGGAGGCCACCTCTAAAGCCCGCAGGGGCATCCTCCTCTCCCAGCAGCAGAGGGCACAGCGGCGCAGAAGCAGGTACCTGGGCTCCGATAGAGGTTCTTGGGCAGAGAAGGCGAGTGAGCATCTATCAACCCGACGATCTTCATGTGTCCATACTGCTTGGCCAGCATCCGGGCTGTGGCCCCACTGTGGTCTCTTGTGTCCACTCGGACTCCCTGTGAAATGTCATGAAAGTTCAAGAGGTGGGAACTCTCATTCCCTGGACGCGGACTCTGGTCCCCAGCTAAGAAGTGCAGGGGGCTCCTCACGGCCCAGGAAACCCCACATCTGCGTGAGAAAGAGGCAAAAGCCTGGGAGGGCCCCCACTCTCCTTAAGGACGAGGTGGGGGGCACTGGGGAGGGGCTTGTGGGCAGCTCCCCAGCCTCGGCGCCAGGCCGGCAGCTAGCTAAGGGAGAGGCAGGCACACCGCAGGCCGCCAGGGCCAGAGCCCAGCCTTCACCCCTTGCACCCGGGCAAGCCCGCCTCGCTCCATTTCTTTCCACACAGAGAACACTGAAGACAAAAGATGCACTAGAGAAGCCACCTTTAAAAATCATAACCATGAGGAGAGCACCATCCTTTTGAAGAAGAGTCCGGTAATTTTTATCCAAAGCCCTAAAATGTACTTATTCAGCACAAAAATTCCATTTCTGTGACTCTCTCCTAAGGAAATAACCCCAAATAACAGAGAAAGCTTTTATGACACAGGTGTTCAGTAGAACATATCTACAATAACGAAAACCTGGAGACCGTGTCAATGGGGCTGGAGCCAGCCAGGCTACTGCCATAAATGCTGGTGTTTACAGATAACTGGTATAACCAAGTTCCTAAAAGGACCATAATATGTGTCTTTATGACATGTAAGGTATAAGGTGTCCTTATGAGGAAGAGAAGACGACGCGGATACATGGGGAAAACAGTATGTGAAGCATGCGAAGACAGGTGGAGACTGGAGTGACGCATCCACAAGGCAAGAACCACCAGGAGCCAACAGGAGTTCAAAGCCTCTGGACGGAGTGTGGCCCCACTGATAACCTTGGTTCTAGACTTCTGGCATCCACAACTGTGAGAAAATAAATTTCTGTGTTTTAATCCCAACTTTATGGTAAATTGTTAAAGTAGTGGGAAACTAATGTACCCACTGACGTGTGAATGGCTGCATAAACTAAGGTATATCATTACTATAAAGGACTGGATCAGAAAGAATGAGGCAGGTTTCTTTGTACTGATGTGGCAATGCCTATGATGTTTTGCTAACATTTAAAGAAACACTACAGGGATCCCCGGGTGGCTTAGCGGTTTAGCACCTGTCTTCGGCCTGGGGCGTGATCCTGGACTCCCAGGATTGAGTCCCACATCGGGCTCCCTGCATGGAGTCTGCTTCTCCCTCTGTCTGTGTCTCTGCCTCATTCTCTCTCTGTGTGTGTGTCTCATGAAGAAATAAATAAAATATTTTTTAAAAGGGGGGGGCAGCCCTGGTGGCGCAGCGGTTTAGTGCCGCCTGCAGCCCGGGGCGTGATCCTGGAGACCCTGGAGACCCTGGATCGAGTCCCACGTCAGGCTCCCTGCATGGAGCCTGATTCTCCCTCTGCCTGTGTCTCTGCCTCTCATTCTCTCTCTGTGTCTCTATGAATAAATAAATAAAACCTTTAAAAAAAAAATAAAAGGGGGGGGGGTGCCTGGGTGGCTCAGTGGTCTGGCGCCTGCCTTTGACTCAGGGCGTGATCCTGGAGTCCTGGGATCGAGTCCCATGTCGGGTTCCCTGCATGGAGCCTGCTTCTCCCTCTGCCTCTGCCTCTCTCTCTCTCTCTCTCTCTCTCTCTCTCTCTCTCTCTGTCATGAATAAATAAATAGTCTTAAATAATCTTAAAAAAAAAAGGCACACTGCAGAAGTAGATGTAACGCATTTATGTAGCAGGATTCCATTTCTGTAGAAAACTACTCATAGTTGTTAATATTGGGGGAAGAGGGATCCCTGGGTGGCGCAGCGGTTTAGCGCCTGCCTTTAGCCCAGGGCGCGATCCTGGAGACCCGGGATCGAATCCCACGTCGGGCTCCTGGTGCATGGAGCCTGCTTCTCCCTCTGCCTGTGTCTCTGCCTCTCTCTCTCTCTCTGTGTGACTATCATAAATAAAAAAAAAAAAAAAAAAAAAGAATTAAAAAAAAATATTGGGGGAAGAGAGGCAATATAAGAAAACTTAGAAGTTTTTTTTTTTTTTTTATGATAGTCACACAGAGAGAGAGAGGCAGAGACACAGGCAGAGGGAGAAGCAGGCTCCATGCACCAGGAGCCCGATGTGGGATTCGATCCCGGGTCTCCAGGATCGCGCCCTAGGCCAAAGGCAGGCGCCAAACCGCTGCGCCACCCAGGGATCCCCCACTTTAGAAGTTTTTTAATGCTTATTTCTAAATTTTTGGTTGATTAGCATCTAAATTTTAGTGTTTGGCTTTTTTTAAGCCTGTAGGTTATATTACTTTCATAGGGTTTTTTTTAAATATGTTTTTTCATGAAAATATTTACACTGTACAAACACACCTCAGAGACACTGCAGGTTCGTTCCAGACCCCACAATAAAGTGAATACTGCAATAAAACAGGACAAATGAATGTTTTTGGTTTTCCAGTGTATAGAAGTTATATTTATACTCTACTGCAGTCTATTAAGTGTACAGCAGCATTATGTCTAAAAAAAAACCAATACCTATACCTTAAAGCAATAAAATACTTTATTGGGGCGCCTGCCTGGCTGTCAGTAAAGCATGAACTCAGGGTCGAGTTCAAGCCCCATGTTCAGCATAGAGCTTAAAGAAAAAAAATTAACTTTATTGCTAAAAAATGCTATCATCTGACATTTCAGCAAGTCACAATCACAGATCACCACCTGGGTGGCTCAGGTGGGTTAAGTGTCTGCCTTGGCTCAGGCCATGATTCCAGGGTCCTAGGATCAAGCACCAGTCTGGGCTCCCTGCTCGGTGGGGAGTCTGTTTCTTCCTCTGTCCCTCCCCCTGCTCATATGCTCTCTGTCTGCTCTCTCTCTCAAATAAATAAATTATTTAAAAAAATATATGACAATAATGAAAAGGTTTGAACTATTGCAAGAATTACCAAAATGAGACACAGAGATGCAGAGTGAATGAATGCTGTTGGAAAAATGGTACCCGCAGACTTGCTCGACGCAGGGTCTCCACAAACCTTCCACCTGTAAAAAGCGCAGTATCTGTGAAATGCAATAAAGTGAAGCACAATAAAATGAGGGGTGCCTGTCCACATTCAAAAGTTATAGGACTTCCCCACAATATCACCATTATTAAGGATTTAAGATAACTTATATTTTAAAATATTCTTCAGAACTTACTTATATACACTTTTACAGATTCATGGAAAGGCACAATGAATTTATTAAATCATTGTTTAAAAAGCTCTATAAAAAGGAAAAAATTTGTAACTATGAGAGGTGACAGATGTTGACTAGACTTACTGTGATATTCTTTTCACAATGTAAGGAAAATGCAAATCATTATGTTGTGTACCTTAAACTTATACAATGATATATGTCAACTGTATTCAAGAAGCCTAAAAAAGGGGATCCCTGGGTGGCTCAGTGTTTTAGCGCGCCACCTTAGGCCCAGGGCGTGATCCTGAAGTCTTGGGATCAAGTCCCACATCAGGCTCCCTGCATGGAGCCTGCTTCTCCCTCTGCCTATGTCTGCCTCTCTCTCTCTGTGTCCCTCATAAATAAGTAAATAACATCTTTAAAAAAAAAAAAAAGCCTAGAAAAAATATTTTTAAAAGATTAAAAAAAAAGGACCATGATACAAAACTGTACCTATATTACAGCAACAGCAAAACATGACAAAACAAAAATGTATACAACACTGGAAGCAAATGTGCCCACACTGTTAATATAATATCTAAGCAATAAGAAAGGATTTTCCCATCTTCTTAATCTTCTATATTCTCTAAACTTTCTACCATGAGCATGCTTACTTTGAAGGTAGAAAAGACAATAATCTTTCTATTTTAAAAGCTTCAACCAAGCAGTCTGGGGTCTGATAGGGACCACCGGGTCTCAGTGCTCCAGAGGGCAAACCGGCAAACATTACACATACCCTTTGACTCAGCAATTCCACTTCTAGGGATTTAACCTTCAGAAATAACTAAAGACATACACTGACATTTAGTATCTTCCCATCAGCAGTTAGTATCATGAGAGCCAAGAACCTAAAATCAGGAATTAATGAAACAAGAGAGAACGTATTTCTAAAGTGGAATTGTATTCCCCCATTTATATGACAGGCCCAAGTGTATATTTGTTTGTTTTTTTTAAGATTTAATTAATTTATTTGACAGAGAGAGAGAGAGAGAGAGCACGCACCAGTGCACAAGCAGGGGGAGTGGCAGGCAGAAAGGGAGAAACAGGCGCTGAGCTGAGAGCCCGATGAAGGACTTGATCCCAGGACCCTGGGAACATGACCTGAGCCAAAGGCAGACGCTTAACCATATGAGCCACCCAGGCACCCCCAGGTGTATGTATTAACATGGATGGGGGTGCACAGGACATCGATGAGAAAAAAAAAAAAAAGCATATTACAAAACATTTTGTATAACAGGATTCCACTTTGATTTAAAATATCTGTTAAAAAACCTGGAGGATAGCAGACAAGGTGTTAACATGTGATCTCTGGGTGGTGGGATTATGAATAGTTTGTGGCTTTCTTTTTACTTCATTGTACTTTCTAATTCTTTTATAGCAGAGATATATCACTGTATAATAAATATTTACTTATGCACTCTTTTCCCCTATTTTGAAAACCTATGATCAACTGACAATTTTGGTTAAGCCTGTGCAGAAGGTGATTATCACACATCCCTCTGAAAGGGGAAAAACTGCATTTTTACAAGATATTAATGGAGTTTTACTTTCTATAATACCCCACTTTCAAGAGCTCTGGTTAGAAATCAGCTCTGAAGCCTTCAGCCTTCAAAAATCATTTCTAGAAGGGTCTGAAAGGGGAGACTGAATGAAGGCAGTCAAAAGGCATAAATTTGGGCAGCCCGGGTGACACAGCGGTTTAGCGACGCCTGCAGCTGAGGGCATGATATGATCCTGGAGACCCGGGATCGAGTCCCATATCAAGCTCTCTGTATGGTGCCTGCTTCTCCCTCTGCCTGTGTCTCTGCCTCTCTCTCTGTGTCTCTATGAATAAATAAATAAAATCTTAAAAAAAAAAAAGGCATAAATCTCCAGTTGTAAGATACAACATGATGACCGCAGTAAACACTGCCATGTGATAAATACAGAAGTGGTTCAGAGAGTAAATCCTGAGTTCTCCTCACAAGGAAACAATCTACATCTGTGTCTGTGACGGACACTCACCAGATGTGTGATAATCACTACACAACACATGTAAGTGAAATCAGTTCGCTGCACTCTCAATGTACAGAGATGTCTGTCAGTTATATCTCGATAAAACTGGATGGTGGGGGAGGGGGGAATTTCTAGTTTCAGTTTGGGAGAAAGAACCTAAAGGTTTCAAGCAGAGCAAACACCACCATCTTTTACTGTCATCTGTTAAGTCCAGAAGACTCGACCTTACAGTTAAAGGGGGAAAAAAGCAGGGGCACCTGGGTGGCTCGGTTGAGCATCCAACTTCTGATTTCAGCTCAGGTCGTGATCTTTCGTGTCATGAGATCAAGCCCCAAGTTGAGCTCTGCACTCAGCAGTGAGTCTGCTTGAGATTCTCTCTCTCTCTCTCTCTCTCCCCCTATGCCCCTACCCACATGTGCTCCTTTCTCTCTCTCTCTAAAATAAATAATTTTTAAAGGTGGGGGAGTGGGGGGCAGTAATACCATTTCTTAGTGAGTCAATGAGGAAGCAAACAGAACCAAGAACAAGGTCCCTGAGGTGAGGGAAGAAAATACTAGAATTTCTGTTCATTCATCCTTCACATTTTTTTTCCTTCCTATTTTATAATGTACATAACATAAAACTCATTCTGACAGGAGAGCTTGATCAAAGCTTTGGAGACCGTGGCCCAAGAGGATGACAGACACACTCATTACATGGAGGCCAGACCATCAGCTCAGCTCTCCCCTAAGAGACCTAATCATGCCCAGATCATCCTGCCTCCATGGAATTGCCAGAGCTTTGCCCCACCAGGAAGAAGGGAATGGGGTGCAAGGGAGGCAGCTACAGCCCTCTCCTGCCTTTGCAGAGCACAGGGTGCCCAGCCTCCTGCAGCTCTGTCTCCAGGAATGGCACCAGGCTCGGAAGACCAGTGGATCCAGCCCTCTGGCCTCCTGAGGTCTAGCCCTGACTGAGCAGGAGGAAATCTACAGGAAATGAGGAGCAGAGGAGCATCTGTGCACAGCTAGCCACACGGCCTCCCCAGCAGTGGACGGACGTGGCCCATCAGCCACCCACTCCCCCCAACGCCCACCCCAAAGCAATCATGGCAAACTGTCCAACACCTTCGATTCATGATTAGTGCTGCAGGGAGATCTCAGAGTTGGTTTCCTGAATTTGATCACTGTATGTCATCACAAAAGGGAAAATTGTTTTTGGGAAATACACACTAAAAGTATTTAGGGAGGAAGAGGGCATTATGTCGGCAACTTACTATCCAAATAAAGACTAACAGAAGAAAATGAGATGAAATGATAATATTCGGGGAGTTGAGCAAAGGTATGCAAATTCTTGGTATTTTGATATTTCTTTAAGTCTGAAATTATTCCAAAATTTTAAAAATTTTCCAAAAGAAATCCAATATAGGGCAGCCCCGGTGGCTCAGCGGTTTAGTGCCGCCTTCAGCCCAGGGCCTGATCCTAGAGACCCGGGATTGAGGCCCAAGTCAGGCTCCTTGCGTGGAGCCTGCTTCTCCCTCTACCTGTGTCTCTGTGTCTCTGCCTCCCTCCCTCTCTCTCTTTCCTCTCATGAATAAATAAATACAATCTTAAAAAAATAAAATAAAATTCTAGGGGCACATGGGTGGCTCAGTCAGTTAAGTATCCAACACCTGATTTTGGCTCAGGTAATGATTCCAGGGTCAAGAGACTGAGTACACTAAGTGGAGTCTGCTTAAGATTCTTTCTCTCCCTCCCACCCATGCTCTCTCTCAAATAAATAAATCATAAATAAATAAATAAATAAATAAATAAATAAATAAATAAATACTAAACTCAGAAGCAAAGGTTATGCTTTTAACAGAGTTGAGCTCTTACCTATCTATTCTTGACCCTATGTGAGGTCTTAGGGGTGCTTGGTCCAAGTAAGTAGAATTACTTCAAAGAATAATTATTTGCACCAAAGGAGAACAAATGACTGATAAGTAAATGAAATGATGCTCAACCTCACCAGAAATCAGGGAAAGGCAAAAATCAATAGGAGACAGCTCATCTGATACCAGGTACCAAGTGTTATTGAGAGTATGGGAGAAGAGAGCTATCAGGATATAAATCAGGATGACTATGGAGGAAAGTAAGCTAAGACTCACCCACCCTACACACCAAAATTTCTGCTTTGATTCAGAATACATCCTGATTTCTTTTAAATTCCTTCACACAGGCTTGAGAAAACAAGTTAAAATGGGAACTGCAGCCCTGTCAGGAATAGCAAAGTGGATACAACTTGATACACTAAAAGAGGAATGGATAAATATAAAAGACTCAAACATTCAATGCACAGAGTGCTGTCAAAATGAGTGAACTATGCCCCATGCATCAGCACTGTGCTGAATGACACATACAGTCTGACACGTTATTTACATAAATCTTTAAAATAGGGATGTCTGGGTGGCTTAGCAGTTGAGTGCCTGACTTTGGCTCAGGGCCTGGATCCCGGATTCCCGAGATCGAGTCCCACATTGGACTCCTTGCATGGAGCCTGCTTCTCCCTCTGCCTGCCCCTCTGCCTCTCTTTGTGTGTCTCATGAATAAATAAAATATTTTTAAAAAAATCTTTAAAATATATTAAACCTGTTCATTCCTTAAGGACACACAGTGTGTGATGAAAGCATAAAATCAGGGCCAGGAAAGCTGCAGATCAACATCTGTTTAGGGGTCACTTTGGGATCGTGTGGGTTGCATTAGTATTATCTTCTATACATTGAAAGTACTTCAAATTTAAAATTCATAATTCTTGCTGCTGTGGAAAGCATAAGTTGGTACAATTTACTCTTCAGATGGCAAGTGGGCAACCCTATGTTAAGACTGCACTTACACTCCACACAAAATTCTACCTTCAGTACTGAAGTAGACAGAGGTGGTCACACCCGTGTGCAGAGATGTATATGCAGAAAGTCTCCGCAGCACTGTGTGTGACAGCCAGTGGCTGACAATGACTTACTTCCATCTGCAGACCACTATTAAATCTCTGATTCGTCCCTACATGGAAGTGCTGTGCAGCCACGAAAAAGAGAGAGAAAAGAGATTAACATACACTAATATAGAACAATCTCCCCGACGGATAGTTAAAAAAAAAAGAAAGAAAGTAAAAGCGAGCTGGGGAGCAGCTGTGGGGTGAGATCAGGAGATGAAGGCAAAGCGGGCAGGCAGGCCCTGTGCCCCTTCAGTCTTGAGCCTAGTTTTACCATGTGAAGGTACCATCCCGAAATTCTTTCTCTTCTTCTTTCTCTTAGAGTCTATGACCAGGCATATTGCTTCATTTATGTATCTACTTAGAGAGAGAGAGAGAGAGCGCACACACGGGGTGGGATGGGGAGAGGGGGAAAGAAAGTATCAAGCGGGCTTACGGAGCCTGGTGCGGAGTTCAATCTCACCACCCTGAGATCATGACCTGAGTGGAAACCAAGTCAGACACTTAACTGACTGAGCCGCCCAGGAGCCCTCCAAATTCTTTTTTCAAAGAAAGATAGCATGTTAACATTTTATTATGCTAAACTATCCAATAAACTGACTCCCCAAAATACAGACAGATCATAATATAAGCATAAATGGCCAATAATGTATTTGTAGTTTAAATGTTCAACCTCACTAGTAAGTACAAACCAAAATGAGATGCCACTTTTCTCCCATCACACTGGCAAAGACTTAAGACAACTAACTTCCAGAGCTTGGTAAAACATGAAAAAGTGGGCATATTACTGGGTGGAGGGAAGGCAAAAGAGACAACTTTTCCAGTGGGAATTTGTTAGGACTTACTATTTCTCCCACTAAACTTTTTAATGTCTTTAAGATATAATTCACATACCATGCAATTCACTGACTCACAGTGTATAATTCGATGGCATACAACCATCACCACAGTCAACTTCAGAACACTTTCCTCACTCTAAAAAGAAATCCTGTACCTCTTAACCACCACTCTCTCCCCAATATTTCCAACTCTCATCATCCCTTCCCACCCCATCCTCTGCTGCCAGCCCTAGGCCACCATTAATCTGCTTTCTATCTCTACAGATTTGCTTATTCAGGACACTTTGTATAAAGAGAACCATATCATATGTGGTCCTTTGTGTCTGGCTTCTACCACTGAGCATGATATTTTCAAGATTCTTCCATATTGTAGGTGTTGGAACTCCATTCCTTTTTATGGCTGAATAATATTCCATTGTGTGGAGATACCACATTTCACCTATCCATCTGTCAGTTATTGGACATGTGCGTTTCCATCTCTTGACTACTGCGAATAACACTGTTGTGGACATTTGTAAGGTTTTGTGTGGACCTATTTTCAGTTCTCTCAGGTATATACCTAGGAGAATGGCTGGGTTATATAGTAGCTTTATGTTTAACTATTTGAGAAACTGTCAGACTGTCTTCCAAAGAGGCTCCATCATTTTATTTTACACTCCCACCAGCAGTGTGTGAGGGTTTCAACCTCTCCACCTCCTCACCCACTCTTATTACTATCCTTTCATATTACAGACGCCCCTAGTGGTTTTGATTTGCATTTCCCACATGACTAATGATGTCAAGCATTTCTTCATGTGCTTATTGGCCATCTAAAAATTATCTCTGGAGAAATGTCTACTCAGATCCTTTGTCCATTTTTTTTTTTTTTAAGATTTATTTATTTATTTACCAAGGCAGGTGGTAAACCGCTGAGCCACCCAGGGATCCCCACCATTTTTTAATTGTCTTTTTATTAGGGCCTGTTAAATGTAACAAGTGAACACCAGCAATCCCTCCTATAGTGATACGGTATACCAGCATGCATGCTGAAGCTGACCCTACAGAGACAAGTCCCTGGAGCACTGTTTATAACTGTATAATGTCAGAAACCTAAATTTCGAATAAGGAACTGACTAAATTATGGCTCGGACTATACATAGGATAACATATAAGGAAAAAAACCCCATGGCATATTAAGCGATTTTCCAAAAGCTGGAGAAAATAAATACACAGTAGAATCCCACTCATGTTTGCACCTGTCTAGATAGACCTTCCTATGCAGAGAAGTCCTGGGCTGTCTCTTTATCAAACCACATGGACATCTTGGGGAGGAACAGGGGGTGGTTGAAAAGGAAGGAAAATCTCAGCATTCTTACTCTACATCATGTTTTCAAGTCATGGATCATAAGTGTTATTTACTTTTTAAAATATATTTTCCAGGGATCCCTGGGTGGGGCAGCGGTTTAGCGCCTGCCTTTGGCCCAGGGCGCGATCCTGGAGACCCGGGATCGAATTCCACGTCGGGCTCCCGGTGCATGGAGCCTGCTTCTCCCTCTGCCTGTGTCTCTGCCTCTCTCTCTCTCTGTGTGTGTGTGTGACTATCATAAATAAATAAAAATTTTAAAAAATATATTTTTTTTCCATATTTTTCAAATAATAGCATCTTCAAAATTATGACAGGAAAGGTGTCTATTTTTACTCACCACTGTATCCCTGAGCACCACTCAACACTTGGCATCAGTAGATACAATGAAAATGTGCTGAATAAATGTAGAGCAGCTATTTCTATGCAGCAGAAAATTCTGTTTTAGCTCATACTTCAGGGACAGGATTCCTCACCCGCTGTGACTAAATTTTAAGGTAATAAACAGGGTCACTTACGTGATTAAGGAAATACTGCACAATTATTTCATGGCCAGCAGCAGCTGCTTCCATCAAAGGAGTAAATCCATACACCGGCTCCCTGCAAGAGAGAGGCCAGGCCAGACTATTAGTGGAGAAGAGTTCAGCCAGGCAGCAGCTTTCCTGCTGCAGACCAAAAACCAAGCTGGCCTGTCACCCATCCCTAAGCATCGAGGTCTCCCTCTTGCCAGAAACAGGAAGAAAAGTTCACATCAACACATCAGGTTCATAAATTCTTCTGATTCTACCATCAGCTCTAGTCTTTTTTCCTAAAGACAATCTGTCTCTTGATCTTCACTCCTTCTAAACTTCTTCCACCTGCCATCTCTTAAATCTCCATTTTCATTACAAGCAAAAAAGCAGCTGTTGCCTTTCACTGAGCACTGAAAGCCAGTGTCTCCTGTCCACCTATCCAGATCCAATCTTTTGAGTTCAGTATCTTCCAGGAATCCTCCCAAAAGCTCCAAGAATAACCATCTACCTTGTCCTTACTTTGCCTAGTATCTAATACTTATTTTTGTGCTTGGTTCCGATTCACTCAGCGCTGTCTGCAGATGCCTCCTGACCCTCACTTCTCTCACGCTGGTCTAAAAGACAGGAACCAGGCTAAATCCTGGGCTGCATCCAGGCTAAGACACACCATTTTCACATTTTCACCTTTCTGAAGTCAGAAATTATCTTAAAATCCATAGGCAAATGGCATTTTATTTATTTTTATTTTTTTAAAGATTGTATTTATTCATGAGACACACAGAGAGATACAGAGATAGAGAGAAAGAGAGAGAGAGAGAGGCAGAGACACAGGCAGAGGGAGAAGCAGGCTCCATGCAGGGATCCCGATGTGGGACTCAAGCCCGGGACTCCAGGATCACGCCCTGGGCTGAAGGTGGTGCTAAACCGCTGAGCCAACCAGGGATCCCTGGCAAGTGGCATTTTAATCAGTGGCATTTCTTTCTCAGTGGCATGTGAAACTCTGGTGCATCTTACAAGGGATGATTTTCCCCCAGGGTGTGCACTGTGCCAGCTGGATGCTGGGTTGGTACTCGCTGTGTTGAAAGGGGATTATTGTCGTGACACACTTTAGACAACACCCCTTCCAGCTTATAAAACTCATGACTGCTTTCAAAGCATCACCTCAATCGATATAGACAGAAGCCCATAAGGAAAAAGGAATTAGCATTTAATGCACGTCAATCAAGTGCCATTCACTATGCCAGGCTGTGATATATGACAGCACGTGTAATTCCCTAACAATTCCATGACATACGTATTGCTATCCCCAGTTTTCAGATAAAGAATATGTGGCTCAGGGCACTGAAAGTGCTACACCTAGTGTCCCCTGACAGATACAGGAAAAAGCTGGGACTATCCCCAAGCTTACCACACTTGGCCCAGGCAGACCTGTTCCCTCTGCCCAAGGCAGGGGCTACCCTGCACTCTGGCCCATGGCTGCCTCCCCAGCTGCCCTCCTCAGAGTCAGAGAGACCACTAAAGACCTGGTAATCACCTCACGTTGGCATTTGCTCCACTGTCCAACAGGAACTTGACCATCTGCTGGTGCCCAGCGCTGGTGCAGTGGAAGAGGGCAGTCCAGCCTTGAATGTCCTTCATTTCCAGCTCAGCACCTTGCTTCAAGAAAACACAGAATGCTCATTACAGCCTCAGCTCCCGTGTGTGGGGCAGGTGCCCTCCAGGCTGTCACACTGCAAGAACCAAAGTGATTACTCGAGCACGCATCCATACACACACTATGTTTACAATGGTTCACAGCTCCACCAGAGCAGCCAGGAGCCCCTCAGGTTTCTGGGCCTAAGTCCCCTCATAGCTCACCTGGAGGAGAAAGTAGGCAATGCTTTCGTTGCCACAGCTGGAAGCCAGCATCAGCGGAGTCTGCCCTTCTGGGGTCGGCACATTCACGTTCACCCCCGCCTCAAGCAGCAGGTGCACAATGGTATCATGTCCAATGTAGGAGGCGTACATCAGTGGGGTCCAGCCACCACCATTCTTCTTATTCAAATCTAACTCTCTCCTAAACAAACGCAAGATATGCTAGATGTGTCCAACCATCTCACATGTGAGGTTTACCAAAGCCAGCAGTGAGGCTGAACCAAGAGAAAAAGCGGGAAATACAGCCAGAAGCAGAAGTTACCTGCCACCCTGGACGTCACAGGGCAGGGGAGGCAGGTGGGGAAACCGTTGTTTGCTGTACAGCTGCCTCTGAAAAGTCCTCAGAGCTGTCATCCTCCCCCAATTGCCCATTATCATCGGCCCCTCCTCCTACCCCTAGGTCAGCAATTCTTTCCTACCCCCAGCTACACAGATGCTCCTCAACCAGGGGTGGTTTTGCCCCCCAGGAGACATTTGGCACAGTGTGGAGACATTACAGGTTGTCACAACTGGGGAAGGAAAACCTACTGGCATTTGGGGGTGGAGGCCAGGGATGTGGCTAACCAGCCTACACACACACAGGTCCCCAACAGAGAAGGATCTGGCTCAGACTGTCAGGAGTGCCAGAGTCAAGTAAGTGACCTGGAGCCTTGACTGTCTTCTACCAACAGACCAGAATCTGCTTTTCTGGGGCTGAGTGGAAAGGGGAAGGGATTCAGAGAATGGACAATACTTCTCCTTTGTCACCTCATCCTACAGAAACATTCCTGGAAAATCATTGACCAGAGGATCCTATCTTTCTCATTGATTTCCATCAAAATTCTGGAAAAGCGTTTCCCACAGGAAAACAAACAACAAACAAACAAACAAACAAACAAACAAACGTGGGTTTCCCAGCCTAGAGTCTGGGGTTTGGGGTTGGGGTATGGAAAGAACATCCACTTCCAGGTGGTCATGTCCCACAGCCTTTCCTCAGGCACAATCCCTGCCTCCAGTAGAGGCAACAAGTGGCCATCGATGACAGTCTGTGCCTCTCAAAGGTATGCACACAGGAAGCTACACCCACCAGACAATTATTTTTCATCCACTGACAACTTCTATTGACTTTGGGATGTCCATGCAGCCATTCCAGAAGGTCCTTATCCCAGGAAAGAGTGGCAGCCACTGGTTGGGAGAGTGCACAGAAGCCCGTTCGTTCTGGCCACATGAGGTCCACTGATGGAGCGCTCATTCCACTTGGAGAAGGGCCAAGTCCCTGGTAGAGCATCTCTGAGGCTCTGACATATCCAATTGGGCCCAATCCTCCTTCCGATGCCTCCTCTCCCCTCAGATCCCCGGTCTCTGCTTACTGTGGGCAAGCCTTGGTGACAGCTAGGGCCACAATCCCAACCAGGGCACAAATACTTCCCCTCTGCCCTGGGGAGCCATTCTGGACTGTGGATTTAAAAAGCACACCCAAAGGTTTAAAACGCCCAACAATGTCAGAGGAATAGAGTTGTAACTGGGAATGTGCCTGTGTACCCAGCTACACATTCCTAAGACCACCTGATACAGGAGTACGACAGATTATTCCTTACTACGGAGTTGCACTTGTACTCAATTGGCCAGATATTTATAAGTGATGGCTAAGACGTGGGAACCAGAAACACGAGGCTTAAACAAAGCTTTGGTTTGGCTCCCTAGGAACTGAAAAAGGTATGGACACAGATGGGTTCTCCAAGTTATCAATGAAACACTGAAACAAGGAGGTAGGTAGGTGCAAGGGGGGTGGAGGTGAAGAGATTGGTCCTTTTCCCAAAACTACATTAACATGTATAAGACTGCAGGTGGCAATCCCCAGAGGAAGATGAAACCCCCACCACCACCTCCTCCTCTAGGGTAGAAGCTAGAAGGGAGAGGAAGGCATGAGAGATAAAAACGACCTTTCTTGGGAAAGAAGGCCACAGGACCTCACTTTCTAACTTTATTTTAGTTTTGTTTGAACATTTCTGCAATTCGTAAAAACCATAAAATGATTCTAAAGAAAGCCTGAAATGTTTCAGAAGCCCATGAAAAAAAATTTAAATCATCTCTTCGGAGGAATAAAAACTGACCTATTATGTCCTGCATAAATCATTACTGACAACTGAGACACGGGGATTGACTGATGCGTATGAAATGTCTACGACTGTGTGCGAGGCCCCATTAGCTTACTGACAGCTCTACTTGAGATCTGAAGCCACAGAGATGGTACTCAAATCTAAGCAGAAGGAACATTTCCTAAGATCTCTTACCGCTGCACACATTCCTTCACCACTTCATACTGGCCGATGGAAGCAGCTGTGTGAAGATCCAAGGGGACGGCCAGCTCCTCCCGGCTGACCTGAGCACCCAGCCCATGCCACATGGACAAGCTGCGGTTCAGGAGTTCTGGCTCACTGGCTTCATCGCTGAGCTCCGACATTACTGTGGAGGGAAACCCAGGGGTTAGGTCTTTCCTTCCTGGTGGCTCCAGGGAGTGAAACAGGATGGTCACACTCCTACCTGCAGGAGGCAGCTATGTCACTATCCTAGCAAACTGTCAATGCAATAAACTCCTGGGACAGACTTAGAAAAATTTCACTGGGGAACCTGGGTGGCTCAGCCAGTAAAGCATCTGCCTTCAGCTCAGGTCATGATTTTAGGGTCCTGGGATCAAGCCCCTCATCGAGCTCGCTGCTCAGCAGAGTCGTGTTTCTCCCTCTCCCTCTGACCTTCCTCCCCACTTGTGCACGCTCTTTGTCTCAAATAAAATCTTTAAAAAAGTGAAAGAAAGAGAGAAAGAAAAAAGAAAATTTTCATGATATAAGTACAGGTTTGGGCAGTTCCATCTTGCTGAGACTAGTGAGACTGCCACCAGACAGAAAAAGAGGAGCACATATGGTGAGTCACGCACTGGGCTGTGTACTTGCCTCCATTACTCCTCAGGCCCCAGTCCTGCAAAGGGAATTCTCCACAACTCAGGAAGGCCGACAACCTCTTGGATGGGCAGTCAAAAAATGCTAATTGGGTCACTGGACCAAATCACCTCTTGGGTGTGGTGGGAAAGAACCCTGGACTTGGAGTTCTATCAAAATTTAGCTCTGCACAGGGATCCCTGGGTTGCTCAATGGTTTAGTGCCTGCCTTTGGCCCAGGGCATGATCCTGGAGTCCCAGGATTGAGTCCCACATCGGGGTCCTTGCAGGAAGCCTGCTTCTACCTCTGCCTCTGTCTCTGCCTCTCTCTCTCTCTCTCTCTGTGTCTCATGAATAAATAAAATCTTAAAAAAAAAAAAAGAACCTCAAACACAATGTGCTAAACAGAAGCCAGACTCAAAGGCTACCCACTGTATGATTCCATTTATGTGACATTCCCGGGAAAAAAAAAAAGTGAAGGGCAAGAGGACAGATGGGTGGTATCAGGGGTAAGGAATGGGGAAACCACAAAGGGACAGCAAAAGGGAATTTGGGGGTAATATACTTGTTCTGATTCTTGACTGGTGGGGTATGTTGACTTTGTATGTTAATTAAAACTCATAAACCCAAACACCAAATGAGTGAATTTTACTGTATAAAAATTTGAGACAAATAAATCTTAAAAAGAAAGTCCCATGGGCAGCCCGGGTGGCTCAGCGGTTTGGCGCCTGCCTTCGGCCCAGGGTGTGATCCTGGAGACCCAGGATCGAGTCCCATATCAGGCTCCCTGCATGGAGCCTGCTTCTCCCTCTGCCTGTGTCTCTACCTCGCTCTCGCTCTGTCTCTCTCATGAATAAATAAATGAAATCTTAAAAAAAAAAAAAAGAAAGAAAGAAAAGAAAGTCCCAGCACGGAAACTAGGATGTGAGTGGTATTCAGCAAAGTAGGAATCCACCTACACATTCCTTGAAAGTGGACTCAGTGGTTGAGCGTCTGCCTTCGGGTCAGGGCGTGAGTCTCATATGGGCTCCCGGTGAGGGGCCTGCTTCTCCCTCTCTGCCTCTGTCTCTCTCTGTGTCTCTCATGAATGAATGAATGAATGAATGAATGAATGAATAAATAAATAAATAAATAAATAAAAAAGTAGGAAGGCGGGCAGGGATGGGGGGGGATAGACTGGTAAATTCCTGGGGTGATGGAACTTTCCCAGAGATGCAACAACACCAGGACGAAGAGCCTACAATCATGACAGCCACTTATCCTGGGATATCGAACCAAATTCATGCCAAGCCATTAGTCTATTAGAATATTTGGTCCATGAGCAACATGTGTCTCCTACTGTACTATGGGTGGGAAAGAACAAGAAAGCAAGAATAGAAAAGAGAGAAAAGGAGAAAACTTAGGTCACATCCATTCCCACGGCCCAAAGGTGCCCCAGCAGTTCACACGTGCCACTAGGATCTCAGTCTCTACTAAAAGAACGCTTCCAAGCCCCAGGTCACACAGCTGAGGTGGGCCTGTAGGAAACCAAGCTCAGCGCAAAGTTCTGCTTTCTGGTACCACCACCTGCCGACACGCACGGAGCCGGAGATCAACCAGCTTTCTCATTCTGCAGGTGAGAAACTCCAACCTCAGGAGTACTGGTCAGGAGATGCAGGGTAAGAGCCCAAAGAGCCTGGGCGCTTCAGGGACCCTTTCGATACACCCTCCAAGCCTCCTGTGGGCGTCTCCGTCCTCCGGGGTGGAGCCCACGAGGTCGCTCCCGTTATCGGAGGCCCAGGCGGCTGACAGCCTGCAGGGTGGCGATCACAACCAGACCCGGCCAGAGGAGCACGGGCAGGGCGAACCCGCATGCCACCTCCCCCAACAGCGCGCCCCACGCCGCACCCTCAACGACCGGGTAGCTGCTCTGCGGAGAACGCTTATGCTCGTCCGTAGGGCCGGATCCCCACTCAGGGGGCCGGGTTCCTTCAGCCCAGACAAGCACGGGGAAGAGGTCTCGTCGCGGCGACCCGGGGACCCAGCCCGAGCCCCGACTGCTGCACCCACGTCGCCGGCCGCCCCCGTCCGGTAACCCCGCACCGCACGTGGCTCCGCCGTCGCCGCCGCGCGGCTGCAGAAGCGGAAGTGCAGCCAGAAGCCCCCGCGGCGAGCAAGCGGCCGGGCCCCGCAGGCGCGCGGCAGGGGGCAGCACCAGGTGGGCGGAGGGGGCTCGGCCGCCCCCGAGCTACCTGCGCTGGGCCCCGGGGCGCCGCCGCCGCCTTCGCACTCCCTCGGGCCGGCCCGCTCGCCGCCACGCACGCCCGGACTCCTTCCGCGCCGGCTGCCGCCGCAGCGCCCGGACCCCGCAGCCCCGCTCCCGCCCCGGAAGTGGTTGCGGGAGGCGCGGAGCACGCCGGGACGCTCGCCGGGCCGCGGAGCAGCTCCCGGCGCCGTGGAATTCTTCCCGTCCCGCACCCGAGCCTTCCGGTCAGCTCGCCGGGCTCGCTGTGTGACGCCCGCGGCAGCCAATGAACAGGGCGAGTTCGCCCTGGCCCGCCCCTCCGCTGGCCGGGGGAGCCAATCCCGTCCCAGGAGAGGCAGGACGCGCCTAGTCGCGAAAGAGCAGCGGAGGGGCAAAAGTGCGGTTGGCAGCCCAGGAATCGAACTCTGCCGAGGGCGGGTATTCCAAAGGCGACCGCAGCCTCAGTAGTTGGGCCGCGGCACGAGGGGCGGACGCGACCGGAGGGACGCACTGGGGACTGTTTATAGCCCTGTCAGGACCGCTCAGAGAGGGGAGGCGGGGGCCCGAGGTGAGCGGCCTCGGGCCTGCCGCGGCTGCGAAGGTACAGGTCGGGATTTGGGCAGGACGGCGGGAAACGGGGAGTGGGAGTGGGTGGGAATACGCGCGACGTGTTCTGTTTCCCAGCTTTAAAATGTAAAACCCGGGATCCCTGGGTGGCGCAGCGGTTTGGCGCCTGCCTTTGGCCCAGGGCGCGATCCTGGAGATCGGGGATTGAGTCCCACGTCGGGCTCCCGGTGCATGGAGCCTGCTTCTCCCTCTGTCTGTGTCTCTTTCTCTCTCTGTGTGTGTGACTATCATAAATAAAAATCTAAAAAAATAAATAAATAGGGATCCCTGGGTGGCGCAGCGGTTTGGCGCCTGCCTTTGGCCCAGGGCGCGATCCTGGAGACTCGGGATCGAATCCCACGTCGGGCTCCCGGTGCGTGGAGCCTGCTTCTCCCTCTGCCTGTGCCTCTGCCCCTCTCTCTCTCTCTAGGACTATCATAAATAAATAAAAATTTAAAAAAATATTTTAAAAATAAATAAATAAAATAAAATGTAAAACCCTGACGCGGGAGGCCTTTGGCGTCTCGTTGTCATAACGACGGGGCGCCCGCCCGGGGGCGGGGCTGGGGGCGGGGCCAACGGGCTGCAGCCAAGAAACGGATGTGGAGGCAGCGCCAGGATTCGGAGGAGGCTGGACCAGCTCTTGGGCTTAGCTCTAGGCGTGAACCCCCGGGCTGCTGGATGACCCTGCGCGATCTGGCCAGTTTTCACTGCATTTTCCAGCAACGGATACCTCCTTCCGCCAACAAGCTGGGCAGTTTTCAGCCTCTGAGCCGCTATATGTGCTCTTCCTGCTGCCCCCAGTGCCTTTCCCTCACTAGTTGCTCTGTCTGCCCAAAGAACCTAGAGTCTTTCTGGTAGTACCTGGTGCTTCTGTTGTCCCACAATCTGTCCTTCAGAGTCCCGTTTCTTTCTTTTTAAAAATCTTATTCATTCATTCATTCATTCATTTTTTTTAAAGATTTTATTTATTTATTCATTAAAGACAGAGAGAGGGATCCCTGGGTGGCGCAGCGGTTTGGCGCCTGCCTTTGGCCCAGGGCGCGATCCTGGAGACCCGGGATCGAATCCCACATCGGGCTCCCGGTGCATGGAGCCTGCTTCTCCCTCTGCCTGTGTCTCTGCCTCTCTCTCTTTCTCTCTCTGTGACTATCATAAATAAATAAAAATTTAAGAAAATTAAAAAAAAAAAAAAAAGACAGAGAGAGGCAGAGTCACAGGCAGAGGGAGAAGCAGACTCCATGCAGGGAGCCTGATGTGGGACTCGATCCCAGGACCTTGGGATCACACCCTGAGCCAAAGGCAGATGCTCAACCACTGAGCCACCTGGGCGTCCCTATCTATTTATTCATGAGAGACACAGGGAGAGAGGCAGAAGGAGAGGCAGAGGGAGAAGCAGGCTCCCTGCAGGGAGCCCGTCGTGGGACTCGATCCCAGGACCCTGGGATCACAACCTGAGAGCTAAAGGCAGACGCTCAACCACTGAGCCACCCACGTGTCCCCCCAGATGCTCAGCCACTGAGCCACCTAGGTTTCCCCGTTTCCAAAAAAACCTCCCCTGATGTGTGTGTGAGGTGCCTCCCCACCCTGCTGTTCACAGTTCAGGGTTCACCAAGCTCCAGCTCCGGCTTCCAGGAGTGCAGAAGATGCATGGACCCCACCACTCACATCTGTGGCTGCCACCCTGATGGGGGCCCTGACCTCGAGTTAAAGACAGGCCAAGGGCACAGCAGCCTCTGGCACTGCAAGGGATGTCCAGACACTGGCTCTCAAGTACCATCCTCCCACCTTCTTACCCCCGTCTTGACCCCTCAGGGACCAGGCCTTCTCCTGTTAGACTCTGGGACACAAAAGAGAGAGGGATCTGATTAAGTGCCCCGGGCATTAGGGATTAATTCAAGTGGTGACCCCAAAAATATCTCCTGGGGACTCCAACATGTCTGCTCCTTTGTAAGGGGGCAGTAAAGTGTGTCAGGTTTGAAATCGCCTCTTACTTTGATACAAATTCTATCTTTGTCTTTTACTAACAATATAACTTCTCTGAGTCTGTAAAATATAGATAATAGTATATGTTCTGTGGGATATAAAGTTAATATAATCTACATATCATATATACATATTCTATTTATCATATACATATACCTACATATGTATATGTATTATTATATATCACTGTATATATCTACATATAGTTGACCATTGAACAACACAGGGGTTAGGATTGCCAACCCCCCACACTGTCAAAAATCCACATAGAACTTCTTTTAAGGGGATCCCTGGGTGGCGCAGCGGTTTGGCGCCTGCCTTTGGCCCAGGGCGGGATCCTGGAGACTCCGGATCGAATCCCACATCGGGCTCCCGGTGCATGGAGCCTGCTTCTCCCTCTGCCTGTGTCTCTGCTTCTCTCTCTCTGTGACTATCATAAATAAAAAAAAAATTAAAAAAAAAGAACTTCTTTTAAGATCTTATTTTTAAGATTTTTAAGTAATCTCTATAATCTCTATATGGGGCTCAAATTTACAACCCTGAGATCAAGAGTCACATGCTCTACCAACTGAACAAGCCAGCACCCTTCTACATACAACTTTTGACTCCCCCCAAAACATTAGCTCATAGGCTACTATTGACCAAAAGCCTTATCAGTAACATAATTAGTCGATTAGCACATATTTTGTAAGTGTATTCTATATTGTATTCCCACACAAAGTTAGCTAGAGAAAAGAAAATCATGAGAGAAAATACATTTACGGTACTGAACTGTATTTGTCGAAAAAAAATGTGCACACAAGTGGACCGGTGCAGTTCAAACCTGTGTTGTTCAAGGGTCAGCTGTGTAGCTGTGGGCTCTGCCTGCAATGCACACACAGTCTGTTTTCACCCCCCATGATGTGGTAGATGCTTCGAAAAGGCAGCCCTCTCCCCCTACCCGGCCGAGCTGTTGACCCTTGACCCCGGGCCCTCTCATTTCGCCCTGTGTCCCCTGCAGGGCTGCCTGGATGATGGCATGCTGAGAAGCATCCCCGAGCCTGGGCCCCCATGGCATACCAGGACAAAGATACGGAGTCCTCACCTCCCTGGGCCTCCCAGATAGGGCCTTGGGATGCCATCCTCGAGGCCGTCAGGGAGCAGCTCCCATCTCTGGACTCAGATTCCTCCTTGGTAAGCAACCACCTTCTTCCTATGTCTTCCTGGGCCCCGACTGCCCTTTCTTCCCATAGCAACATGATGCTGACCCAAGAACAGTTTTGGAGCTTGTCTGCTTCTGTGTTGGTCATAATCTCAGTCTTTGTTCTCTGAATACATTTACTGGTACTCAGCATCCTCACAGGCCATTTCAGTGACCCCAAACCATGACTAGAGAATTCTTCTAAGAGCTTATCATGATGCATCGAAATGGTAGCATGCATTCATTGAACAAACATTTAAGGAGTCTACTTTGCTTCTTCAAGAACAAGAAGCCCTTTGTAACGTTACAGACCTGGGAGTCCCCACCTCACTATGATGGTAATTGTGTTTCTAGTTTCTAACATTGAACACCTAATGGAGAATACTGGGTGACAAAAGTGACTCTGAATTCAGCCTTTAATGGGTGCAGCAGGGTCTCCACGTGGTGGATGCTGGGGACTTCACTGCGCCCCTACTGATGGTGAAAGGTAAACAAGGCACAGGCAGGAGCTCCTTAGTAGCAGGTGCCACACAACACAGGTTGCAACGAGGCATTTAAGCAAAGCGCAAGGGGGATAGACGAAGCCTGTTGGGTTTGGGTACTACCTGGGATACCTGCAAAGATGAACACAGCACAGGTGTCTGGGCCTCGGGTATCTTCCAGTGCTCGGCAAGGCTAACAGAGTGGATAACGTGACCCTAACACCCTGTCATGTCTCCATTTGCTCTCACCTCCAGATATCCTCGCGGTGAGCTGAGGACTCCAAGTGTCCCCTCTCCCCTTAGAGATACCAAGTTTCTGTGTCATTTACGTGTTGGCTAAAAGTTGTAGGGCGGAGCGAAAGCTGGGCTCTTCTTTCAGCTACCTCCTCGCTGCCCTGTTCATTCAATGCCGGGCATTAACTGAGCACCTGGTGTATTCAAAGTCTTCGGGGGCGGCGGGTGTATGCAGAACTGGGAGCCCTGGATCTCCCCTTCACAAGGCTGTAGGGGCGAGTCCTTTCCTAAATCAGTGGCAGGAACCAGCCAGGGTGAGGGCCCCTGGGAGAAAGCTGATCTCCCCAGATGACTCCAGAGCCTCAGGGCAAGGGCAGGTGGATCCTGAAGCCCTCGGCTCTGCCTGCTGCCCTGTAATCCCAAAGTCCTCTCGTTTGTCCACAGTCGGACTGCGGGACAGAGGAGCTGTTCATCTTCCAGCGAGATCAAACTGCCCTGATCCCAGACTTGTCAGAGGAGCTGACTGAAGACCCTGCCAGGGCCTGGCTTGCTGCGGTCGATGGGTCTCCTGAGGTCTGTAGGGAGCAGGCTCTGGGGACTCTGTGGGCAGACTGGGGTATGGGTGTGGGTGTCTATGCTCACTGGACCCTAACCGCAGTGGGGGGCAAAGAGGTTAAAAGCCTAGAATTCCCTAAAATTTTATTGATTTAATAAGGGTGACAGTAGGGATTCAGAGGTAAGAAGGTACTCCTAGCTTGAGAGATGAGGTGAACACAAGAAACAATTAGAAAACACCACAGCACATTCTGTAACTAAGCATCATAGTCTAGTTAGTTTTTGCCAACCATCAGGGCAAATTTTCCATCTTCTTCTATTCGCATTTCCCAGAGACCAAAAATTCTATCTAAAATTAATAGTTTGATGCTTAAAATTAATTGCTGCTTTTATAAATAGAACCCATCAATAGGCTTTCATCACTGGGCAGGTCCCATCCGGTTAGGCCTGTTGGGCTCTTCTTAAAAGCTCCAGGAGACTAGCTTGGCTCCTCTGTGACTCTTATGACTAACTAGGGTCACTCATTAACCAGGGGAATGGCGCATTAACCAGGGGAACCAAGCCAGCCAGACAAAGCAGTGAAAGCAGACTTTATTCCCTAACAGCTGACAGCAGGGGACAGAGCTGAGCTCCGGTTTGTGCAGAGCTGACTGGGGTTTTACAGGGAGGAGGAGGGAGGGGGAGAGCGGGGCCCGCTAGAGTCAGAGTCGTGAGGATCACAAAGAGCCGGTCAGCGTGGGTGGGACTGGGCCAGGTGTGTCCCCAGCAGGTATGGAAGTCAGGAGAAGGGAGACAGGCCGGGTCCTTCCCGATGGGAACATTCCAAAGGAATGGCTCCGAGGCCCCCTGCAGATGCTTCTGGGCTGTAAGACACATGCTTACAATAATAAACCCTTTTCTGTAAATGCCCTAAGAAAGGGAGGTCAGGTGTTGGCTGGAAGAGACCCTAAATTCTCCTGCAGCATTGAGCTTCCCTGATCGGGCAGGCATTTCAGTGGGGGCTGGGGTCCTCCTAGCCGCCTGCTGCTGGAGGCCTTTGTAGAGTCTGGTCAAGTCTCTTAGTGCTGGTTTGGACAGAGTGGTTATGTGCCAAGCAGCCTGCACTTCTCAGTGGAAGCATGGACGCAGAGTCGTCTTACAGAACCAGTCAGGGCATGTCTCCCACCCATCACCATGACAGACATCACCCACTCACTCAGCCATCCTTGAAGTATAACCCCAAACAGAAATTCCCAGGGCTGCCGAGAGCTCTGGTTAGTTTGGGAGCAGCGATGTCCACACAACTTCATCTTGTGTTTTCTTCATTTCTACAATTACCTCAGCAACTCTTCTGGAGAATTTTTTTCCCCCGTCTGGGACAGGAAAGCCTGCACCAACTCATGAGGGCAGAGACTGTGGGCTTGCTCTGGAGTCAAAGGTCCTGGCTTTCTTCTTGTCACCCCTCAATAGCCATGTGGCCTATTCGCAATGGCCAAAAGGTAGAAACAACCCAAATGTCCACAACACACAAAATGGACCAACAAAATGTGCTCTATCCATACACTGGAACACCATGCAGTCCATGAAAGGGAATCAAGTACTGACACATGTTACAACTTCAGTGGACCTTAGGAACACGAAGCTAATAAGGACACAAAAGGACAAACAGTGTAGGATTCCACTCATGGAAGATCTAGAATAGGCAAATCCATAGAGACAAAGTAGACGGAGGTTACTAAGGGCTGGGGCGTGGGAAGGTACAGTCTCTTTGGGGTGATAAAAAAGCTTTGAAAATAGAAGGGTGATGGTTACACATTAGGAATGCACTTAGTGCCACTGTAGGATTTACAAGGGGCAAAAATAGCAAGTTTTATGTTACATATTTTACCACACACATAAAAATTCCCTAAAGTAAGGTTTGGAGGATGCTGAAGACACCTGTTTTCCCACAGCCAGGCGTGGTACCTGTGGGATTCACTCCAGAACCCCAGAGGCAGTGGGGCACAAGGACAAAGGCTTCTGCGTCCCTACAAGGCGGGGATCCTGGAGGGCCTGTGGAGAGCTGTGAGGAGGCCACTTCCCTTCTTCGAATGCCTGAGGACACCCCCCTGTGGCGGAAAGGCAACCAGGGGGCCCAGAGTCATCCCTGGGGGCCCCAGGGAGAAGCCACCTTCTCTTCCTGGGAAGGCAACCTGAAAACAGAGCCCCCCAGCGCTGCCTTACGGGCCTGTTGGGGTGCAGACTCCATAGGCCGCAGAGCCCTCCGTAAGGAGAGAAGGAAGATGATTGAGAAGGACATACTCTATAAAGTTACCCGGGATACCCGGGACTCAGCCTGCAGTGGCCAAAGTCAAGTGGAGGGGGCATCCTGTGCCGCGCCAGCAGCAGGTCTGAGACCAGAAACGCCCCCAGAGGGGTCTCGGGAAGGACCTCCATTGCTCTCCCTCAAGGTAGGCATCCCCCCTGGCCTGAGCTTCCTCCAGGAAGCTGGAGGAAGTGGCCATGAGCTTGTCCTCCACAGGCCCACCTGAGGCCCACCCTCTACACCTGTCCCAGTCTATGGGCTGCTGTGCCAAACTCTCATAGACTAGGGGCGCTTAAACCCCAGAAATCATCTCTCACGGTTCTAGAGACTGGGGGAGTCCCAAGACCACAACGCCCAGCACATTCGATGTCCAGTGAGAGCCTCTCTCCAGGTTCATAGTCAGCATCTTTGGCCTGGCCTCGGTGGAAGGCTCTGGGTCTCTGATAAGAGCTCCACCTTCCTGACCTACTGATCACCTCACGGCGGCCCCACTTCCAAAACACCATTACATTGGGGGTTAGAATTTAAACCTGTGAGTTTTGGAGGGACACAGTCTATAGCAATGACCTTAGGCCCCTAGGTTCCAGGTCCTCCAGCGGCTGATCATGCCTGTCTGCCTGTCCCAGGGTGGGTGTGGTCCCGGCAGACAGACCATCCTCAGCTCAGGTAAAGGTTACAAGAACAAGGAAGAGCAAAGAGACTCCAGCCTTCTTTAAAAAAAAAAAAAAGAAAGAAAGAAAGAAAAGGAAAGAACACCAATCTGAAGCATGCTTATAAAGACAGACGACCACATATAAGATCTAGAACAAATTTTGTTAAAACAGATAGTGTGAGCACCCGTTAACACTGTTTAGCTCATTAATGAGGGAACCAGCAGGATGATAAAGCCAGTTCAGAGAGACTATGGAAAACTGGGATTTTGTAAAACACTGGGGAGAAAGAAAGGAATGCTGAGATAAAATTGCACATTAAGTACACAATTGATCAACATCCTGCAAGTCAACAAAGCCATTTGTTACCTCTGGAGTTATCATCTCTACGGGACAGAGAAAACCACCGCATGTGTTCTCAGTTTTACAAAGTCCTACCGTGGGTGGACCCTGGCCAACCCTAGAAACCAAATTACCGCTCCCCACCACAGGGAGGTGGGCTCGTCAGAAAAGCTCCAGCATGACATCTAAACTTTGTACAATTCTTTTTTGCCTTATTTGCAAATTTTGATGATTTTCTTAACAATTTAGAGAAAACTGGCATCACGTTGTGCATGAAGGTCATTTTCCCCAATTTCATTCTTACCAATTGCTGTTTAAATAAGACATTCTATCCTGTTTGGTCTGAGGCACTTGTTTTCACTCACCTCTAGGGCTGCAAGGAGCTGCAGGAGAGTCCACAAGCTCCTAATTCACTTCCTCCCTCCTCTCATCACACCCAGGCGCCTCCAGCGCTCTCTTACAAGTCCTCCCATGATAGGGTGATAGGGCTGGTGATAGGGGCCGGCCCAGAACAATCAGTTCCTTAAGAGAGCAACACGTTGAAGCTTCCCAAGACTTTAAACCTGTATGGGCCTAGAGAGCTTTAAGAAAACACCGGGTTTCCAGGCCAAACAGCATTTATGCCAAAAACAAAAGTATTGCTCAAAAAAGGCATAGGAAGGAGACAGCAGGAGGTGCTGTGCCCCTCTCCCCCACTGTGACGGAGGTGTGGGGGAGAGATTGCCCAGGTGGGCAGGCACCCAGTCCCTGACTTCTAACCCACGACAACCCACGATGGCCTCCATTGGTCGGCAGCTGTGGAATCGGGCACTCCCACCACCAGGCCCCTGCGGCTGCCTCTTAATCACTGCTTTAATTATTTCAGGAACTTGAAGAGTGGGATTTGGATCACATCCTTCAGAGTCTGGCAGGGCAAGAAGGCGACAGGGGAGATCGCGCACCCGGAGCCACGTGGTGGGCAGCTGACCGCCTGGGCCGAGGTCTGACCTTGAACGCCAGGCCCCAAGTGCATCCCCACAAGCAGCTCCTTCTAGGCCCTCTCAATAAAATAGGGTCAGCCCTGCAGCCAACCACATCCTCTCTACTGCTCAGCCCTCACACCCCCGAACACACCGATGCCAGTCCGTGGAAACTTCCATCCATCCATTCATTCATTCACTCATTCGCCCATTATATATATGACCCCCTACAAGGAAGTGGACAAGGTTCTGAGGCTCTGGGGATATGAGAGGGACCTTCAGGCAGGTCCCGACCTTTGAGTGACACCTTTCCCTCCTGCCCACCTCCTTGGACCTTCTTCTGTGACTGGTGCTCCTTCAGCCAGCCCGAAGCAGAGCCGCTTCCACCCCCCTCCCCATTTAAAAGAAAGCCAAGGCTGGGATTACTGGCTGCATTCTGACCTTGCTCTGGGCAGTTCTGTAAATTAAAGGAAAGCTCCTCCTCCCCTCTCCAGCCACAAAGGTAAGTGGAGGCTGGCCTGAGGCAAAGAGCAGCGTTTGGGGTTCCAGCCTCCAATTCCAGAGCACCCCCCCCCACACCTGGCTGACCAGCCCTGGTGCTGTTTCAGCAGGGGTTTGTACTCTAACGCCTTACAGCGTGTGGAGAAACCCTCCCTCCTCCAGGCAGGGCCTGCCCTACCTGCTTAGCTTACCCCAGTGGGTAAAGCTGGGTACTCCAGGACGTTCCTTATGGCACGGTTTACGATTGGGGAGAAGAAGGCTCTCAAGCTCGGTGAAGCGAATCTATGTGTATTGACACAGAAAATCTGTTCAGTGGAAAAAAAAATCTATAGAGGATAATCTTGCTGCTTTTTTTTAAGTGAACACTTTTTTTTTTTTAATTTATTTATTCATGAGACACAGAGAGAGGGGGTGGGGGACAGAGACACAGGCAGAGGGAGAAGCAGCCTCCATGCAGGGAGCCTGACCTGGGACTTGATCCCAGGTCCCCAGGATCAGGCCCTGGGCTGAAGGCAGCGCAAAACTGTTCATTGTGGTTCCCTCCGCCGCGTGGGACTTGGGGTGAGGAAGCGAGGTAAAGGAGCGGGAGCGGGGATCCCTGGGTGGCTCAGTAGTTTAGTGCCACCTTTGGCCCAGGGCATGATCCTGGAGTCCCGGGATCGAGTCCTGCATCGGGCTCCCTGTATGGAGCCTGCTTCTCCCTCCTCCTGTGTCTCTGCCTCTCTCTCTCTCTCTCTCTCATAAATAAAAATAAATCTTAAAAAAAAAAGTGATTTGTGTAAACACATTTCTTAAAAAAAAAAAGGAGCGGGAGCGCTGTGAGTGGCAGGGGGGGCGCACGGCGAGCTATAGCCACACGAGGGAGCCCGAGGGGCCCTAAGGCTCAGGCGGCTGTAAGCAAACAGCGGGTGTCCCCACTAAGCAGCCTCCCCGCCGTCTCTCCCATCAGACCGCATCCAGCCCAACACCCAGGACAGACTCATGGACCAGCTCACCCTTCTGTGTGCCGCACAGTCCAGAGGCGCTTCTGCCTGGAAGGTGCCCGCTGACGCGCCCCAGGACACCAAGCCGCAGGAGGCCCGCAGCAGGTGAGACTCCTCTCCTCTGTGGAACTGACCGGGGCTGCTCGGCTCAGGTCCTCTTTGGGTGGGGCGCTTGATGTCTGTTTCTCATTTCATCTCAAGACTCTGATCGGGCAGCTGCTGCTATTCTCTCCATTGTATAGATGGGGAAACTGAGGCTCAGGTAGACTTACCCAGGCCTTACACGGCAGAGCTGGGACTCAAGCCCCAAAGCACCTGCTCTTTGCACACCCCATGGGGACCCTCCCTTCTCCATCCACTGGCGTCCTGGAGCAGGCCCTGCCCCCCTGGTGGCTGTTAATGAGGCCAGCCCTGCTGTCTGGCCTGAGCCAGGCCAATCAGAGCCTTTCTCTGAGAATTTCCAATCTCCCCACCTCTGGAAGGGAGTGGAAGGCAAGAAAGGCCCCATCTGTAGTGGGAAAGACAGGCTGGAGGGGCAGAGGTGGGCACAGGGCACTGGGATCCCTTAAAACCTAGTTTCCCACACTTTGGTTGTTCCACTCGTTTCTAGGAATCTGAGAGCCAATGAATGGGCTTCTGTTCCTGCTGACCCAGTGACCAACAGAAATATCTAGGGTGCCTGGGTGGCTCAGGTGGTTGAGCAACCAGCGCTTAGTTTCGGCTCAGGTCATGATCTTGGGTTCCACACTTGGGAGTACGCTGCCTTCTCCCTCTCCTTCTCCCCTTGCCCCACTCCCTACTCCCCCTTACACCCTGTCTCTCCCTCAAATAAGTATTTTAAAAAAGCGACATCTAGACCCATACTGTTCAATTGATAGCCACTGGTTGGCCACCCATGGCTACTGAATGCTTGAAACATAGCTGGATGCAACTGAGGAAATGCATTTTTTAAATTTATTTTTATTTTATTAAAAAAATTTAAGACCTTTATTTGAGAGCACACACAAGTGGGAGGAGAGGCAGAGGCAGAGGGAGAAGCAGGCTCCCCATTGAGCATGAAGCCCAATGCAGGCTCCATCCCAGGACCCCAAGATCATGACCTGAGCTGAAGGCAGATGCTTAACCGACTGAGCCACCCAGGCGCCCCTAAAATTCATTTTTATTTTTTAAGATTTTACTTATTTATTCATGAGACACACACACACACACACAGGCAGAGGGAGAAGCAGGCTCCATGCAGGGAGCCCAGTGTGGGACTCAATCCCAGGACCAGGATCATGCCCTGGGCTGAAGGTGGACGCTCAACTGCTGAGCCACCCAGGCATTCCTAAAATTTATTTTAAAATAAAATATAATTTTAATTAGCTTATAAGTAAATTTAAATAGTTGCTTGTGGCTAGTGGCCACCACACTGGGAAGCACAGCTCTAGAACATTTCAATCCCCACCAGATAGTCCTGATGGACGGTGCTGGCACTCTGGAGGGCTGTTCTGAAGAGCCCGAGAGCAGGTGCTCCTACAGGCCCTAGCTCAGGTCACACCGGGTAATTACCCAGAAATGACTCAGAAAGCCTTACTCTCTCATCTCAGATCTGCTCCGATGGAACCGGGCTTCCAGGCTGAGCTGGGCCTGACACTGGCCAAGGGCACACAGCCAAGGAGCCCAGCAGAGCCTCCTACCATCTTCATTGATCTGCGGCCCTCAGAGCCATCAGACATTGGGGCCTTGGAAAGGTACTAGGAGTGGTGACAGCCCTGCTTTGCAGTGGTCACCTTGGCCTCAGGAGGAGCAGGGGCATGGACAGGTGGGAGTAAGGCCAGTGTGGGCCGGTCCCAGGGCACCGCTCAGTGGAAAAGTACTTTAGGCCAGGAGCTGAGCCTGGCCAACAATCCCACTGGGTCCCTCCAGCAGGCTCTCCCTGCAGGCAGGGAAGAACCCAGGCGGAGCTCTAAGCAAACAGAGTGGGGACTTGGGTACATTGCCCTGGGGTATGTCCCTCTACTTGGCAGAAAGTCCCAGTGGCCTTGTGTCAACATCCCATGAAGCCAGCTTTCCTCTTCCCTCAGCCCCAGCTCCAGTTCCTCTGACAGCGAGGAAGAGGAAGAGGACACAGAAGCTCTCAGAGACCAGCAGAGCCCAGCCAAGTGGGAGTGTCCTTCCTCCCGAGGGTTACGGTAAGCACCAAGGGGATCCCACCACCCGGGGACGTCCCATCTCTGCTTTCCACAGCAAGGCCTCAGCCGGACACATTTAACATTTGTGTTTCATCTCTGTCTGACCCACAGGGGGCCAGCACGTGTGGGCCTAGGAGTGGTCTGGGAGGTGGCCCGTGGTACTCCACCTGGGGCCCAGCCGGGACGGCTGTCCTCCCAACACACCAAGGACACCTTAGTTCGCTCCTGAGAGGGGATTAGTCCTTGCCTTCTGAAAAACAGTTCCCCAAATTGATTTGCTCCCTACTAATGATAGCATTGGAAGTGAAGCGATGTCGGGATCGGGTAGTGATGGTTGTTGGCTAGAGATGAAAGGCCTGGGTGAGGTAGGAAGTGCAGTGTCACATTCAGAGAAGGCCCGCTCCCCACGATGCAGAGGCCCCACTTTGCTCCTAGAAGCCTTCAACATGCTGACATGCCCTCAGCACAAGCTGAGAGGCCTAAATCTCTCCCTGTCTTGAGAACCAGGGAACACACTTCTGGAAGCGCTCTGGCCTCCTCGCGTTGGGAGGTCTAGCTCCACTTGGTGTTGGCTGAGGTGGTTTCTCTTGTGTCACAGGGACTGTACCGGAAAAAGTCAGCTTCTCCAGCAGCTCAGGGAATTTCGAAAGGGGACGGCTCAGCCCAATTTGCCTACTGCTGCGGGTCCTGGTAGCCAGAAGGCTCAGGTACCTGAAGATCCAGCCACCTCCAGAACCAAGAGGAAGCCACATGTACCACCGTGGGCTGAGAAGCAGAGCACCCAGGCCAGATGCCCAGGGGGCAGTCCCAGGGTGCTAGGGGACGACAGCCAGGGAGACCCTGGTGCCTCCCCTGGGCCAACTGTAGCTGCCTCCAGGACTGGGATCTGAGGAGCTGGGCGGGATCACTCCACTCTCCATCCACATGCCCAGGCCCCTGGCTCTCCCTCGTTCCCGTGAGAAGGTGCTTCTGCAGCACAGGGACCCTCGGGCTGGGGGTCAGGTCATTCTGTGCATTTAGAGCAAGAAGGCCGGAACACAGCTGTGCACAGACCATGACGACAGCTCCTCTGAAAGTGCCGGGAAGCAGACCCCACGGAGACCGTGGTCTATGCTGACACACCAGGGCTGCCGGTGCTTGCCTCTCCTGCGTCTGCATTCTCCTCTTTCGTGTGCATCTGGTATTGCCATCATGCAAGGTCTTTTTCAAAACTAAAACTTAAGTAAAACATATTTAGAGAATCTCAGGGTTGAAAGGATCTTGGAGAACTGAGCCTCATCTTCTGGGTCCCTGGATGCCTGCTGTTTCATGGGCTGAAATGAAACCACGCACGCTCCCCCCCACACACACACACCCCAAATAGACTCTTTGATAAAGGGGTGAAGATTGTTGTTTTTTTTCTTTAACCAAGATACAAAGGCACACATCTGTTTTAGGGTCTTCCCAAACATTGGGTGGAGTTGACCTTAACATAGAGATAAGATTACTGAGTGTCCTGACCCCAAACTGTCCCTACAGAACAGGGCGGCGCCCGCCTGGTGTATGACCTCCTTCCCGCTCCTTTGCGAGCATTATCCCCCACCGCCCCTCCATTTTCAGAGTCCTTTCTATTGTTCTCAGCCCTGCACCCCCAACAGACTGAAGCCCTGATCTGTGGCTACCTCTGTTCTCGTTTCTGAGATTCTGCTTCTCAGTCTCCACCCTGCTCCACCCTGCCTGCCCCATGGGAAGAGCAGTCCACCTGTGACATGGGCTCAGTAGCTTGGCAGGGTCCTTGGCATCTGAGATGAAAGGCCTGAGTGAAGTAAGAAGTGCAGTGTCACATTCAGGGAAGGCCCGCTCCCCACGGTGCAGAGGCCCCACACGATGGTGCAGGGGGGTCACTCAGGCTCATATGCTGGATCTGTTGTTTTTGCAAAGCCTGCGGATAGGATCCCGAAGGACAGGATCCATGTCAGGGTCAAATGCAGCTTTTCTCCTAAAGTGGTACATGATTAGGCAAATAGAAAAAAAGAAAAATTTTGAGTTGAGAAGTATCACACGGCTTTGCTCCTAGAAGCCTTTAACGTGCTGACATGCCCTGTGACATTCAGTTGGAGTTACCATCTGCTGCGTGAGTGGAGGGTGGGCAAGGGTCTCTCTCCACCAAATCCCCGCACCGGGGAAGGCAGGTTTTGCTCGGCCTCAGCCACAGGCAGCCAAAAGCGGGCCACGGACCCCACTTGATGCAGCCATGGGAGCACCAGCGCCCACGCCCAACAATGAGGGGCCAGGTCCAAGACAGCTCCCACCAAGGCCACAGGAGGCCCTGGCTGGGCCTACCTGCAGGGAAGGTGGCCAGGCTGTCCCCCAGGTTCCCGGTCTTGCCCATCTGTGAAAGCCCCTCACCCTCTGCTCTAGGGCATGTGCAGCACGGCCGGGGCTCAGGCGCTGGGCAAAGGCAGACTAAATGGGACCCACCGCCCCCCATGCAGCCTGTCCAGAGCAATGGCCAGTTTTTTCCCTTTAAACCCATTTTCCCCATCTTTACCCCTTTTAATGCCAGTAAGTTCATTTAGGATAAAAACAGTGACAGAAAATAAACTTTTTGTTCCAAGTTCAAGTGGGTAAATGACCGTTAAAGGCAAGCCAAGATGGTGTGGGAGGCATTCTGATCCAAGTTCAAAGCCAGTTCTGTCGCCTGGACAAGGTGCTAGAAGCATTCAGGACCTCAGTCTCCCATTTATAGTAAGAGTCACAAAAGCCCTGTCCTAGGACTGGCTGAGAGAATACTCTGGAAGAGGCACTAATGGGCCCAGGTCCCAGGCCAGGAAGCGGGCAGCCAGCCACCTCCAGCACCAACCTGGACGTAACAGGCGAACCTGCAGACTCCCGGCTGCATAGGGAAGGTGAGTGGTCAGCAACACCAGGCATGCTCAAGGGCTCTGGAAGCTGCCCTAGGAGGTATGAAGCATGCTTCAACTGAGTGGCCCCCTTCCCCAGAAAACACACAGGGCAGGAGGACTGACTTTGTTTATTAAGGGAACTGAGAACAGATCACGTACCCTGGAACCTGGGTTATGCAGGAAGGTAGAAAATATCTACAGTGATTGGGTGACAAACAGAACGGAGCACAGCACAAGGTCCCAGGCCAGCCCACCTTGGGAAACTGCCACACTCCCTGCACGGAATACTAAAACTGAGTGGTTTTAGCAGCTGCCCCAAGACTCCAGTAATGATGAAATGGAACAAGGATTCTACACGGCTCCCCTCAGCTTCCCTGGAGAGAGTGGATGTGAACAGGTCAGAGGCCTGTCCACAACAAAGTGGGGCAGCCAAGGCTGCCTCTGTCCTGGCCACTTGAGGCTGGAGCAAAGGCAAGCCTGGCCTCCTGCCTGGGGCAGAGGGCAAGGCCAGTCGAATCCACAGGCCGCCTCACGGGCTGGGGGAGATTGAAAGATGTGGTATCAGGGAAGCGTTCCCACACCAGGCATTCACCCTTCAGAACAGCCATGGATCCACGGTGACCCCCGTTCACCCCACTGCCCCCACAGAGGTACGGAAACAGCCCCTGCAGCCTATATACTGAAAGTGTGGCAAGGCTGGAGGGGAAGGTGGGAGACCAGGGAAGCCTGGGGTGTGGAGCTGCCAACAGAAGCGGAGCCCTGGAGGCTTCTGTGAAATGGGCTGACAAGTGTCCCCAGCTTCATGTCCACCCACAATCTCAGAATAGGCCCTTGTTTGGAAATAAGCTCTTTGCAGATGTAATTAAGGTAATTAAGATGAGGTCATTCTGGACTGGGGGCCCTAAACTGAACGACGGTGCCCTTATAAGCGAAGAGGACACCAGAGCAGAGAAGAGGCAGAGATGGGGGTGATGCGGCCACAAACCAGGAACACGGGCAACACCCGAAGCCAGGAGGGAGGCATGGGATGGTCTCTCCTATCAGGGCCTCCAGAGGGAAGCAGCTCGGCCCACATCTTGAGTTCGGACTCTGGCCTCCTGAACTGAGAATCATCCCTGTGGTGAGCCACCCAGGCTGCGGGACCCAGGGCCACCTGCTCCATGTCTAGCTGCCACTGCCAAACCCAGTGCTTGGATTCTTCCCTCAGCATGGGCACCTGAAACATCCCACAGCTGCGGGCTGGGCCCACACCAGGGGCTAGTGGGGTAGGTGTGAAATGCCTTCAAATTAGGGTTTTAGTTCCAAGACAGTAACTCCAGCAGCTTCATGAACTCTGACCTCGATATTCCGAAAGGGACCTCGGAAGCGGACAGCTCGACGAGTGGTGGCTGGACCTCGGCCCAGGGGCCTCCTGGAGCCGCGCCGTGGGGGGGCTCTGCTGGCCCGGCTGGTGCTCCCCACTGTGCATCCGCTGGTGTTTGTGGAGGTCGGTGCCCCGGCGGAAGCCCCTGCCGCAGGCTGAGCACACAAAGGGCTTCTCACCTGCGTGTGTCCTCCGGTGCGCACTGAAGTGGGAGCTGTTGCTGAAGCGCTTCCCACACTCGGCGCACGCGTACGGCCGCTCCCCGGTGTGTGTCCTGCGGTGGATGACCAGGCTGGAGCTCTGGCTGAAGCGCTTCCCGCACTCGGCGCATGCGTAGGGCTTCTCGCCCGTGTGGACTCTCTGGTGCGTGCTGAAGTTGGAGCGGTCGCTGAAGCCCTTCCCGCACACCTGACACTTGTAAGGCCTCTCCCCGGTGTGTGTGCGCTGGTGCTTCGTTAAGTGGGACGTTTTACTAAAGCCTTTGCCGCACTCGGGGCACGTGTAGGGCTTTTCAACTCGTCGGGGTCCTCCTCTCTCTGGAGGCTGCTCGGGCCTGGTCATGCCCCTGACCGGCTCTCGGTCCCGCTCCCTGCTCATCGACACATGCTTCCTGGAGTCCTCTCCATCCTCAGGTTGCAGCCCAAGCCCTGAGACAGAGAAAGCACAGTGCCTGAGGCCTATCACGGGGAGAGGGACACTTCTAATGAGAGAAGGCACAGGCCGTGCGGCCGCCCCATTGGAAAACATGAGAGCAAGCCTCAGAGCACTCAGCAGGGGAGCATCAGTCAGCCCTGAATGGAGATGAACGTGAACCATGGCCAGCAGCTTGTGAAGCCCTCACACCAGCGAGGTGGGTGCTGTGACTGCCCCATTACAAGAGGGGGAAACTGAGGCACGAGGAGCTCACCCAGAGTCACTTGGCTAGTAAGTCACAGGTGGGCTCTGGAGTGTGGACTTGTAAGCTCTAGGCCAGAGTTGCTCACTTGGGGGCAATGGTGGGTGTCAGAGGGCACGTGGCAATGTCTGAAGACATTTTAGTTATCACATGTGGGGAGAGGTGTTGCAACCGGCATCTATAGGGTAGATGCCAGGAATGCTGGTGAACATCCTAAGGCTCACAAGGTGTCATCATCACAGAATCACAGGAGCTCCAATGTCAACAGTGTTTTGGCGTTCAACCAAACAATGGCACCACCACCAGGTAAGGGACCTCTGAGGAGGTTACCATTAGATCTGCTTAACATCTACAATCAGTTGACTGTAAATGAAGCAGATCGCCCTCCATGCTGTGGGTGGGCCTCGTCTAATCAGTTGAAAGCCTTAACAGCAGAACTGAGATTTCCCAGAGAGGGACAGAGGAAGACAAAGAATCCTAACCAGGCTTCATGCCTGGCACGGAGCCCAATACAGAGCTTGATCTCCCAACCCCGAGATCATGACCTGAGTTGAAATCAAGAGTTGGAGGCTTAACTGACTGAGCCACCTGGAAGCCACCCCCAGAGAAGAATTCTGCCCCAAGACTGCAACATAGAAATCCTGCCGGTCTCCAGGCAGCTGGCTTGCCCTGCAGAGAGCATACTCAGGACTGCAACAGCAACTCTCACTCGAATTTCTTCTAGCCTGTGGGCCTGTTCTACAGCTTTTAGGCTTCCCAGCCTCCACAATCCTATGAGCCAATTCCTTAAAATAAATTATCTTAACTTACACGATTATTGGTTCTGTTTCTCTGAAGAAACTCAACTGATACAGAGAAACATCTTGGGCGCCTGGGGGTGCTCAGTGGATTAAGTGTCTGTCTTCGGTTCGGGTCATGGTCTCAGGGCCTGGGATCCAGCCCCACACTGGGCTCCCTGCTCAGCAGAGTCTGCATCTCCCTCTTCCCCCTGCTCGTGCCCTTTCTCTAATAAATAAAATCTTTAAAAAAAAAAAAAAAAAAAGGACTCTCAATTCCTTCAGAACCCATTTCAGGGGCTGAATGGGTATCTGGAGCGTGAAGACAAGCTGAGCAGAGGAGCAGAATAGTGCTGGGTGGGGGGAACTGGGGGTGGGGGGAAGGAGAGGCTGTGGATGGCCAAGGCCTTGCCAGAGCAGCTCTAACCATGGGACCCTGGGCAGCACAGAGGCTACAGTGAAACTGGGCCAACCGTGTGGTCCACTCCCACCTGCCTGGGAGGAGGTGAGCGGTCATACCCTCCCCACTGCGGCTGGGCCAGTGGCAGGTCACCAGCAACCCTGGCTTTGCAGGCTGCACTCAGCTGGCTGCTGAGCAGACTCTCCAGGCAGTGCCCCTGGCCCCCCCGAACCAACCTGGGCACAGGCTGAGTTCCTATTTCAAGATGCTCCCCGTGACCACTCGGCCACTGCAGTCTGAGCGCTATGGAACTGGCTTTGTCAGTTGTGGGGAGACATGGAAGATACTGGGCCTTGGGTCCCTGTGGCCCACACCCCGCTGCTGGGAAATGTTGAGCCAGCCACAGCCAACCTTAGGAAGGAGCCCCCCCCCCCCCGCCCCCACAAGACTGATCCATGTCAGACATGCCACGGATGAGCAGGGATCAGTGGCTTCCCGCACATTACCCCTCTTCTCTGGTAGCACGTCCCAGCTGCAGTCCCGCGGAGTCGGGTCCGGGCGTTGCCACTCCTCCTGGGACAGGTACGCTGCCATGTCCTCCAAGGTCACTGGCGCCTGCTGGAACGGCACCCACTCAGCCCCACGCCGCTGCCCCTTCACGTGGGCCAGCCTGGTGCGCTCGCCACCCCTACCACCTGTATCACAATGGCAGGTCCTGCCTGCCACCCCCAACTCCCTCCTTCCATATGCCGTCCTCCATGCCTCCTCCTCAAGTTCTGCTCACAGAATGGCTCAGTCTTGCTTACTGGGAGGGAGAACACTGTCACTGCTGGGCCAGAAGACAGTGTGGACAGATTCACTGTATGGAGCAGCTGGTTCCGCTGTGCGCTCAGCCACCAGGGCCCACGCTCCTCAGGGGCACGAGTCAGGCATGCCCTGCCTCAGCTCAAATCAACCCTGGGACCCAAGTGGGGTGTCTTGGAAACTTCGGGATGCCTCTACGTCAGTGGTTCCCAAATCTAGCATCAGGCCGACCTGAAGAGTATATTAAAACCCAAGCAAACTGGGATCCCTGGGTGGCACAGCGGTTTAGCGCCTGCCTTTGGCCCAGGGCGCGATCCTGGGAATCCAGGATCGAATCCCACATTGGGCTTCCGGTGCATGGAGCCTGCTTCTCCCTCTGCCTGTGTCTCTGCCGCTCTCTCTCTCTGTGTGACTATCATAAATAAATAAAAATTAAAAAAAAAAAAAAAACAAGCAAACAATGTCTAGAAGAAGCAAATCCAGAGAGACAGAAAGTAGGTTGCCAGAGACTGGAGAAGAGGGTTGGGGGGGGGGGCTGCCAATGGGTATGGGGTGTCCTGGGGAGGATAATGTTTTGAGGACTATGACGACGGTTATATAACTATAAATACGCTAAATGTTATGCACTCTAAATGGCTGAGCCGCCTGGTATGTGAATTAAAGCTCCATAAAGCTGTTATTTTTTTAAAGATGTTTGTTTTATTTTTTTTATTTTTTTTTAATTTTTTATTTATTTATTTATGGATCGCGCCCTGGGCCAAAGGCAGGCACCAAACCGCTGCGCCACCCAGGGATCCCAAGATGTTTGTTTTAGAAAGAGTGAGTGAGAGTGAACACGAGCAGGTGGAGGAGCAGAGGGGGAGAGAGAATCTCAGGCTCCCTGCAGAACACACAGCCTAACGTGGGGCTTGATCTCATGACCCTGAGATCATGCCCTGAGCTGAAATCAAGACTGAGCTCCCCAGGTGCCCCGCAATAAAGCTGTCATTTAAACAAACAAGCAGAGGAGAGTCTGATTCCAGACCAGGGCTGGGGGAAGAATCTATATTTTTACCCAAGTCCCAAGAGTCTAGTGCCCAGCTGGGCTTGAAGCAACTGCCCCAGCTCACCCTTAAGCCCCCCAATCCTCCGGGACACACCTCATACCCAGATGGCATCCAAGAGAAGACTTTCGGAGGAGAAAGTCAGGGTAAAAGGGCCATTCCAGAGGGAGCCACTATATGAAAGCTGGACCCAGCACCGGACACACACACGCTGCAGACTGGGAACGCCCACTCACCCGGGACCGGGATGGAACAAAGGACGTGGCCGATCCTGTTGCCATCTCCTGATGCTGAGAGGCCGCTGGGCCTGGGGAGAGAGCAGAGAGTTGCCAGAGAAGGCTGCACGGCCCACCTGTGCACACAGCAGCAAAGGCCCAGAGGCGCAACTACTCCCCACCTCCGCTCAGCTTCCGGGCAGGAACCTGTCCTTCCCACATGCAGAGGCCCAGCCTCCTAGGACACCCCCCTCCCTCCAGCTCATTCCCGTACAGGGCTTCTTTCACCTAGAGGGATGGCTACTCACCCCTCTTTGGCCAGAGCTGGGGGTCCCTCTTTGGTCTGTGGCCCCGCTGGGCTGGGGACTGCTGGCTGGAGCATCCAGACCCTTCCTCCAGAGACAGGTCCCCTGGCCTGGCCTCCTCTTGGTGTTTCAAGCACTGTTCTCCTGTTCCGTGGGGCAGTACATCATCAGGGAGCACTTCCAGGCCCTGCATGCAGAGAGGAATCTGCCCACCAGCTCCCAGAAGGTTGGGAGAAAACCCACAGGGTTCCCAACCACTCTCGTCTCAAGCACCCCTGGCCATCCTCCTGTTCCCTGGCTCCGCCCAGCTGTACCTCACTCCCCACCAGGGCTTCCTCCCCCTCCTACCCCCACGGCCCTCCACAAGCCAGAGTCCTCGCTCCAGACATGGCAGGGAAGGAATGTGAGCTGGAAAGAGCTCAGGCTCCCAAGCGGGACAAAGTGAGACCTGCTCTGTCCCTGAGTCTCCATGGTCTCTCTCCAACACACTGCATTGGTGCCATTGTCACATTCACCCTTCCCTCCTTGGTGCTCCCAACAGACTCTGGGCCAGCACCACCCTGAATCGGGTCTCCTTTCGGAAGTTTACGCTACTACATGTGCTGTGGTTTTGTTTTTTTTGTGTGTGCTCTGTTTTTTGAAGTCACCTACCAGTGCTTTGAAACAATCTATATCCCAATTCCACAGAAGGTGAATAGGATGAACTTGAGCTCTGCAGCAGTACTTGGGACAAGAGACATCCCCAGGGAACTGTGAGACCAGCGTGAGGGAACCCTACGCTAGGCTCCACATTCCACACCTCTGAGAGGAGACAGTCCCCAGAGGTTACGAGGTGCACAGAGACAGAGCGAAGCCATGGTAAGAACACCAACGCTGGGGATCCCTGGGTGGCTCAGTGGTTTAGCGTCTACCTTCGGCCCAGGGCGGGATCCCGGGGTCCTGGGATCGAGTCCCACGTCGGGCTCCCTGAATGGAGCCTGCTTTTCCCTCTGCCTGTGTGTCTGCCTCTCTCTGTCTCTCATGAATAAATAAATATTAAAAAACAAAACAAAAACAAGAACACCGAGGCTGGAGAGGCTGAGAAGGGATCCCGAGTTCTTGCTGGCCACCATGATAACAGGGTTTGCTTCCTGCAATCAACTCACATGGTGATCAACTCTGGGGGGGGGGTGTCTATCCTGAGGGACAAAAAGAAAAGCAGTGAGTAGCCAGTGGCACAACCACAGGGAGAAAGATCAACTGTCCATGTCTGCTAAATATTTAATCAGCAAAAACTAATCTAATCTAAACAAGAGGAATTTATAAGACTTCCCACTCCTTGGAATGCAGCCAGTGTGACTTAGGAACTACATCTGACGTTTTGTTTAGTTGTTTTTTTTTTTAAAGATTTTATTTATTTATTCATGAGAGACATGAAGAGAGAGTCAGAGACACAGGCAGAGGGAGAAGCAGGCTCCATGCAGGGAGCCTGACGTAGGACTTGATCCCGGATCTCCAGGAACAGGCCCTGGGCTGAAGGCGGTGCTAAACTGCTGAGCCACCCAGGCTGCCCTTATTTTGTTTAGTTTTTTTTTTTTTTTAATTTTTATTTATTTATGATAGTCACACAGAGAGAGAGAGAGAGGCAGAGACATAGGCAGAGGGAGAAGCAGGCTCCATGCACCGGGAGCCCAACGTGGGATTCGATCCCGGGTCTCCAGGATCGCGCCCTGGGCCAAAGGCAGGCGCCAAACTGCTGCGCCACCCAGGGATCCCTTGTTTAGTTTTAACTACAAAAATCACATGTGGCTGGTAGCGACCAGCATGGGATGGCACAGCTCTACAGAGGCTGGGGACATGTGTGGGTTCTGACCAGGGCATCCACCGGCCACAGCTTTTTCTTCCCAGTGCTCCTCCTCATTCTGGCATCTCTTCAACCTCCAGGGCCCTGCCTGGGAAGATCTCCAGCCTACCCCACAGGCCCCCATGGAAACCTGTGTCTGAGCTATGCTGGGATGATGTTAACGATCTAAATCACACAGCTCAGAGAGGGCTAGCGGGGCTGTGTGTGCTCAATCAACAGGCTTACACCCATTAGCCAAGGCTGAGAAAAACTGCAGTTGCCTTTTTCAATTCACAGTGGTGGGCTGTAGCTCCAGAGCCCAAGGAATCTCCAAATGCAGACCTCAGGAACAGGGCCCTGAGATCTTGGGGCCCCATTTCCTCACCTCAGGGCCAAATTGCCCCCCACCTCACCCGCTGCCTCTGTTTCCTGGGCTCCCGCTGCAGCCCTTCCACGAGGACCACGGCCTCCTCACCACTCTCCGGCTGCTGCTCCCGCACCCGGGCCTGGATCTCCCCGGGCAGCACCATCAAGAACTGCTCCAGCACCAGCAGCTCCAGGATCTGCTCCTTGGTGCGAAGCTCTGGCCGCAGCCAGCGGCAGCAGAGCTCCCAAAGGCGGCTCAGGGCCTCCCGAGGCCCGGCCACCTCCTGGTAACAAAAGAGCCGGAACAGCTGGCGGAAGGTCTCAGGGCTGGGGTCTTCCGACTCCTGGGAGAGCTCCTCTTCCCAGCAGAAATCCTCCTCCACCTTCACGATCAGGATGTCGTCTTGCTCCAGGGGCGGTGGAGGATCGAGACCGGGTGTGGCCGCCATTGTCCGGGGCAGGCCTTGCTTTCTTGTGCCTCAGGGGTCAAACTTGCGACACTGGAAATGATGTGTTCAGGACTCTGCGGAGAAACAGTAAGATGATCTGAGTGAAGTGTGACGCCCGATAAGCATCTACCCACAAGGCCCTGTCCTCGCCCCAGAGCCAACTCACCCTCATTGACAAAAGGAAAAGAGCTGAGCTAAATCAAAGCGTCCTGGCTGCTCACCCGCGGCTGATTCCCGGGCAAGTTGCTCAAAGTCCCGGGGCCTCGGTTCCTCATTCAAGGAGCAGAGAGAATGCTATCCCCACACACAGGCTGCTGAGGGCGCTAAACGGGGGTATCTGGAGTATCTGGAAGGGGTTTTGTTCATTGCCTGGAACGGGAGGGGCCCGAGCTCGAAGAACGCGGTTTTCAGGATCACGCTTGGCCCCTCTGGAGATGGGAGCACCCAGGGCCCCCTCTGCCCAGGGGGACGCGGACTGGATCGGCAAGCCCCCAAGGCCCGCCGGGCACCCCCGGGATGCTCACGACGGCCCCTCCAACTCCAGGGTCCAGGCTCCAGGGTCGGGGGTCCGGGGAGGGCCGGGACTTCCGGCCGGGCTGCGTCTCCCGGCTCCGTGCCCCGCTGGAGGGTGAGCGGCGGCCCAGGCCGGCGCGGGATGGAAACTCGGGCCGGGACCCCGGGATCCCGCGCCCCGCGCCCGCACTCACCGGCAGCGCGGCAGGCCAGGCGGAGAGCAGGACCCCAGGCGCGGGGGCGTAGCGGAAAGGCAGCCCACAGCGCGGAACCGGGAGCCGCACAACGCACCACAGAGATGGGTCCTCGCGAGCCACTGGCTCTACCCGCTGTGGGCGGGCCCACCGGGGCACTGTGGGAAATGTAGTCCTCGCGCCATTGGCGGAACTGGCTGTCGAGCGTGGGACTGAGTCTGGATAGGCGGGCCCACGCGGTGCATTGGAGCAAAGTAGTCCTTGAACCGCGTGGGCGGGCCCACGCGGGGGCATTGTGGGTAAAGTAGTCCTTGCACCTGCAGGGAGCACGCCAGGGGTTCCGAGGCTCCGCAGGTGCTGGGCGGTTCTCTTCTCCTCTTTTCCGTCTGGCCTGGGAAAAGTACACGGTGGGAGGGGGCTTGTGAATTTACGTTTCTATTTGCATGGTACTTTGTATGGACCAGGCTCTGTTTTGAGTACTTTGCGATAATTAACGGTTCATCTTTCAAACAACCGTAGGAGGGGATCCCTGGGTGGCTCAGCGGTTTGGCACCTGCCTTCGGTCCAGGCATGATCCTAGAGTCCCGGGATCGGGATCGAGTCCCACACTGGGCTCCCTGCATGGAGCCTGCTTCTGTCTCTGCCTCTCTCTGTGTGTCTATCATGAATAAATAAATAAATAATCTAAACAACAACAACAACAACCGTAGGAGGTAGGTGCTGTTAGCGATATTTTATAGATGAAGAAAAGAGGCACACATTCGGTCAAGGTCACACATAGACAGTAAGTGAAGAGCTGGGATGAGGTTGGAACCCAGGCATCCATCTGGTCTACCTCCTTAATTGTAGAGAGTAGGAAACGACCCAGAAAGTTACTTGCTTAGGGCGTCTTGGGTACCAATTTTTTTTTGGTACCAATTGGTTATCTCTTTTATTTGTTAATCTAATCAAAAAATGTTTATTGAGTTCTGCTTTGTACCAAGCAGGCACTATGAACAGGCGGTGACCTAGACAGATGGTCCCTGGTGTTGCTGTCCAGTCTGGGGGACACTAAGCCCCTGGCCCTCTAAGCAGGTAAGGGGTCATGGTGAGGGTTAATTACCTGCCCAGCACATCCTGAGTGTTCCATTTACATCATCACTGTTGTTAACATCATCACCAGGAGATTCCTGAGTCCTTCAGCTCTGGCATCCCCAGACCTAGCACCCTACCCTGTCTTCCCACTAGCTTTTCTTCCCATCCTACTCTCCATTCTCTTTCATGTTTCATTTCCCCCACTACGTCCAACATCAGCGTTCATTGTGAACACATGGAGCAGAACAAGACACTGGGCTGCCTATGACTAATTTCTGGACACTACCCCTCCCTGGGTGGGAGGCATCTGTAAGGGCAGATTTCAGGAGTGTCCCAGGTCTCCACAGCCTTGTGGTGGAGCCTGAAGACAGGAAGGACCACCTATGCCTCAGTTTCTCCTTCAGCAGGGGGTTGCTAGACAGGAAGACGGGGATGGTAGACTGAACTAACACTGAAGCGTAGATCTCTCCAGAGAACTGGTGCTTAAGTCCAAAACAAGAGGCCAGACACTCAGTTTGCTTTGGGAGGAGAATGTTCCAAGGGGGCACTTGGAACAAGTCACGGGCAGCATGTAGCAGGGGAGCAAGAAGATAGGACAAATAAAGTGAGAGAGGGAAAAAGGAAAGTTGAAGAGGCTGGTGGGGAATCTGAGGGAAAATCAGCAGGTTCTGTAGAACGGGACAATCATGCTTGCAGAATGTGCTGGGTTGTGTCTAGGGGAGCGGAAGAGGTGTGTGTGGTGGGGGGGGACAGTGGCGTTTTCAAAGCCATGCCACACCTTCCCCTTTCTGACTGCCCCTGGTTAGCTGTGAGGACCGGGCATCTTTCCTTAGAACCATATCTACAGAAGCTAGCGAGTCTATAGTGACCAAGGTCTGGCTAACATAGCTGTGGCCCTCTCCTCTCTGGGCAATTTTCAGTGACTACAACCAACAGATTTAAGTTAGGATGAATTTCTGTTTTTCTCAGGATTTTGTGTTTGTTTAGGGTTTCAGTCTTTTTTAAAAAAAGATTTTATTTATTTGAGAGTGAGAGAGAGATAGAGAGCATGAGCAGGAAGAGAGGCAGAGAGGGAGGGAGAAGCAGGCTCCTCACTGAGCAGGGAGCCTGATGTGGGGCTGGATCCAAGGCCCCTGGGATTGTGACCTGAGCCAAAGGTGGATGCTTAACTGACTGAGCACTCAGGTGCCCCTAGGATTTTGGTTATAATTCTATTTTGGGGGATACACAAACATGTAGTCCCTAACAAATGTAAATCAGGATAAATTTGGGCCTCCACATACACCCAAACCAATACAAATCCTGGTTCTGCCACTTATCAACTAGGTATGCCTTACCTTCCTCACCTGTAAAATGGGGATTGCCATAGTTCCAACTTCAGAGTTGAGGGACAGGATTAGATGAGATTATGGCTTTTTTGTTTGTTTTTTTCTTTTTTGTTTTGTTTTTTAGATTTTATTCATTTATTCATGAGAGGCACAGAGAGAGAGAGAGGCAGAGAGGCAGAGGGAGAAGCAGCCTCCATGTAGGGAGCCCTATGCAAGACTTGATCCCGGATCACACTCCAGGATCACACTCTGAGCCGAAGGCAGATGTTCAACTGCTGAGCCACGCAGGCGTCCCGAGATTATGTTTGTAAAGCACCTGTGACAATATCCAATGCATAACAAATGCTCCTTAAGCATCAACTCTAGCTTCATGAGTTGCACCCACCCTGAGATGCAGTACATGGGTCTCAGTGTGTGGGGCTTGGATGCCTGATGCTGCAGAGTTCCTGTATGAGATCCATAGGTCCACCAGGGCCCCAAGCATTGTTCACAGTCTGAATGAAAAGTATTTAAAGTATTTATAGTTATACACGCATACCACTATTTATATTTATACTTATAACTGTAACTTGTTTTCACGGTGTTTATGGAGTCTACAAAACAGTTTGAGTTAAATGGCAGCCTCATACGGAAGCTTGTAGTCTCATACAGAAGCTTGCAGCACACATGTACCCTTCTCTGAAGACAGGGGAAGATGGCTTCAGATGGTGACACAGTTCCATCACCACATACAAGGCATTGATTCAGCTCACATTTGGTCTTATTGTGATAGGGGAAAAGGTGTACAATCAAGCCCTCCAAAAATTGTCATCTTTGGTACCAATTTCTCAATGTCCAAATGACTGAGAAATACAAGCTCAATATACGGGACGCCTGGGTGGCTCAGCGGTTGGGCATCTGCCTTTGGCTCAGGGCATGATCCCGGATTCCTGGGATCAAGTCCCACGTCAGGCTCCTTGCATGGAGCCTGCTTCTCCTCCCTCTGCCTGTGTCTCTGCCTCTCTTTCTGTGTCTTTCATGAATAAAATCTTAAAAAGAAAATAAAATAAAGGGCAGCCCGGGTGGCTCATCGGTTTAGCGCCACCTTCAGCCCAGGGCCTGATCCTGGAGACCTGGGATCAAGTCCCACATTGGGCTCCCTACGTGGAGTCGGCTTCTCCCTCTGCCTGTGTCTCTGCCTCTCTCTCTCTCCTCTCTGTGTATTCTCATGAATAAATAAATAAAATCTTTTAAAAATAAAATAAAAAAATAAAAGCTCAATATACAAATCAAATAGTTTAGGTAATTTGACTAAATTATCTAAGAGAATCATCAGAGCTACCATGCCCCAAAACTGATAATGGGTATTTTATTACAATTTTTTTGTTTGTTTTTTTTTTTTTTTTTGAGAGAGAGAGAGAGAGAGACAATCCTGAAGCAGACTGCCTGATGAGCACAGAGCCCAAGCCTGTGGCCTAAGGCTTGATCCCAGGACCCTGAGATCATGATCTGAACCAAAAACCAAGAGCCACCCTGGTACCCCTATGCTTTTTCTAAGACTTCCATGAGCTGATAAAATAAAAGCTAATGTTTTTTAAGCACTTCCTAAGTCCATGGGATTTTTCTTTTTTTTTCTTTTTTGCTGTGCTACTTACATCTTCACAATGACTCTCCCATATAGATGTCATTATGACCCAAGTTTTCGTTAAGTAAACTGAGGCTAGAAGTGTACACAGCCCTCCCCAAGGCCACACAGCTAGGAAAGTGGAAAAGCCAAGTCAAACGCAGGCAGGTCCATTGCAGAGCCTGCTGCCCCAACCACTCTCCTGAACACCAGCCAGGTAATCAGAGCCTTGCCTTAGAACAAACATCTCAAAGATTTCTAGAATGACTCTGGTCCTGCCTCAAGGTGGCCACTTGGGGCCATAATACCATCTCTGACTTTCTAAACACAGTGGGCAGATCTGCTTGGTTCATAGTTGTTGCTCAGTAAATATTTGCTGAATGACTAAATAAAGGGGTGGGAGCAATCTGTCCTTCAGACACTGACCTCTGCTGCCCAGCCCTATACAAACTTGATTCATAAACATAATGGCGGTATAAATGGAGATGGACAGTACCTGTGTCCCAAAGGATTCTTACTAGGATTAAATGATCTAGTATAGGGATCCCTGGGTGGCGCAGCGGTTTGGCGCCTGCCTTTGGCCCAGGGCGCGATCCTGGAGACCCAGGATCGAATCCCACGTCGGGCTCCCGGTGCATGGAGCCTGCTTCTCCCTCTGCCTGTGTCTCTGTCTCTCTCTCTCTCTCTGTGACTGTCATAAATAAATAAAAAAAAAATAAAAAAAAATGATCTAGTATATTAAAACACTTGACTCTAGGGTGAAACCTAAGAACAGTTAGTAAACATTAGTGTTGTTACAATTTTCACTAACACAAAGAATAATGGACAAAGAGTGCTTGCTGTGAATGCTGGGAAATCTCTCCTTGGAGTTGGCCTGTGTTTTGGTTCCATTATTAACTTTGAGACAGAGGAGATGAACGGGAGGCAGGAGACAGCCATTGTTTACACCCTCAACCACCCAGCATTTGAAACTTTGTCTTATCTCTACAGCCAGCAGGCCTTTAAATGAAAGGCAAAGTAAGAACAGCCTTGCAAAAAAAGCGTTACCATCCCTCCGAGAAGAGCTCCCTCCAGGATAAAGGAGGCTGGAGTGTGGGGGATGTAAGGG